AAAAATTTCGACCCGAAAAAAAAACGACAGTGTTACCCCTTTCGTTTTTTTCATTTCTTTTGCGAAAAATTAAGTTTCTCCATTCTTCTCAAAACTCTGGATCTGATAGAGGGCCATGAGACTTCACCTGAGTGCAAAATGGAGGCTCTAGACCCTTCCAGAGCTGAGATATCGAAATTCAAAATTTCGACCCGAAAAAAAAAAACGACAGTGTTACCCCTTTCGTTTTTTTTCATTTTCGGCCAAAAAATTAAGTTTCTCCAATCTTCTCAAACTCTGGATTATGATAGAGGGCTGTGAGACTTTGACCTGAGTGCAAAAATGGAGGCTCTAGACCCTTCCAGAGCTGAGATATCGAAATTCAAAATTTCGACCCCGAAAAAAAAACGACAGTGTTACCCCTTTCGTTTTTTTTTCATTTTCGGGCGAAAAATTAAGTTTCTCCAATCTTCTCAAAACTCTGGATTCTGATAGAGGGCTGTGAGACTTTGACCTGAGTGCAAAAATGGAGGCTCTAGACCCTTCCAGAGCTGAGATATCGAAATTCAAAATTTCGACCCGAAAAAAAAAACGACAGTGTTACCCTCTCTTTCGTTTTTTTCATTTCCGCCAAAAATTAAGTTTCTCCAATCTTCTCAAAACTCTGGATTCTGATAGAGGGCTGTGAGACTTTGACCTGAGTGCAAAAATGGAGGCTCTAGACCCTTCCAGAGCTGAGATATCGAAATTCAAAATTTCGACCCGAAAAAAAAAACGACAGTGGTACCCCTTTCGTGTTTTTTTTTTTTGGGGCGAAAAATTAAGTTTCTCCAATCTTCTCAAAACTCTGGATTCTGATAGAGGGCCATGAGACTTTGACCTGAGTGCAAAAATGGAGGCTCTAGACCCTTCCAGAGCTGAGATATCGAAACTCAAAAATTTCGACCCGAAAAAAAAAACGACAGTGTTACCCCTTTCGTTTTTTTTTTCATTTTTGGGCGAAAAATTAAGTTTCTCCAATCTTCTCAAAACTCTGGATTATGATAGAGGGCTGTGAGACTTTGACCTGAGTGCAAAAATGGAGGCTCTAGACCCTTCCAGAGCTGAGATATCGAAATTCAAAATTTCGACCCGAAAAAAAAAACGACAGTGTTACCCTTTTCGTTTTTTTTCATTTTCGGGCGAAAAATTAAGTTTTTCCAATCTTCTCAAAACTCTGGAATATGATAGAGGGCTGTGAGACTTGACCTGAGTGCAAAAATGGTAGGCTCTAGACCCTTCCAGAGCTGAGTATCAAAATTCAAATTTCGACCCGAAAAAAAAACGACAGTGTTACCCCTTTCGTTTTTTTCATTTTTCGCCAAAAATTAAGTTTCTCAATCTTCTCAAAATTTGGATTTTGATAGAGGGCTGTGAGACTTTGACCTGAGTGCAAAAATGGAGGCTCTAGACCCTTCCAGAGCTGAGATATCAAAATTCAAAATTTCGACCCGAAAAAAAAACCGACAGTGTTACCCTTTCGTTTTTTTTTTCATTTTCGGGCGAAAAATTTAGTTTCTCCAATCTTCTCAAAACTCTGGATTCTGATAGAGGGCCATGAGACTTTCACCTGAGTGCAAAAATGGAGGCTCTAGACCCTTCCAGAGCTGAGATATCAAAATTCAAAATTTCGACCCGAAAAAAAAACGACAGTGTTACCCTTTTGTTTTTTTTTTCATTTTCGGGCAAAAATTAAGTTTCTCCAATCTTCTCAAAACTCTGGATTATGATAGAGGGCTGTGAGACTTTGACCTGAGTGCAAAAATGGAGGCTCTAGACCCTTCCAGAGCTGAGATATCGAAATTCAAAATTTCGACCCGAAAAAAAAAACGACAGTGTTACCCCTTTCGTTTTTTTTCATTTTCGGCCAAAAAATTAAGTTTCTCCAATCTTCTCAAAACTCTGGATTTTGATAGAGGGCTGTGAGACTTTGACCTGAGTGCAAAAATGTAGGCTCTAGACCCTTCCAGAGCTGAGATATCAAAATTCAAAATTTCGACCCGAAAAAAAACCGACAGTGTTACCCCTTTCGTTTTTTTTCATTTTCGGGCGAAAATTTAAGTTTCTCCATTCTTCTCAAAACTCTGGATTCTGATAGAGGGCCATGAGACTTTCACCTGAGTGCAAAAATGGAGGCTCTAGACCCTTCCAGAGCTGAGATATCGAAATTCAAAATTTCGACCAAAAAAAAAACGACAGTGTTACCCCTTTCGTTTTTTTTCATTTTCGGCCAAAAAATTAAGTTTCTCCAATCTTCTCAAAACTCTGGATTATGATAGAGGGCTGTGAGACTTTGACCTGAGTGCAAAAATGGAGGCTCTAGACCCTTCCAGAGCTGAGATATCGAAATTCAAAATTCGCCCGAAAAAAAAAAACGACAGTGTTACCCCTTTCGTTTTTTTTCATTTTCGGCCAAAAGATTAAGTTTCTCCAATCTTCTCAAAACTCTGGATTCTGATAGAGGGCCATGAGACTTTCACCTGAGTGCAAAAATGGAGGCTCTAGACCCTTCCAGAGCTGAGATATCGAAATTCAAAATTTCGACCGCCGAAAAAAAAACGACAGTGTTACCCCTTTCGTTTTTTTTTTCATTTCCGGCCAAAAAATTAAGTTTCTCCAATCTTCTCAAAACTCTGGATTCTGATAGAGGGCTGTGAGACTTTGACCTGAGTGCAAAAATGGAGGCTCTAGACCCTTCCAGAGCTGAGATATCGAAACTCAAAAATTCGACCCGAAAAAAAAACGACAGTGTACCCTTTCGTTTTTTTTTTTGGGCGAAAAATTAAGTTTCTCCAATCTTCTCAAAACTCTGGATTCTGATAGAGGGCCATGAGACTTAAACCTGAGTGCAAAAATGGAGGCTCTAGACCCTTCCAGAGCTGAGATATCGAAATTCAAAATTCGACCCGAAAAAAAAACGACAGTGTTACCCCCTTTCGTTTTTTTTTTGTTTGTTTTTTTTCGGGCGAAAATTAAGTTTCTCCAATCTTCTCAAAACTCTGGATTCTGATAGAGGGCCATGAGACTTAGACCTGAGTGCAAAAAGGGAGGCTCGATCTACACGTTTTAAAAAGTGGACCAATGTGATTATTTCACGTTGAAGAAATGTTGTTTTATGTACTTCGTTTGATATAATCACAACAATTTAACGTAAGCAAGTATGGGAATTGAACTCAAGTCTTCTTGAATAAAGCCCAACGCTTTTATCAACTGAGCCACTGAATCTGTTCAGTTCAAGGGTGTATTGAATGAGGTTTTATTGCGTTTGGTTTTATTTGTTGGAAAAATAAATATAGAAATATAATTTGACACAAGAGGGCAGTAGTATGCGGTTCCATTTGTGCCAAAAATGAGTCGACTGCTTTGTGCTTTGTACTACACATTTGTCCTTGTCAACAGTCATTGTCTAGTTGTTTGTAAAACTGGTATATGTTGATGTGTGTTTTCTCTGTTTATGTCGATTTGATCTGTCGTTCTTACTGTATTGATCCTCCTTTTTCAGGAAAAATAGTATATGTTGATGTGTTTGTTCTGTATTCCGTACTTGAACTGTAGTCCAATAGCCTACTGTCGTCCCGTTCTGTCATCTGAACTGTCATCCTGTTCAGTGTGGGGTTCCATTTGTGCCGAAATTATGTCGACATGTTGTCTGTCTATGCTATGTGTCGTCTTCCTTGTCTATGTGTCTGTTCACTGTCTATGTTCATGGTGTCTGTCTATGCTATGTGTCGTCTTCCGTGTATTGCTTACCAAACTTGCTTACCATGTCATCGACTATCTGATATTCCGATTGTCAAAAATTTGCCGATTGCCGATTGTGGTTGGTCGTTTAAAACCTTTATAAATAGTCTTGATCTTGATCTATAACGTGAGATGGACGACACCACGTTTATTTGCGCCGCAGTTCAGAGTCCTGTCAGTCATCATCAGTTTCTCCCGAGATATATGTAAGAAAGTGGCCGGTGAACTGTGAGAAGAATACTACTTGACAACACTACTCGAAGTGAATTCAGGGAACTTCCTTCAGGCAATTGGGGTTATATGCGCAAGTGAGATGTTTCATAGCTTAAAACTTCCTCCTCATTATTAACAAAGAATATATTTAATGAGTGGACGTTAGTACTGTTTCATATGCAATGAAGTTAGCCAATCATTACATTGGCCCTTTACTGACAAGCCTTACAGAAGCCACACCTTTACATACGTATAATTTCAGGGTCAGAATTAAGATCATTTTTCAGCATGTTTTTTTTTTTGTCTGTGTGTGTATAAAACATTAACATTATTAAAACAACAACAACAAAACATATCATGATCCCCTTAAATTACATGTTTATAATAGTCAAAGGTGCCTTATTTTGAATATTAATCACGTTGTTAGTGTTGGCCTAAAAAGGGTTTGCTGAATGCAGAGTATGAAAGGTGAGCGCTAACCACTTCCACGTTAGTCCAACCCACTGCAAAAGTACCCAGAAATCGAAGGCTTTGTTTTACGTAAACAATTACATTTTATACACTTAATACAAATTGAGTATGTCAGACAAACTAATTCAGCTATTCACATCAAATTTGTGAATGGCAAAAGAATCAATCCTCACCTTGATGTGTTGAACGGTTTTCTCAAACTTTGCTTTAATGTTTTCTTTGTGTTTCAGTTTCTCTTGTAAGGGCTTCAGTGCTGTATTGAGCTTCTCCTAGAATTTAAAGTGAAAATAAAGGCTAGATTAGACGATACCAGAAATTTCTTAAATATGTTAATGCACAGAGACATACATTGTTTATGATATAGCCTACGACTTCTATGATGCAAGTTTTTATCATAAGATATGTATCTGTCTTACCTTATATGATGAAACCACTTCACCGATGGGTCTGAATGTGTGATTGACGTGTGTCTGTGAAGTATAGCACACTAAACACGCAGGCTGGTTGTCCTCCAGACAGAAGAGTTTGAGTTTCTCACTGTGTAAACTGCAGAGCTCCTCTGACACTGATGATTGGCTTTCATTTTTCTCCTTCAGGAACGACTCACACAAGTTCTTTAATGCGAGATTACATGTTGGATCAGATTTTGATCTTCTCCTACACACGGGACACTCCTGAGCTTTCTTGATGTTCCAGAACTGTTGAAGACACTCTTTACAGACACTGTGACTACATGGTAAAATAACAGGAGCGTTGAAGATTTCACGACACACAGGACAGATATAATCATATTCAGCTGGTGAATCCATTGTCAACGTTTGAGCTCCAGGAATCTGAACTTTACCCTGCAAACAAGCCTGCACTGGCCCTGTCCGGGCCCACTTAGGGCTAGCCTAAGGGCCCCCTGCAGGCTGCTAGCGCAGGGCCCATGAGAATTTGCTCATTGGCAAAACGTTGGGCCTGCATGGGCAGCCCTCACTTAGCCCTCACTAAACCCACACAGGGCCCGCACACTGGGCCCACAAAACGTTGGCCCTGCATGGGCAGCCCTCACTTAGCCCCAAGGAAGCCCTCACTAAGCCCACACAGGGCCCGCACCGCACACACAGGGCATCTACAACAATAGATCTAGTTCACAATTAATCTGTTTCACTATAAATACTTTTTGGCTAATATAACTATAAGTCTTTGGGAAAAACAATTATTCTATACATCTGAATGCAGTCACCACATAACTAATTTCTGTATTTTCACAAATGTACAGAAGTCAAAGGGATTTCAAATCAATGTATTTATTAATTACAAAACATAAAACATTAAATTCAGGTTATTATATATAATATAATTACACTATTATATATTCACATAAAAAACAGAAACATAGAAAACAGCTGTTTTACATTATGATAAAATTTCACAATATTACTGTTTTTTTTTTTTAAATAAATGCAAATAAATGCAAGCTTGATAAGCAGAATAGACTTCTTCCAAAATGTTTCCAAATTTTTTACCTGTATACTGTATATGATTTTATACAAAATAAATAGTAGTTAATAAGATTGACACTGTATTATATCTAGTAATTTTGGAGCTAAACAGAGTTCCCTATAAAGTGCAATTTGTAGATTTTTAGTCTTCGAGAAAATGTTTTAATGAGTTGCAACCTCTTTTTCTTTGCTTTCTCTCTCTCACAAACACAACACATCAGTTACACAAACATCAGTTAAATTCTTCATTGCAGGTGCACAAATCCTATTCTAAAAATTACCAAACTCATAGGGTCATATTTTTGTTGATAAACAGTAACATTTTGGCCAATTATGCACATTTCTTGGTGTATAATTTTGTGAATCATCTATACTGTTTGGCTATTCTCATGTGGTCACACTTCACTTTTCATTCACAGTCACATATGCTCAAACCCCGTGTGGCCGTGCCTTAAATGTCAGCATACATTTCTTACAGGGCTGTGCAAAAGTTAATTGCGATTAATCGCATTCAAAATAAAAGTCTGTGTTTACATAATATATTTGTGTGTGCTGTATATAATTATTTTGTATTAGGGCTGTGAAACGATTAATCGCATCCAAAATAAAAGTTTGTGTTCACATAAATTATATACGTTTGTGTAGTGTGTATAATTATTTTGTATATATAAATACACACACATGCATGTATATATTTAAGAAATATTTGCATGTTTGTACTGTATATATGTTTATACAAAATTAATATTATACATAAATATAAATCTTTGATATATCAATAACACATTTTTCTTAAATATATACATGCATATGTGTGTATTTATATATACAAAATAATTATACAGACATATATCATGTAAACACAAACTTTTATTTTTGATGCAATTAATCGTTACACAGCCCTATATTGTATATATAAATACACACACATGCATGTAAAGAAAATGTGTTATTCATATATAAAATATTTATATTTATATAATATAGATTATGTATTCATATATATATATATATAATATATATATATACACACAGAATTTAAGTGCAAAATAATTCTTAAATATATACATGCATGCATAGGTATTTATATATACAAAATAATTATATACAGCACACACACAATATATTATGTAAACACAGACTTTTATTTTGGATGCGATTAATTGCAATTAATTTTTGCACAGCCCTTTTTGTGATTTGAAAAAAAGAAAATTATTTGTACACCTCCAATGAAGAATTTGAAAAGCTGTAACTGCAGTGTTTTTTTTGTGAAAGAGAAAAAAGTTTGAAACTTAAAAAAAAAAAAACGTTCTCTCTGTGACTACTTTACACCTGACTACTTTTAACTGACTACGTTACACCTACAGATTCCACTGTCACAGGTGCTCTGTTTTGCTATAATGAAACCTTTACAGAACATGATAGTAATCCGCCATCCATGTAAAAGCAGAGGTCGGTACAGGTACATCTGTCCAGCCAACATCTCACGCCTTGATGCCTTCCACTGTGGACCCAGAAAACCTGCAAAAAAAAAAAAAAAAAAAAAATACAGTTCAAAATCTATCATACATAATCATACATCTGGTATCACAAATTATTCCAGGTTATTATAACAATTCCAGGTTCAATCAGGTTAAATGCTCAATATTAGAGCTGCACAATACTAAAAACCTTAAATAAAATATTTTTGTTTATCTGCTGCTATATATATTGCGATATAAAAACAAATTTCAAGAGATTATTGAGTGAATCTGCATTGAAAATTATAACAAATTACAAGTATTGATAAATTCAATAGAAGAAAAATACAATTGAAATAAGCAGTGCATGAAGTTTTTTCAGAAAATCTAACTTATCAGGTACGGAAATTGAATTATCTAATGTAAAATAAGTCTTCACTGAGGTACAGCCTCTCTCTACTCTTACAAAATGACAAACAACCAGCCTAAAAAACACATGACAATGACACAAGATAATGTCTATAATAAATAGTGTGTGTGTAATTTCTTCAGTACCGTCAGCAGAAACTGATAACATCTGAGCTTATCGATACTGCAGTCTTCCTTAATTTGGCCCCAGGGCCGTTTAATGTTTAATACCGGGTTTCGAAACCTATTCCTACGTATAGGTGAGTTCATATGGATGAAGGCCTGTTGTGTTTGGCCTCTTGGTTTGTGATGGTGATATAGCTATTGTGAAACTCACCTTCGTCATGTACTGGTGTGGATGGCATCAAGATCTTGTCCTGAAGAATCACAGGATCAAATGATATCTCATCTGGTAACCCCCTGAATTCAGCATTTGAAAGTAAAAAGAATTTCAGTATTTATCAGTCAAACATACATAAAAAAATAGCTTTGAGTTGGACAGTATGGTGTCTCATTGGCCAACATAATTAAAAACAACCCCAGAGAAAAAATAATAAAAAAATAATAATATATATATATATATATATATATATATATATATATATATATACTGTATATATAATATATATATATATATCCCATGACTATTATCCTGAATTATTATAACTATGACTATTATAACATTATATTTGCCACCTATTATTTAGCTTCTCAAGTACAATGTCACTGAAAAAACTGTAGTTAATGAATTTAAAGTGAGAGACTTCATTCAAAATCATAAATCCTACAGACCCAAACAATTAAACAGTATGTATGAAGTTTTGCTTACTATAGTCGAGGTCATAGCCGTGGAGATTGTCTTGGACCCCAGGGGGTGCAGCAGGACATCTATGATGATCTTCAAGAAAATAACATGCAATGTGTCACAGAGCCCAACAATATTACATTGAATTTACAAATAGAACAAAGGGTTTAATACAAGGAAGCAAGCTAGAGCATAGCTAAAGAATATACATAAAAAATCTTAAGGTAATATATTGTGCAATAATGCATATGAAATATTATCATGATTAAACAATAATTCCCCTTTGTTGTGTTTTTTTCCTGTTCCTTCTGAAATCACTTATTACCAATATTTGTAAATGACGTCATTAAGTACGTTACAATGAATTCTTTCAAGGTTAAATAAATTAACTTAGCTAACTTCCAATCACCCATTGACAAATTACCAGCAAAACAAAACTATCAAAAACTGTTATCAACACAAAAATGTGGTTAAAAACCCACACTTATGTAAAACAAGAGCTCAATTGTAACGTAAACAACTTAACGTTAGCTCTTCTGAAAACGGTTCAGTCAGATGCTAACGGACTTTATCGAAGACACAAAACTATTTCTATAAAGTAAATATTCAACAGAAGTGTATCAATTACACGTAAGACATATATCAGGAAGGTTTGTATGTATTATTTGTGTGATTTTGGTAACTAGACTTACCTGAAAGCAGAGAAAACAACAGTGAGAGACGCTAGTTTGCTGTTTGTCAGTTGATGGGTTTCCTCGTTTCCATGGTTTCCATCTGCTCGCGCGCGCTCCTGTCTTTGAATCAGATTTGAATGCGACTCGCGCACGTACGCCCATATTGAAACCATAGAACACGTCAAAAGGCACGCAGCATTTAAATAAACACATTTAACAATTTAAAATATCATTAATTTTATATAATGAATTTAAACTCATTGTGTAGTTCTATGACCCATTCAGTTGACAATTATGCTTTTTAATACCATTTTGCTTTTACTTTTATTGTAAAGCAATTTCATGACATCTGTATTATATAAATGCCTACATGTAATATAAAGAGCAACGTGTAATATAAATATGTAACATAAAGTGTGGAATGAAACTGCAACAGGCCCGTAATTTCATTACCATCTTTATATAAAGAGTGCTTTCTTATTCTCTCTATAAATATCTTAAAAAAAATAAAACATTTTTAAACAATTTAAATATATATATATATATATATATATATATATATATATATTTAAATTGTTTAAAAAAATTTTTTTAAGAGAATTAAAATTACCAAGTTATTAGTGCTTTCTTATTCTCTTTTTATATATATATATATATATATATTATTAGTGCTTTCTTATTCTCTTAATATATATATATATATATATATATATATATATATATATATATATATATTATTTTAATTTTTAAGAGAATTAAAATTACCAAGTTATTATGATTAGAGGACGTACTGACGACATTGTGGGCATGTGGGCAAATCTAAATGTGGGCTACCTAAACTAAACCCGCATGGGCCCAAAGGTGCAAAACCTGCTCATGGGCCCGAATGGGATGGCCCACAGTGGGCCATCATGGGCTTAATGTGGGCAGCCCGCTAGTGTGGGCTGCTCACTGATAGCCCGCAGTGAGCCCAAAGCTGTGGGCCTTGTCTGGGCAACCCGCACTGGGCCTGTTTAGGTTTGGCGTGGGCTGGCCCTAGCCCACTGTGCCCACAAAAAGCCAGCGTCGGCCCCGCAGGGGCATGTTTGCAGGGTACTTTCACTTTCTGAATGATGGTTTCAAAAATGAATCACCTTGTTCAGAAACAAACGTCTCAAAATCCTTTAAAGCATTTCCCCTCATTTCCCACTGATTTGTCTTTTCTTTCGTTCAGTATTATTATTTTTTTTGGTCAAACACGAGTCAGTGTGACAGAAAAGAGAAATAATGCGGCAGTCTCTTCCTGGTGAGTGTTGTAGGAGGGTGGGGTTTCTGATCATCTAACATTGCCAGCATGAGATGGCAGTGTCATCATTTATAGGTTAATGTGAACTAAATGCGTCAAACATGAACCATCATCAAACTCTCAAAAGTCGAATGCTAGAAAACTTCACCTTGTTCCTTGTGACCGTCTGCTGATGCTGAAGTGAGTTACAAAATCAGGCGCGTGCGTGCGTAGTAAACAGAACGTGCACGCGCTGCTTTAAAATTAAAACTTTGGTCTCGTGCCCCATTCAAAGCATTTCTTTTACTCACAAAGAATAAATATTATGAATAACCAACCATTTACTAAGTAAAATCTTTGGTAAATGCAAATTGTAATCTAATCTCCAAGTCTGTATCCACAAAAATAATGGACCTATGGCAACATTTATTAATTTAATTATGATTAATTACTAATCCATTCACTACAAACAATTTACCCAAGTATTTCATTACCTTCAGTAATTGAATCTGGTACTTCTCAACCTTTCAAAAGGAAGAACATCAAACTTGATGTCATTCAGTGTAAAATCACTCATGTTAGACTGCTGAAGCAAAGCATAGAATTAATTCAGTAAATCTCAACTGAAAAAAACAGAAGTTTACATAAAATCAAACACTTTGGACCTGCGTGCATGAAATATGAACCTTCATATAAATAAACCACGTGACCTTGGTTATACGATTTTGCAACAAACCATAATCACTAACTTTGTGTTATTAATGTGTAATTAACAAGCACAAGATTATTCATTTTAAACTATATTCGAAACACGTGTCAAGATTTTCCGATAAATAATAAAGACCCATTTGCTTTGATTCGCATCAATTACAAACGTGAAATATTGGGTTCAGAAAAGAGAACAAGAGAAGACATCCATACCATTGATTTATTCAAATAAAAACAGATACTAAAACAATTAAACATAATTCATAAAATAATGTTGATAACATAATACAATGATCAAAATGTGTTAACCGTTTCATTGTCTTGTATAAACAGTGAATTAACGCAAGAATAAAACAAACGTACAAAAAAAAAAAAAACACTTCTGTGCCAATCTTAGTAAAGTCCTGGACAAATCCTGCAACAACAGAAACGTTCAGTGTCTGAACACTAACCAACAGCAGTTCAAGAATCCAGAGTCACTCCAGAGTCAAACTAATATACTGAACTGCATACAGCCGTTTCACAGCAGAGATTCTCTATTAAAGCAACATGAAGTAAAACATCCGTTCATTAAACACACAGAGAGTTCAATCTAGACATTAACGTCTTTCACCTTCATTAAAACGTGAACACTCATCAGGCCCTGCAGTAACTCGCCTGATCAAACTCTCAAGACACAGTACAAATGCGAGCTTGTTTGTTTATTTCTGAAGCAGGAAGTTGTAAATCCCAAAGTCGTTGTCGTTTGGAGAAATCAGCATGTCGGCTCTGGCTTTTTCCAACGTCAAACGCAGAAAATCCCTTCGTTTGAGCCACTCCTGAAGCTCCTCCTCGCTGTGAGCGAAGTCACAACTCATGCCATCAGTACAGCCATCATCAAACCTGCCAATCAAACGCCACAGCCAATGAGGACACCAATCTCTGCTAACGACTTCACTGATCAAACGACACGTGACCGAGGGGCTGATTACACGACACCGCTTTCAACTAAAAACGTAAAACTTTTTATGCATTTTGACCGTTCGTTTACACGACAATGGCGTTTTGGGCGCCCTGAAAACGCAAGGTTTTGAAAACGGGTTTCAAAAGTACAAGTTTTTGAAAACAGTCTCTGTGTAAACAACAAATACGCGAATTTATGAAGCGCATTACGTTCAGTCTATAGTGTTCATCGCCATCTAGTGGTCTGGCGACAGATTACAGGGTTTTTTGTCGTTTTTTGTGGACCCGTGTCTGTATACGCGGAAAACTCAAAGGAAAAACGTCTCCATTTTAAGCATATCATTGCTGTGTAAACGTACCCTGAGTCACAATTAATATTAATATTGAATATTCAAAGTAATATTCTGTCGTTACATAGAGAGCCTAAATCCCTCCCCTTCCGGTCGACCACCATGGGACCTTATTTCGGAAAAATATTGAATGGTAGTCAATGGCGAGAGACAACAAATATTTTGATCTCGTTTGACTTGTGCCCTTTTACACATTTGATGCAATTACACATATGATGTTTGTCAATTTAAAAGATACATTTTAAAGTAAAGAAAGTTGCAGTTTGATGTGAAACCGTTGAGGTATAAGACTGTGAAAATACATAATTACAAAGACTACAAACCCCAAAGGCGCACATTTTCTCTCAATGAATGAAGCTAACTTTACTGAGGCTGTCTGTCATTGTTTCTACAGTCTTACGTTATAATCGTAACGTTATGCCGTCCTACCTGAGTGTTTTGAACCAGACTGCACACACACGAGCAGTAGGGGTTTCACAACTACTGATTTTTGCTAGTCGACTAGTTTTGCATACCAGTCGACGACTAGTCGACTAGTCGTTAAATGGTTTATTCTAGCGGTGTGCGACATCACGAATAGTAAATGTCTCCACGATCTGCTTTTGAAGAAATATGGTAGTAGTATCGTGTTACAGAGTGTATTCTATCAGTTCTGGCGCCTCTGTCTCAACTGTATAACGCGACGTAGCCTACACATCACACGGTAAGGAATAGGTATGGGACACTGCAATTTACAAAAGTTCATTGTTTGCATAAGCCTCGCCGGTTAAACATTTAATTCACGCGCTGTTCTAACGTGCGCTTTCCTGAGCGCGCGGTATACCCCCGACCCTCACAGGCATTAGAAGAAGCCTGTCAAACAGCGCCTGAATACTGGACTAAGTTATCTTTCAAGTCTTATTATGCTAATACTGTTAAATACACACAGTGTTTACATAAACAGAATTGGCTATGTCTAAAGTGAAAGCAAACATTTGAGAGAAAATCTGGTGTAGGCTAATATGCGTCTATATTAAACACGTCGCGTGCTGGTCTAAAAGCGAGAGTACTCGTATTTTCCGCACTATAAAGCGCACTTAAAAGCCTTTAGTTTTCTCAATCCGGCCTTTTCTCAAGCCTTATAATCCGGAGCGCATTATATATGGATCAATTGCTCACGCTCGTGTCCATCTTATGCCCGCTTTGTCACACGGCCAGTTCAACCTCGTATAAATCAGGTTATGTGTGTCTCCCGCTCACGAGCGCTCACTCTTAACACACACACGAGCAGACACTGCTGTCAGCAGGCTGCGAATGTAAGTTACGTGCCCGCCCCAGCGCACTCACGCTTACTAAATAAACGCCTCACCTCCGACGCCGCGCACTCGCTGCATTCCCTTTAGCACATCTAGTGGATGCATAACGCAAACCCAGTCAAACGTTTAAAAATGTTCTAAAATAGGTAATTGAAGGTGCGCCTTATAGTATATAGTACTGCCGCTTGTATTTAAAGGGATAGTTAACAAAAAAAATATATCTATATATATGTCATCATTTTGTTTCCGACTAGTCGACTAAGGCCAACAGCGCCAACTAGTGGTTGTGAAACCCCTAACGAGCAGCGGATCTCGTTTCTCTTCCCGGGAGATGTAGTTCGATTTTCACATAAAACTAAATGTTACTCTTCTGTTGTATGACAAACTGCGACGTTTTTGAATTAGAGATTAATTTAGAATTATCTTTTAAATTGACAAACATCATATGTGTAATTGAGGGCACAGTTCAGACGGAATAAAAAGATAAGTTGTTTCTCGCCATTGACTACCATTCATATTTTTTCCGAAATAAGGTCCCATGAGCCGGAAGCGGAGGGGCGGGACTTAGGCTCTCTATTGAATAGTTGGGTTATTTAAAGTAATGACAGATGAGGGGAGCTGGTGTACTTTGACCAGTCTGAGGAATCCTTGATGATGTTCATTACCTGGGACAGATGGAGAAACAGGGTCCAGGGAAGCGATAGGACCAGGTCAGACTCTCGTCCTCTCCCTCTCCGCTGAACACCCTGAGCTTGTGTTTCTCCGAGGAGATGTGCTGCTGCCACTGCCGATCGCTGTTACTGTGTTTCCCACACAGAGGGCAGTAGAAGCTGTCCTGCTACACCCACAAACACACTCCATTAGCACACGTGGAGGACAGTGAACATGAGAACGGCAAGAACAAACACGTACCATCAGTTCGGCAAAATCCGTCGGCATGGTGATCTGCTTCTCTTCTATTGGCTGGGGCGGCGAGGCGCAATCTGACGCTCTGTTCTGATTGGACAGCCAGACGTCAAACACCTGCTGGACGTCTGTGACTGTAGTGGAGAGCAGGGGAAATCAATTAAACCAATCAATCATTCAGACTACAGCCCCTTTCATGCAGCAGTCCCGGTAAATTACCGTAAAGTTACCATAATGACTTTACCAGTAAAAACACACAAATACGCTGTTCACACAAGCAACGGCATTCTGGCTTTTTACTGGTAACAGACCATTCACACATCAGCTCAAGAATACCAGTAAATTCTGTGATGTCAGTAATCAGAAGTGATGTTTAAACACCATATGGTTGTATTCATCTGCCAGCATGACGAGAAGTAGCCTGGCATGCCAGACCTACATCAAGATGTTAGGTTTGGAAACTCTTCATTGACAGGGCTCAATCCGAGGGGCGGGATAAACGGTTGTCTTTCAAATTCTCTCTGCACGCAATTGGATAGTGCTAAAGCCAATCAGAGCAACAAAGACGGCGACGTACTCAGCGGAGCAAGTTGATATATTAAACTTTTACCGTATCCAGTCCAGCTGTCAACATTGAACATTGAAAATAAGGGAGATTTCCCGGAATCCATCCCCAAAATAAGGGATTTTTTTTATTTTTTACACGACCCACAAACTTTAAAAATAAAACACTAATCATTAAAAGTCTAAAGAGTTTATAACTAGCCTACATATGTGTGAGAGAGAAAGAGACAGTAGTGTGTCGTTAAAAAAATAACATCATAGAGAATGTTTAAATACTAATATCAGCTTACGAGGGAAACGGAGGCGGAGTAGTGGAGCTTCGGGGTGCTGGAGATGATTCGGGAGAGGTCCGTGCACCATAACCGATCAGAGCGTGCGCTGAAACGGAGTAAAGCCTTTATACTCGACGACAAAATGACAAGTTGATCGTTTCGCAACAGCTTTTTTGTAACAGCGCGCCCGGCGCCGGCCGCATCTGAGGATGAACGACTTAAAACCGAATATGTCCGAGCTTGCTCTGACCGTCGCAACTCTGTCGTCATTTTGTTAAGCCCGCCCGCCGACTCTATACACGATGTGATTGGCCCTTCCAGAGTTGGGGTTTTCCAGCTAAAATGTCTATGAAGAGTTGCTAGACCACACTTTGCTGCAAAATAATTTTTGCTGACGCTAGGGTGCGTCTAGATTTCTAGGCTAGAGGAGAAGTGCTTTAGTTTCACAATCTGTTCAATTTGACAACATTCTTTGACGTCTGAGTGACAGGCATAAGCGGATGATAGCTCACAGCCTTTGTTCTTCATGTACGTCCACAGCTCCTTCTCCTCCTGACTGTGAGCGAAAGAACAGTTCCCGATGTAATGACACTTCCGCTGCTGCAGCACATGGATGCAGATCTGTGGAGAAACATTCAGCGTTAGACGCCAGAAGCTCACAGTTTCAGCAACCTTATTAAAAATTGTTGTTGTTTTTTTGGCTATCTTCCTAAGTTTTTGTACTATCCTCCTAAGAGCACTTCGGTTAATGTGTAGAAGGTAATGTTCACATAATTAAATGTGAGTTAAAGGAGTAGAAAACTTTTGCTGATAATTCACTCACCCCCATGTCATCCAAGATGTCCATGTCTTTCTTTCTTCAGTCGAAAAGAAATTAAGGTTTTTGATGAAAACATTCCAGGATTTTTCTCCATATAATGGACTTCAGTGGGAAACTTTAAGTACAAACTGCAAACTTGTTCAAAGGGCTTTAAACGATTCCAGACGATGAATAAGGGTCTTATCAAGCGAAACGATCGCTCGTTTTATAAATAAATAACAAAGTTTAAGTTTTATAAGCTCAAACGCTCGCCTTGCTCTGTTCTGTAACGCACTCCTGTTCGAACTCAAAATGAACAAATCTTTTTCCGAGTCATTTGGTTCATTCGGCGAAAGAAACGAACGAGTTGATTCGGAAAAAGATTTGTTCATTTTGTTGAACGAGTTCGAACAGGAGAGTCACGAACGTGCACCACAGAACAGAGCAAGGCGACATTTGAGCTTATAAAACTTAAACTTTGTTATTTTTTTTAAAAAAATGAGCGATCGTTTCGCTTGATAAGACCCTTATTTATCGTCTGGAATCGTTTAAAGCCCTTTGAACAAGTTTGCAGTTTGTACTTAAAGTTTCTTTTGGACCTTGAACCGTTTGGTTCCCACAGAAGTCCATTATATGGAGAAAAATCCTGAAATGTTTTCATCAAAAACCTTAATTTCTTTTCGACTGAAGAAAGAAAGACATGGACATTATGGATGACATGGGGGTGAGTAAATTATCAGCAAAAGTTTTTTGAAAAGTGAACTACTCCTTTAAGCAATATATTGCAGAATCGAATCGTAATACTTGCTGTATTGTAATATGTTAAGAATCACAATACCATCGAACACATTTTTTGCCAATTCCCACCTCTAATATATTCGAGGTCGATAATTGATTGGTGAATGTTTGGATTTCATGCCGTTAACGATCTCTCTGTTACAGTCTGCATGATTTTGCCACTTTTTCAATTTTTTTTTTTCTTTTTCGACTAAACGACTAATAATATGTTGGTCAAATAACCCTCTTCAAAAGTAGACTATTAGGGGTCAGCCCTAGTCCAAGTATATTGATTGATTGATTGATTTTATTTGACCACTTAAATATAAAAATATGAAACAGTATAAAACTGTGTCATACATTCAAATAAAATACATAAGTATTCAGGGATAACACAATAAAGCCCAAAGACTTATTTCTATTGTGGTCCCTTGATACGACGCGAGTATCATATAGAGAATAGTCCAGAGTCCAGCTGGTCAACTAACCTCATCTGAACATCAGAGTAAACCAGTTGTTTTCACTCACGTCGTATTGCTGAGGAAAGGTCTTGGCGTAGGGCACAGGACGCACCGAGACCCACTTCTTCCTCTTGTGAGACTTGACCAGTAAAACCCTCCTGTCTTTGGACCAGCTGGAGAGAGACAGACAGAGGAAGAGAGTGAGACAGGTGGTGTGTGTGTGTTCAGATGTGGCGTCTGTGTGTGTCCGTCTGCACCTGTGTCGGGCTTTAGCGGTGCAGTACTTCATCGCTCGGTCCGGTTCGCTGACCAGCCCGTCTTTCCAGCACTGACCGCACACAAACATCAGCATCAGCTCCAGCTCGTGACCTTTGACCTCAGCTGCGTCTGCACTTCCTGTTCCTTGCACCACCCCATTCGTTTGCTCTGCTCTGATTGGACTTTTTGATTTGGCAGCAGCGATTTTGTTTGGTGATCGTGAAGCCACAAACACAGGCTGGTGAAGGGAGACAGAAAGAGTTGATCACTACATGCATTATGTAAAATAAAATTTTAAAATACTGTTTACTAAGTTAGTCATCACTAGTACTAGTGTCCACAGGGATCAAACCTCATACACTAAGCATTTTAAGGATAATTCACCTAAAATAAAATTTATATTGATTTTATTATATAATATATTATATATTTCAATACATATTTGAATCCCATGAGACTTACGCCCGTATATGAGCAACGTGAAAAGTCAAGATTCTCACAAAATAATTCATACGATTCATTTATTTTCATTTTATTTTTGATTCTAAATTGTTTTAATAATTTACTGTATTTTATTATTATTATTATTATTTTATTCTAAACTGTTTTAATTATTCTGATTTGTTTTGATTATTTTAATTTCTTCTATGTAAAGCACTTTGAATTGCCATCGTGTATGAAATGTGCTATATAAATAAACTTGCCTTGCCTTGCCTATTCTTTCTCGCTAAACCCAATCATCTACTTCCAGAAGTGTTGGAAGACCAACAAAATTTCATAAATTACCCTGGTGCTCTTCTAAAGTTATATGACCTTCTTTTGCAGAGCACTAATGGAGAATTTTTTGAAAATGTTATTAAATAATGGTATGTTTTATTGTCCTTTAAACATTATTACTGGTATTAAAGGTGCATTATGTAATATTTAGGAGGATCTGTAGACAGAAATGAAATATCATATTTATAACTATGTTTTCAGTGGCGTATAAGGACCTTACACAATGAACTGTTATGTTTTTATTACCTTAGACTGAGCCATTTCTATACACACCGCGGGTCCGCTTACATCGACATGTTTCTACGGTGGCCGTGAACGGACACATGTGTTTCGTCACTATGGCTACGTTCACACTGCAGGGCTTAATGCTCAATTCCGATTTTTTGAAAAAATTCGATTTTTTTGCAAGGTCGTTCACATTTCCAATTAAATGCGACCTTTTGTGATCTCCTGTGTGAACGTGAAATGACCCAGAAGTGACCCGCATGCGCAGAAGATTAATCAACGGTCAACGACGTCACTTGTTTTTTGCGGAATAGTTCTTTTTTTATATGTTGCGAGCTTTTGTTTTATTATTATTATTGCCACAGCCCATATACAAACACAGACAACAATTATTTTATCGATAGGCAAAGTTTGCACATAAATGTAAGATTTTTCCGATCCTCACCGAGGCTCGTCATAAACCCCGTTTAATTGATAGTGCGCATCCTCGGCGCTCCTTGCTTTGTCACCGGCGGCCGCGGTGCGACACTGGTGGCTGGTGTTGCCAGATTGGGTGTTTTTTCGCTACATTTTAAAGCATGTTTACATGTGTTTTTAGCCAGGTTTTCGCCTGGAAGGCTCTATAGAAATCAATCTGGCACCCTATGTACAAAGTTATACTGAGAGAGAGCGCACGTTCACAGACACCAGAATGAACGTGTTCACAGTAATGTTCATCAGGCAGTAATACAGTATATGAACGCGTTCAGGCACAACACTGGGGAAGAGACACGTCTGCAGCGGCCCATAACAGTGCAGAAACGCGTTGGAGTTAGCGTGTATTGGCTAGCTACAGGTGCGTGCAATGACGTGCGGGTCAGATATATGTGACCTGGCCGTTCAGATTGAAGTCGCATTTCAAAAGATCGGATACATATCGGATTTGGACCACATACCCAAGTGGCCTGGGTCGCATTTGAAAAGATCGGATCTGTGTCGTTCAGACTGTCATGAAAAAATCAGATACAGGTCGCATAGGGGCAAAAAAATCAGAATTAGGTCGTTTCAGCCTGCAGTGTGAATGTAGCCTATGTTGTTCTTCGTGTAGCGATCTAGCTAAAGTCAGCGGATAAAACACTGACACAATGATGAACAAGTAACAATAATATTCACAATAGCGTATCATTAAAGTCCCCGTGAACCGGAAGTTGCAAACGATTTTTCTCCAGTGCTGTGACGTATTTCCAAGTGAAACGGAATATTGAACAGAGGGCAGGGTTTTACTCTAGCGCTCCTCCTCTCCATCTCTCGCTCATAGCAAACTAACGGTTTGAGGGGAGTGGTTAAGCGTTTCCCCACCCAAGTTGCGAAACCTACGCCATCAGACAAAGAAACCGTTCCAGACCGGAAGTAACTTTTCAGATTTTGATTAAAGATTACCAAGGTAAAACATTTTTTAAATATATTTTTACTTGCACGGATTAATTGTTCACCACAAGACTAGTAATATGCGCTAACATAAGTAAATAGGTTCAATTTTGATTTCACGGGGACTTTAAACTTAATTTCTTAATTTATCTTTGTAAAGAAACCTCATTCTGCTGTCTCAGACGAAGACATCACTTCCTGTCGGCCACCGTAACTTATGTTGGGTGCAACTCGCAACTTCACCACTAGATGCCGCAAAAAATTACACACTGCACCAAAAATTGTCATTAAAACACTGAATTATTTAGTTGTTATAATGAAACAGCAAAATTAAAATCTAATAAACATGTTTTGACAAGCAAGTGAGAACATTTTCTCATACAACTTTAGAACAGCACCAATCTGAATAAATAATGCTAATTATTAAATAAATACTTTAAGATTGTATTAACATTGTGTAGTAATTGAGAAGAGACTCACTCGCTGTTTGTTCCAGTGTTTTTTGGACTCCTGCACGATCTCCTCGTGGCTGATTCCTGCGCAAAGAGAGATGAAGTTTGGGGAGTTTATCTGATGTAATGCAGCACCTCGAACATAAAACATCTACTTGAAACAGTCATTAATTCTTAAATGCCTGGCCCGGTTTACAGCTGGTACTGAGATCCGAACCACAATTATCAAGCAGCAAATATAGGTATACAAAACATGAACAGGTCAATGAAAAAATACTATTTTATTGTAATATATATATATATTTTTTTTTTATTATTATTACATTCATAACTGATGTCCCAATTGTCATTATTATTAGTATTATTGTCATAGTACTGTTTATTTTGATAACATATTAATTTCTTTTATTTGTGTGTATTTTTTAAGATATTACCATTCTCTTGTAAACAACAATTTAATTCATAGCAATAAAAAATATAGCCAATATATGTATGTGTAACAGAGCCTCTAATGTGTGTGTGTGTGTGTGTGTGTGTGTGTGAGGGATCTCCAGTAAGTGTTTGTGTACCACAGTCTCTAGTGTGTGAGATCTCCAGTGAGTGTGTGTGTGTACCCGAGTCTCTCTGCAGGATCCAGATCTGCAGTTCGATGATCGAGTGAGCGAAGCAGCAGCCGTCCTCCATCTTACAGCCCACACTGAGCTCATGACGACACATGTCAAACTGACAGCGAGGACTCAGCTCTCGGATCTTACTGTAACTCACAGCGCTGCTCTTCACCACGTGGACCAAACACCTGACACACACACACACACACAGAGAGATGCTTTACTTATAATATATACATACAGCTGGATGGATGGATGGATGGACAGACAGTTAGATATAATGATACAAAAACAATTGATGGATGGAACAATAATGAAACCAATGCATTGATGGATAGAACTAGAAAGACAGACAGATAGATGGAAGGACAGATAGATAGATAGATAGATAGATAGATAGATAGATAGATAGATAGATAGATAGATAGATAGATAGATAGATAGATAGATAGATAGATAGATAGATAGTCAAAAGTACAGACCTCAGTACCAAGTCGGTACTTAAATTTTAAAAAGGACGATACAGCCTGTCAGCAAATCCCCAAGTCATTGTTGATCACTGTAGCCAATCAGAGACATACATGTTGAGCCTGTGAACTCGGTGGCCAATCAGAGGCGTTTGAGAATCTGTTGAACAGCGCTCAAAGTGCTGGAGGGAAACGCTGGTATCGTCACACTTTTTAACTTCAGTACTGACTTGCTACCGAAGTCTGTAGTTTTAACAACACTAGATGGATGTTGTTCTCACACACTTCTTCTTGTCGAACTGATGTTGTGTTTGCAGATTGGCACACACATCGGGATCCTCCTTCCAGCGTCGGCTGATCATTCTGGGTTTAAAGTCGAAGCAGGCCTGATGAAGAACAGACACGTGTGTGTGTGTGTGTGTCACAACAGAGACGTAAGAAACACACGACTCTACATCCACAGCACTGAACCTGCTCATTTACACTTTTATAGAATAGCTTTACCTGAATAAATATGTGTCTGTGTAAAATGATGTCACTTACATTATATTAAGTGTAAGTGCTCCTAAAAAAGCTGTTTTGTCCTACATAAGGGTCAGTACTATTCCATTAAAGTGGTCATTAACATTGTTTTTATTGATTTTGTAAATAATAATTTATTCATAAATATATACTATATATTAATAAACATTAAAAAAAAAAATCACACGACATTACTTAAAATATACTATGATATAAAATATACTATAGTACTTAAAAACATTAATTAAAACATGATGTTGACAAAATATGACAAGCAAAACATGGCAAAATTGAAATAATTTAACAACAATTCTATTCAAAAATTCAGATTCAATTCATTCAAAAACAACATCTAGAATTAATTTGATTCAATTAAATAATTTGTCAATAATGTTAATGCAATCTTATTTCAACAGATTAAGTTTGAACAAAACAATATATTTGTGTTGATACACATTTAAATGTCGATTCAATTAATAAATAAAGGGTTTGAATATTTAGGTTTATTTTGCACTCTCATCAACAAAATGTTTTCATGGACTAAAATTAGCTGCAATTTTAGCTTTCGTTAATTTTATAGTAAAATTGACTAATATTAATGAATATGACGATAACTTTTTGACAAAATTTAAAGGACAAAAAATATAGCTAAATAAATCCTACTTTTATTATGAATAGATTTTAATCATTTTTTATTCTTAGCTTTTGTTATTTTTATTTCTAATGTATCTCTCGTGATTATTTTATGATTTTGTTTTAAATAATTTGTGTGTAAAGCACTCACTTTAAATCAGTAACTCCTCATTATAAGATATATATATCTTATATATATAAATCCATCAGTAAAAATCTCAAGATTGCTATCGAATCATAAAATTTTAAACACGAGTGAGTGTGTGTGTGTGCTGTTACCTCACAGAGGAACATGAACATGCCCGTGTGTGTGTTCAGCAGTGTGGTGACGCTGAGTGCTTGTCTCTCATTGGTCGCCAGTGGATTGAAGAGCAGCTCTCGGACGAGTAAGCCCCGCCTCTCCTGCGTCCACACGTCAATCTCTTCTTGACAATATGCAAACGTGCAGCCCTCACCGTACTTACACACCTGACTCTCCAACACCTCTACACACACACACACATAGGGTGGATTCAATCACATTAATCAAGGTACTAGTTAGGCTTGCTATGATAGTCGGTGTTGACGGTGTTCAAGAGCAACTAAAGTCCCCACTGGCGATTCTGATTATTATTTTAAATAAAATCATGTAGTTCACTAAAAGAACAGTCACTACGATAAAAAACTGAACGTGTCTGCGTAATAAATCGCAGCCCAGATCAGCAACAGGAGTCAGATTTCATTACTCACGAGAGCGAGAAACGGACCGACAAGACGATGACGGATAATATCTGGTGTCAAAATTTGTCATTGTTATTTGTCATTGTACTGTTTTGTTGTTGTGTTTTAGCATAATAGGCTAATAAACTCAAGCAATACACCCCTGAATTGCTGCTAATTTGAAAGCGAAACTAAAATGTGTGGCCGCACGTGTCCACCAGTGTTTCAGTTCATTCCTATGGAAAACACTCGCTGTGCTTCACACCATTACGAATGCACGAGCGGATGCGCGCATTTAACTTTCGCCTTCAAAATAGCGATTTAAAAGCCCCGCCGGTGATACCGGTGTTCTCACACGTCAATTAACCAGTGAAAAAACATCCTAGTGCTCGATAATCAAGTCACTCAGCATGTGACGCACCTCTGCAGAGCGCGAAGGCCGCATGGAAGTTGTTGCGAGTTGGGCGGGGCCGGATCCGCCTCCAGGGCGAGTTAGCTCCGCCCCTCCGCCGGCACAGCAGAAGGTCCTTCTGACAGCTGTGGTTCACTTCAGACCTGAGCTCAAAATCCAGCACACCTGGACCTGAGAGAGACACACAGACACGTGAGGTAAAGCCAGAGTATCTCAAATGATGCAAGTTGATGCGTAATCAGATTACTTTCAAGTAACTAGTAAAGTAGCGTTACTTTTAAATTTGAACCAGAATATCTGACAGCTCTCCTGTCCTCATGTTGACAGAAATCAGATGAGAAAGATGGATAGATAGGATGAGAAACAGATAGATAGACAGATAGATGGATAGATATGATGAGAAACAGATAGATAGACAGACAGACAGACAGACAGACAGACAGACAGACAGACAGACAGACAGATAGATAGATAGATAGATAGATAGATAGATAGATAGATAGATAGGATGAGAAATAGATAGATAGATGGATAGATGGATAGATACGATGAGAAACAGACAGACAGACAGATAGATAGATAGATAGGATGAGAAATAGATAGATAGATGGATAGATAATAGACAGACAGACGGACAGACAGACAGACAGACAGACAGACAGACAGACAGATAGATAGATAGATAGATAGATAGATAGATAAACAGGATGAGAAATAGATAGATGGATAGATAACAGACAGACAGACAGACAGACAGACAGATAGATGATAGATAGATAGATAGATAGATAGATAGATAGATAGATAGATAGATAGATAGATAGATAGATAGATAGATAGATAGATAGATAGAGGATGAGAAATAGATAGATAGATAGATAGATAGATAGATAGACAAATGAGATTGACGATAGATAGATAGATAGATAGATAGATAGATAGATAGATAGACAGATAGATAGATAGACAGATGTGAATCACCTGTAGAAGTGAAGCAGCTGCTGCAGGCTTGAGCAAATTCATGTGTTTGTTCCAGTGGGTTCTTGGACAGACAGGAACGAGTGGAGGTCACATGACCATTCCTCTGTAACACACACACACAAACACACACACACACACGTTAACCCTCTCTTGTGTTAAACAGAGAATCTGTAATGCGTTCACATCACCAGCAGTCAGAGACGACACACTCACCTCATGAGAAGAGTTCGTCAGTTTGACCGACGGCAGAAAACTACGACCAACTTTCCCACCTGACAGAGAAATTAAGTCATATAAAGATTTCAGTTTCTGAACAGGGAATTTAACAAGTGTTATTTCTAGAGATTAATCAAATATTAAAAAGTAATATGAATGTGATTGAATGTGAAGTCTCTCAAGTTCAAGATATCAAACCAAGATGCAAAAAGTAAAGTAATCAGATAAAAAGAGAATAAACCTTGAAAAACATTAAGATCTTGAAACTGGGGGTCACAAGATGTAATTATTTTACATTTATTTGCAATAACTATATCTCGACACTGCTAGTATCTGTAAATAAAAGGTTTCACTTTATTTTGATGGTCCCTTTTACACATTCTGTTGACTGTAAGAGGCGTTGCACCTACATGTCTAACTCTCATTAGAGTATCATTAGGCTTATTAATATTTATTTTAAGCCAATTTGTTACAATGTCTACTAACTCTTGTTAGAGCATCAGTAAATTATTAGTACGGTTAGAATAAGTTGACATATTGTTTGCTGAGTTGCTTATAGTCAATAGATTGTCGGATCATCACAATAGTCAAGTCACCTTCATTCATACAGCGCTTTTAAGAATATAGACTGTTTCAAAGCAGCTTTACAGAGATAATAGGAAATTAAAGTAACAGAGATAGTTTGGGCTTCACAGCAGCTCTAAAATAAAATTATTGTCCAGCTAAAAATTGTAGTTGTAACTGATTAACTTCCATCGCAACGATCATTAATTATGAACTCGCTTAAACACACCGTTCTAACTAGAGCCAGACCGATATATCGGCAGGCCGATATTATCGGGCGATATTACGCATTTTCCAAACTATCGGTATCGGCAGTTATAATGACCGATAAATGAATATTTCAAAAATAAAATAAAAACGGATGAAACATGCTTCAACCATGTCATGAGTCTTGGAGTTGTATAGTTTGTCCACCAGAGGGCACTCTACACCGTCCCTGTTGGCAACACTCATTGAGTTGGCCACGACACATACATTGCTTGAATAACAATTAATCTCTCCTTGGCCTGTTATATTGAAAATGTATGTTTTCCAATTTGCATTATGACGTTATCCATTGCTAAATTATGGCTCATCATAGACTAGCTAACCACAAAGCAAGCTAATGCCACTATCATCAGTCTGTTCTGTTGTGACAATAAAAGAAACAAGTTTCTTATTAAAATGCATTATCATATTATTTTAGTTAAAACTCATAAATAACTAATGTTAGGGAAATCTGTTAATGTTTTGTTGTGCATTTCTGAAAAAAAAATAAACAAAAAATAAAAATATCGGCCGATATATCGGAATATCGGATTTCAAAACCAACAAATATTTGTATCGGTATCGGCCTTCAAAATCCTTTATCGGTCGGGCACTAATTATAACAGAAAACCCTTAATGCGATCCGTCCGCTCATTCAGACAACAACAATGTCTAGTGGCTCGAGAACGCAAACCTAGAAAAAGCAGTTAGCGAACTATAAATAAAACAATAAAACAAAGAGTTAGCCGATATTAAGCAGACAGTCTCCTAATACTCTAACTAGAGATAGTTGACACATAGGTGCAAAGTTACTGAAAGTCAACAGGATGTTTAAAAGGCACCATCAGAATAAAGTGTCACCAGATAAAAGATCTTCGTAATCATGGACCTGGCAGAGTGAATTCAGACAGCGAGTCGAGCACGTCTCCTCCCACCACCAGAGGGCGCTGCGGGAGAACCACGTCTGTGGACGGAAATATGGAGTCCAACGCGTCCAGGGTGGAGCACGAGTTCGTCTCAGGCTTAATGAAAGAGTCCAGCGAGTTCAACTGACTCCCGACGGAGGAGAAGAACGCCGGAGGAAGACGAGGAGACGGAGACGGGAAACACACCCGACCGGGGGAAACGACTCCAGTCTGAGTGACAAACATGGAAAGAGTCAACGGGTAACTATAAGCTGGATCACAAACACACAATTTCATTTCATATTCATTAGGGGTGTCACAATATATCGTGTCATGATATTATCGCAATTCAAAAGTACATCAATATGTATTGTGGATAGTTCACCCAAAATGATAATTACTGTGAGAGAAAATTCTTTTTAGTGTCAGTACCACAGTATACTACTATATATAAGGGCTGGGTAATAAATATCGATTTCTCTATATTAATCGATTCTCATTTTTACGAACCGATATCGATTCTTAAATCTCAAGAATCGATTAGTCGTCCTGTTTCATTTGAATGAATGGGACATTGTATCGCGGCTGCGCGCATCCAAAAAAAAAAATCGCAATAATCTTTGTCCTTTGTTACTATTGATATGAAACAAAGTCTCAATTATCAAATTACGTCCATTTTCTTTAGAAATTCAAAAACATAAATAACGTTTTGGCGCTGTGGCGTGAGATCGCTCTGGCGCAGCTCAAGAGAAGCAGCAGCGCTGATCTCTCTTCCGGCTTAATAATACCAGTTACAGTGCGAAATAAACATGAAAGTGTGTTAAAAGATAGAGTACAACTTATCGAAATCCGTATCATGTCACATTGATTCGCTCAATCAGCGTTTCAACCATGGAAAGACGTCAGTTAAACAGCTTGTAATCATGTCATGTATCGTCATATTTACCTCAGAAAACCCATAAACTCGTTAGTCAGCTAGAAATATAACTCTAGAGAGGATCATTTTGCTAAATATATACACCATATTACATATGCATTATAATCTTAATGTTCTTCAATATTTAATGTATATTTGAATAAATCTGGCAAGTTTTTATGACAGTCACCATTTAAATGTTTATATTTCATATAATCTTCTTATTATAAAATAGATAAAAGTGTAATTTGTATAGCTACAAAACATTTCATTATTACCTTCATATTAGGCTAATGAAGCCTATTGGCTACAACTAGACTCCCATAGTTTACAGCATTAGTTAAGAGATTTGATTTCCTTGAGAAAATTTGCCATTTATTGTAACTGATATCCAAAATAATCAATATTGAATCGAAATCGAATCGGCCACCGTAACCATAGATATCTATATAAAGGCTAGATATGTCGTCCACGCTGCTGGCCAATGGAGGTCGACGTCTGCACCAGGCGGCCATCTTGTCACAGAGCGCACACTTACTCGTAACATTGTGTTAATGGTGCATGTACTATTTAAATGACCATAACTTGCTCAATTTTCTACCGATTTCAAACGGTTTGTTTTGTTATAAATGTCAGAGATGTAGTTATGACACTGCATACTTATGAATAAAAAGTGTATAAATAAATAATCATCCAGATAATTATAGCCACATTAATAACGTTTGTAAGAAACCAAACCGTTTGTAAATCCGTCAAGATTTCAACGAGATAAGAGTATTTGTGTTCGTGCTGACCACTCATCTTACATCAGCTTACCTGTGACAAAATGGCCGCCGGTGATGAGGATGGAAACTCCGCTTTAACACATTTAGCCTTTATATACATATCTATGACCGTAACTTCTGTTGGGTGCAACTCGCAACCTCACCACTAGATGCCGCTGAACATTACACACTGCACCTTTAATCATCATAAGTCTTGGAGTATCACAATGATATGGTCCTGTAAGTTCAGTGTGGTGATAGATATCAAATTGTGCGATGAGGGCATCGTTACACTCCTGATATTCACCTGCGGTGTGTCTTCCTCTTTGGACATGCAGTCCAGCAGACTGTCCAGCTCGTCCCCCATCAGGTCATTGTCCTCCAGCGGCTGAGACACGGGCACCGACAGACCCAGGGCCTCATGGGAGTCGCTCACGGGGACCGGGGCCGGTAACACAGGAGACAAACCCGCTGCCAAGACAAGAGACAACACTGAACAAACACCCCTAATCAACAGAGTTTAATGAAGCATTTGCATACTTATCGACCCGTGTTGGAGGGTAACTCATTACTAGAAACAGTCGAAAAGAAATTAAGGTTTTTGATGAAAACATTCCAGGATTTTCTCCATATAATGCACTTCATTGGGAACCAAATGGTTCAAGGTCCAAATCCTGGAATGTTTTCATCAAAAACCTTCATTTCTTTTCGATTACAGAAAAAAGACATGGACATCTTGGATGACGTAAATTATCAGCAAAAGTTTTTTTTAAAAGTGAACTACTCCTTGAACACAAGTTAACAACACTACTAAACATAAACAAGCATTAAACAATTCTTAATCTTAATCTAACATCACTGTTAGTTAATGTTAGCTAATGCAAGTTAACCAGTGAGATCTTTTAGTAAAGTTTATGCGTTTGGCCGACTCTTTTATCCAAAGCGACCTTTAAAGTATTTCATCAGCTCAAGCTTTCTCTGGGGAGTGAGCCAAAGACCTTGGCGGATCTAGCGCTGCTCTTCACTATCTGAGCGACAGAAAAACACACTGCATTCCCTGATTTTCACACAGAGTATCATGGTATTCTCAACATAATAAATGCCTCTGAGTACCTGCAGAGTCAGCCACTCTCTCCGGCTCGACGGACGATATCTGTGAATAAGAACAAAACACAAGAGAGAGGGGAATCATGTCTTAATCTACTCATCTGAGCTGTACCGAACACAGATTAAAAAGTTTAAATAAAAAGTCCTGCCTCATCTAAAGGTGGCGATATGAGCCTGTTGTCCTCAGATCCTGATGCTTTCCCACGCTGAGAGAGAATAATAAAGAAATGTTACATTAATAAATATGATTATCTTCATGAAACATCTCTTTATTGCACTGAAACATAACGTTTAAAAACATGTCCTGCAGGGGATTGTGGGTGCTCACCTGAGAACTGATGTACGCTTTTCTGTTTCTCAGGCCTAGACTAACTGCAATTTCCTGGGACAAATTACTGACCGTCTGGTCCTGAAAAAGACAGAAAACTTCAGAGTCAGACAGAAGACATTAGCCCTAGACCATGTCACATGACCCGACGCAACTAAACTAATGTGCAGCTAAACACTAAAAATGCTCCAGAAGATTAGGTTAATTTATGTGTTTATTAGATAACAGAAAAAAAAACATCCCTAATTTTCTAATTTAGATAAATATATATTATACTCTATAAATAATTTTCTTAATATACATATTTAATAAATATTATTCCCAGTTATGCCAGTTAACTGTTTATTTCAGTTCAATTTGTCGTTCTGAAATTTCTGTTTTTGAATACTATGTTTTTATTTTTACTGTGTATTAACTTAGTCTATTTAGGCAGCTGAAATGTTTAAAATGATTTAGTGACACGCTGCTTTTAATGTCATATTTATACATTTAGTTTAAAAACGGGTTGAATAATATAGATTACAAAATAAATACATACATATAAATATAATAACTGTGCATTTTAGAGATTTTGAATAGTATGAATATGAAATGGCTTAAGTTTGTTTTATTTCCCATTGAAAGATAAACTGGACTAAAAGTATAAAATACAGTAAAAATGTAGTTCGATAATTTTTTATAATTAAATTGCATGTTAAATAATATATTTTTTTTTCGTTTAAATAACACTACGTTTTAACTAAATTACTTAAGAGATTTAAATCAGGTTTATTAAGCACTAACATATTAACACACATTAATAAACAGCAACAGTTACGCCAGTTAACCATTTATTTGTTTAATTTTATAAACATATATAATTGTTAAAATGCTGAATATTTGACTGTTTTTATTATTTTATTTTTTCATTAATTCCCTGTGTATTAATTGTATCTATTTTTTTTAAATGATTCTTAAAATGGGACATACAGCTTTAAATATCACATTTATACTTTTAGTTTAATTGTACAAATAGTGATGATAAGGGTAAAACAAACCAATAAAAACTGTGTGAAATGGCTTAATTTTGATAAATACATATTTACAAATGATAAAATACAGTAAAAATAACTACTTAATTCTTAACATTTTAAATAATATTAAATAATCATGTTATTAATTCCTCTAAAGCACACATTATTGTCATGTTTACCTGCGGTGAGGCCAGCAGACACGCAGCGCTGCAGTCATACGCCTCCCTCAGTCTCCCAGACTCCTTCAGGCACACGGCTTTACGGTATAACGCTTTAGCGCGGTCTTTACACACCTCCAGAGCGCGGTCGCAGTCCCTCACCCCGCTGTCAAACTCACCCTGACGGAGAAAAACAACATATTTAAACTCTTGTTTTTCATTAGTGATCAGTGCTAGACCGATATATTGGCCGATATTGGAATTTTTTCTGTTTGGCCGATGAGTGTCAGAAGCTTTTATTTTGAAAGCATGTACAAGAGCTCCCGTTCTTCACTAGTTTACTGTCTGACAGAACTGATGAACAAAGAAGGCGAATTGCATTTAAAAAGTATTTTAGCATTTAACTATATTTTTTTTTTAAATAGAAATGCAAACACTATAATACTTTCTCATATACAGATGAAAGCTGATAGCATCCAGGCCGTACTTCATGCAAAAGGGGCCCAAACCAAGTCCTAAGTACATATGCATGATTATACTTTTCAGAGGACTGACATTTCTGTATTTAAAATCCTTTTTTTTAATTGATTTCATGTTATATTCTAATTTTGAATATGGGGTTTCCATAAGCTGCATGCCATAATCATCAAAATTATAACAAATAAAACATGTAATGAGTCTACTAGTATATTAGTTTCACCTTTTAAGTTAAAAATAAATGAACTTTTGGACAATATTCAAATTTTTCGAGTTTCACCTGCACTGTCGGCGTTCAGAAAATACGAATTTATATAATGTAAAGTTTCATTACAAAAATACACCATTTAACTTTTGTCTTTCTAGTAGTAAAAAAGAAAAAGAAAAACTGCACGCATTTTGCAGAACAACATTGTTTTGGTTGTGCTTTGTGCTTTGGAATATGTTTCTCCTACTGCTCATAAAACATTCACTACTAGACCTAAGAGATTAAACCAGTTTAGACGGAAACTTTAGACGATGAACATCTAGAAGTCCTCAACCCAGTTAAAGTGGTCTGGTTCTCATAGTGTCCCTCGTCTGGAGTTAGAGAGAGGGTTCAGTGACCTTCAATAAGCTCTTACTCATGCTATCACGCCGGCCTTGCTCCTTATCCACGTCTGGAGATATCCTCGCCCGGTTCCTCAGGAATCCTTGAACATTCCTAGCATCCCAGCGCATGACTTATTGACGCTAATGTATTCCTGCCGTCGAGTTTATATACACTAGCTGAACAATAAACCTCAGAAAGAGCTTGAACACTGAACTCTTGTCTGTGCTTTTAATGTCTTCTCATGGCGAGGAGCAACTAAGAGTACTGGGGCAAAAAGGCTCAATCTTACTATAAATCAGCAAATAAAAATCCTTCAAAGCAAACAGACTTACTAGATTACCGAGAGCACTGTGGGTTCCAGGGTTTACTTTCTTTTAATTCATGTTTTTAGAGCCAGACCGATATTATCGGCCAATATTAGGCATTTTCCAAAATATCGGTATCGGCAGTTATAATGGCCGATAAATGAATATTTCAAAAATAAAAACGGATGAAACACGCTTTAATCATCTCTCCTTGGCCTGTTATATTGAAAATGTATGTTTTACAATTTGCAGTATGACGTTATCTTAGGGCTGTCAAACGATTAATCGCGATTAATTGCATCCAAAATAAAAGTTTGTGTTTACAAAATATATGTGGGTGTAGTCACTGTGTATTTTATTATTATTTATATATATATATATATACCCATGCTTGTGTATGAGAAATATTTCCATGTATAAACTGTATATAGATTTATATAATCTACATTATATATAAATATACATATTCTATATATAGATTTTTTTTTTCTTAAATATACATTCATGTGTGTATTTATATATATACAAAATAATTATACACAGTACACCCACATATATTATGTAAACACAAACTTTTATTTTTGATGCGATTAATCGTTTGACAGCCCTACGTTATCTATTGCTAAATTATGGCTCATCATAGACTAGCTAACCACAAAGCTAGCTAATGCCACTATCATCAGTGGAAGACCGCTAACGTTAACATTAATGAGCTTGGAAACCACAATGAACTTTTTCTGCCTAAATAAAGTAATGATTATCGTATTCATAACTAGCATATCTCTAGTTACCGTCCCTGCATTGTAAAATGTAAGTTATACTTGCGAGGAGTGAACATTTAGATGTAGAGAAAAAGTATCAAACGTATCTTGTGCAGAAAAGTTAGCTTTTCTTTTACACGTGTGTGAAATCCAACGACGCCAAGTGTGCGTTGCAGACTGTCGTTCTGTAATGGATTTAGATTAGAATCGCTAAATAGTAGGTTTTCGAAGGCAGGCAGCAACTGATGATTGAAAATGGTTTGATATAGCTTGATGGAAAGAATTTAAAAAGCGCAGGTAAAGGGATAAGCAAGCTGACATTGTAATTATAAGGTAGCTTACAAGGCAATGTAGGGACTAATTATTATTTTATTTATCAGAACTTTAATATATTTTGATGTTCCCCTGTTCTGTTGTGACAATAAAAGAAACAAGTTTCTTTTTAAAATGCTTTATCATATTATTTTAGTTAAAACTCATAAATAACTACAAATAACTATGTTAGGGAAATCTGTTAATGTTTTGTTGCACGTTTCGTAAAAAAAAATATCGGCCGATATATCAGATTTTAAAACCCAAAAAATATTTGTAGCGGTATCGGCCTTCAAAATCCTTTATCGGTCGGGCTCTAGTTTTTAACCGAATCTGAAGCATAAATTGCTTATTAAAATTTTTTTTTTTCATGTTCATTTTTATTTACGGTGAAATTCTTTTTTGTAAAATGTTTCAGTATAAAAGAGATCATTAGATTTCAATGGGGTAAATAAAAGTACAATAAAATATGTTTTGCGCTTCCAAAAACAGCAGAATCTGAGTGCAAGAGAACATGATATTGTTCATTTAAAGTCCCTGTAAAGGCAATTCTACAAAAAAAGTTCTAAACACATTATAAATGTTGCATATGTATTGCTAAATCTGTGAAGTACTCAAATGTGGAGTTAGACTGTTAAACAGTTTTTCCCCATTGCAATTTTACGGATTGTTTGGGCGGGGCTAAAACAGGGCTCGATGACGCACTGGAGCCCACGAGCTCCTGGACACTAGGGCTGGGCGATATGGCCAAAAAATCATATCTCGATATTTTTTGGTCAAATGGCGATATACTATATATATCTCGGTACTTTCTACATTTTCTATTTAGATAAAGAAAATCTTTATATTTAAAAAAAAAAATATATATATATATATATATATATATATATATATATATTATATATATATTCACATTCGGCCCAATGATATCCTACAAACAATGTTGATATTGAAGGATATGGAGACAAATATAATATAGGCTATGCAATATATTATGTGCAAAAAGCTTTTGTTTTTATATTGACTAAAAGCTAAACTAAAAATGAAAATAAAAAACAAAAACAAAAGCACAAACTAATTATTAGCCTGCATTTGATTCCCCATTATAATCACTTTCACTTTCATTAAAAATATATACTTGTAGGTTTAAAATTCCACATATGGCGCATTTATTTTCTCCAACAACAAAAATTTTAGCAATATGTTTATTTTAGTCAGAATTATTGCGTACTACGTAGTACTATTCACGCGCATGCGCGCGCCGGCGCGCGTTCAAGCATGAATTTTAGCGGAGATTCACTTGCAGAAGCTCGTCCTCTTCTGACATGGACATATTTGTTGTGAAATGGACATATTTGCTTTACTTTCTAACATTTACAGATGGAGAATATACCTGTGAAATGTAAGTTGAGCACTGAGGAAAGCACCACATCTCAAACGCATTAAACAGCGCAAGTATATCTGTCAGTCAGCAACAGTGTCTGTCAGAGCATTTGACAGGGCGGCAAGCTGCCTTAAACTTGTTAACTATATCAAAGTGATTTTGACGCAATTAATATAAGTCATGTTTAGGACAAATTGTACTACGTAGCCTAGCTACTTTCACTGCAGCAGCTCACACTGCAACCTCCGCTATTTTTCAGATGTGCTCATATCAAACTACTGTATCGATATAAACGGTATTGCCTCATTCCATATCGTTTCAAAAAATATAACGATACATCGTACATACTCGATATATCGCCCAGCCCTACTGGACACGCCCCTATTTGATGACGCACAGAGTCTGATCTCTCCCCTAACACACAATAACACTCCCCGAGCACATTCGCATTCACCGCTCAATCGCGAGTGACTGTCAGTACTATTAGTTACTACAGCTGAGCATACAGTTTTCTAGCTAGCTATGCCTTCGACACAGACATGCATGGGCTACTACCTGGATGCGATCATGTAAAAAACAGATCAGTATCTTCATTTAAATTCCCTAAAAACGATCACATCAAGAAGAGGTTTTTAGAGAGCCAACCTTGATGAAGAGCTGAGGATCACCCCCAACACCCGCCTCTGTAGTGATCATTTTACACTGGATCGTTTTATAAACTTTCCTCAGAGACAACTGGGATTCACTGATAATCCGCTGTTACTGGTGAACGGGGCCGAAACGACGATCTCCCGCCTCAGCTTTCATCCTCCCGTCGCGAAAGCAGTATCAGCTAATATCACCGTCAACAGCTCCCGCTAGTGGGCGTGGTTTCAGCGCAGCCAGCGGACTGAGCAGTTATCTCTGTTCCCCAGCGTTTGAGAACAGAGATAACTGCTCATTTTTTCATGATTTTGATAGCTTATTTTATGTACTTGCCGGCTTTTTTTATCATTCAAAATTTGGATGGGTGGCTAATAACACATTTTTCTGTGGTGTGACAAACACATACTTAATTTTGACTTTACAGGGACTTTAATTTCATCTGCCTCTCTAAAGCACAACTCATTTATAATGTTTCTTCCCCGATTGCAGCAACTTTCATTTATGTTACACCAATTTCCCAGGAAGTGTTGATTTTGTTCACTTAAACACAGGATGGAAATGCAAATTCGTAAAACGTTTTATGCGAGATTCTACAAGTTTTTTATTTTATGTATTTATTCATTTAGCAGATGATTTTTTCCAAAGCGACTTACAAATGAGAATGACAATAGGACAACAATATACAAGTCCTATGACCCCCTCTCAGTTTAATTGCAAACACAGGTAGACTCACCATGTTCTGATGTGTGGCGGCACGGTTGATGTAGAGACTCTCCAGCAGGGCGTTGGGAACGTGAAGCCCCTCGGCCTGAGCGTAAAGAGACACATTGACGCCCTCGCTGAAATGAGCCCGTGCCTGAGTCCACTCGCCCTCTCGAAACGAGGCGTTGCCCTCGTCTAAGAGATCACACACCAGCTGAACCACAAACCCCTACAACAGCGACAGAAGAAACAGACAGAATACAAACAAATGGTCATTATGTATCTTTTTAACATTCAATTTGAGCTATTATTCAGATAAGCATTTGTGTGCAAAACATCCTCCAACCTCATAGCCTGCAGGGTCCGGATAAGGCAGGGAACATCTGTAGACACGGGATAAAAACAGTCACTCGAAATTAAATTATAAGAGTAATAGTGGAGATTGACAGAATAGATCAGTGCTTCTCGACTGGATTGTTTCACACAATCTGCTCATGTTGTTGACATCTGTCGAATTTGACCAGATAACGCATGAATTGGTGCCAAAATACTTTGATTGGATGCCAACACAATCTACTATCAAAACAAAGCGAAAACTCATTTTTGGGCCCTGACCAGCCAGTTGACAAGCAATAAAAGTGTTCGCTGATAGACTAGAGTTGAAAAAGCTTCTTCAATGCATTCAACCAAGCACAATCTAATGAAACATGATAAAGGATTTTGACAAAAACTACATGTTGGTGAACCTTCTTTCTCCTGGCCTAATCGGCAACGGATATAAACACCGAGAATAATAGAGCAATCTAAATGTATTTCTCACTCAGGGTTTGATAGTTTGCCGTACTTGATGAAGCTCAGCGCTCTCCGAATCTCCTCTCTGCGCTTCTGACGCTCAGCGCTCATGTTTGACCATCACAAGCCTGAAAAACAAACAAACGCATGTGTAAAAGTTCACGTTTACCATCTGTTCAACACAAAGTCACAAATGCCATCAATGTAAAAGTGAAATGTAAAAACCCAGTGTTTATTACAGAAAACAAACTGGTAGCTGTGATTGGAAGTATCTGTACATACTTACAGAAACTGTAAAGCTTACAGTTTTAAAACTGTAATTTACAAAAAAGTGACATTTCAAAAGAGTTCACCGTAAATTACAGGATATTTGTTGATTTTTACTTAACTTTATATTAGTTTTTTTCCCCATGCATTAGGTTACATAGGAAGAGAACTCACTGAGTCACCAATTTACCATTTTTAGTTTTTTACAAATAGCTACAACCATTTTTTTTTTTTTGCGTTTATGCACCAAATGTTAAAAGCCTGAAGGAGGTAACATCACTTTTAAATTATTACAGTCTAAAAAATATTATAGCATAAACTGCATATTCAGATCCTACCCAAAAACCGCTAGTGTACTGGTACTGGAAGTGGACATTTAAAACACGCCCAAATGAACTTCCTCCCTACAGTTTCTGCAAAAACGAAACGGAAGCAGCTGGAAATAAACATTCACAACGAAGACCTAATAACCCACAAAGTCAGCCACCAAAGAGCAAATACAACACACGCCCGAATACAGTCTCATTTCACAATCACTCAACAACTTTCCAGACGACTCCTCTAAACTCACCTGAGTCTGGAGAAAATCAAGACCAAACGCGCTTTCTTCTGAGCCTCGCGAGTGTTTATTATTTAGTGGTTCGTGTCTAAAATATTATAGGAATGACTGTCAGATTATGAATTGATCAATCTCACGACATTTTCTAGATGTATCATGTATCGACAACACTGCACTGTGAACTCGACAAATGTTTCCAGTTAATAACCGCTTCTTCTCGTGAGACACACGCGACCGTTCCGCCAGGCGGCACGAATCTCACTCTGCACTTTTTTTAATAATGTTATTATTCATTAGTAGGGACGTAAATACAGTGAAAATGTTCATTTATAGAGTCGATAACTCGTATACAAAAGGAAACACGCTTTAATAAATATTATTATGTAATATAATAACCCATTTCCAGGAATCAACAACATCTGTGATTGGTCCATCCGAACCAGCGCTGATAAAAGTAACACTTGTCACGTGACAGTGACGTTACGATATAACGGAGGTCTCTGGATACTATTCAACTTTTTATAGCCTAACAAAATTATAAACATTTATATTCCTAAATGATTTTGTATTTTGATTTAATATACCCGTTATTTACTAACATAAACATAAAGGCTCTTAGTTTGTTGGTACGTGAGTCGTGACTCGTGAGTGACCGTGTGTTTTAGTTTTGAGAAAAGTTTTTAAGGAGAGACCTTTAATTCCCTCTCAAAATGTTAGTATCCCACACAACACAATTATACATCTAGACACAGTGGGGGAAAACATACGTTCCACTGCAGTCCAACAACTTATTAAAGCTACCTGTCAACAAAATCAATACTTTGAATTATTACTATTTTTAATCCTAAACTAGTTACACCGTTGTTGGTATGTGTTATTTTTCACCACAGGCAGTAAATCTTAAACAAATGACAAAAAAGACGCAAAATTAAGGGCTCTGGAATATTAGGGACATCGAACTACAAACCCCATGAATCACTGCGCGTCAACACCACTTGCGTCATCAGCGCGAGCGGGAGGAAGGAATCGGGAGAAAAAAGAAATAGCCTACATCTACAGCCAGAAATCATTTCAAATACCACTTGTAAGTACAAACATAATATGTATACACTACGTTTGTTCCGGGAACGAGTGTATATGTTGTAATAGGCTGAGTCGCTTAAAACGTGTTTTGTGTGTATGTTCATACCTTACAGTCTATGGTTCATACAAGTGACACATTAATTTTGGGGTGAACATCATTTTAACTTGTACAATAGGTTTATTTGGGATGAATTAATCTATGTAACTTACTTGAATATTAACAATAAAAATAATTAAGGAATTACACTACAGATGAACATGGTAAAAGATGATTTAATAGATTTTGACTTATTGAATGATTACATTAAGAATTGTTTTACTAGTTTTCTGAAATGTTATGTTTAAATGTGCAACGAGGTATTATCTAGTTAAATATCAACTAATTAGCTTACATTTCCAGAAGTTAAATCTGAACATTGGATAAAGCCAGGTTCAATATTCTTGTTTAACTTTCTTCACATATTAGAGTTAAAGGTTTTTTTACCGTGGGGATTTTGGATATCTCTTTTTATATATTCACAAGTCAGAAAATACTGTCAACACCAGCCTGAGATACTGAATACTTTCACTCATTTTTTTTTTTCCACAAAAGTCAGCTGAATGACATATGAACAAAACCCCTCAGTAAAAACCTATCTTCATGATTCTCTTGAACTGTTTCTTCTCTGTTTCAACTCGTATGTGTTTATATTTGGTCTTCAGTTGGTGTCAGGATGGCATCAGATGATGTGGCAAATCTCGCCGACTCGTTGGCGAAAGCTCAAGTCAACGAGGGAGAGCTCAGCTATAAAGGACAGGGTCTTAAACTGGACAACGCTCAGTCTGGTGAGCTCAGACGCACATCTGATCACCTCACGTCTGTGTCTGGTGTGTTTATGAGAGAATAATGTGAGGTTTTGTGTGAAGTGGAGAAGATGGTGAAGGAGATCGAGGAGTTTGACGGTCTGCGTGCGCTCAGGCTGGAGGGAAACACCATCGGCGTGGAGGCGGCGCAGACTATCGCCAAAGCCTTGGAGAAGAAGAGTGACCTGCAGGTGCCGAAAACACACTCATGATCTTCAGCTTTATTAAACTCTGTCCTAAAACAGTCCATCATGATCTGAGAGTGGCTTGCAGGCCTGTCAACTAACCGGAAATTAGAAATGTTGCCTTAAACTGAAATATAAATAAAAGCCCATTTGCCCCACAATCATGCTTATATCATGCATAAAAAGTCAAAATTATGACTTGAAAAGTTGAAATTATGACTTAAATTGGAATTTATCTCATAATTATACTTAATATGTCATAATTTCAATTTATTAAGTTTCGAGCTCATTTCCGCCATATAAGAGAACAATATTATGAATAGATATTATTACTTTAAAGATTATGATTTTAAAAGTCATAAGTACGACATTAAAAATCAAACAGGTAGAAGCGAACCTGTCATTTTTGTTTTTCTATAATATAATAAAACAATATATTTTATGTCGACGTTTTATTTATGACTTTCAAAGGCCAAATTATGATTACTTTTGATCTAAAATGATGTTAAAAGTCGTAATTTTGTTATATTTTATAATAATCATTCATTATTTTATTATATTATAGAAAAACTAAAATAGCAGGTTCACTTGCAGCAATAATAAAGAAGATTTGTGATGATCACACAATGTTACAGAGAAAAAATGAGAAATATTTATATTATTTTTGAATTATGGAAATCAGTAAGAGTTTGTTTTGTGCGTTTAATTGTTGGCTACCAAGAGCAAGAAAACACATTTAGGACGTGTTTGTAATGTATATTTACGTAATGCTGTCATTAGGAAACAAAAGGAATCAATGTCCTGTACAGTATCTCTTTGTTTTTCTGTGTTAGTGCTGCCACTGGAGCGACATGTTTACCGGACGCCTGCGAGCTGAAATCCCTCCTGCGCTGGTAAGATTTGATGATTTAACAGTTAAAGTTTTCTTCACTGTACCACGATCATCTTTGATTCGTGAAACCCTTTGCGAACTCTATATTACACCCAACATGGTCCTCCTAGTAAGTAGTTGTGTTGGTGAAAGTTACGTCTAAAATTAATGTATTACAATATTGCATTACTCACTTAAAAAGTAACTAATTGTTTTAATTTTTATTGAAAGTAATGCGTCACGTTACTTTTGTGTTACTTTTTCTTACCTGGGCTGGGCTTGCTAACAAAACATACATTTAATAAATCCGGTGAATCGAGTTGCTGGTGATGACTCGTTGAACGTTTAAGGATAGTGAGCTGTTTTTCTGCAGGTTTCTCTGGGTGATGCGTTGATCTTGGCGGGAGCTCAGCTGAAGGTTCTGGATCTGAGCGATAACGCCTTTGGACCCGATGGCGTAAAAGGCATCGAGAAGCTGCTCAAGAGCACCGCCTGTCACTCGCTGCAGGAACTGCGCCTGAACAACTGTGGAATGGGCATTGGAGGAGGAAAGGTGGGCGGGGCTTATGGCGATGTTACGGGAAAAACGTCATTAATTTTGAACGATAACTTATAACTGTTTAAGACAGATATACTGTGAGCTATGAGGTTGTTAATCGATGTTATTTGCTTTTAAACTAGTTTTAAAATAGTCATTTTAACTGCAGAATTCTTGGTCAAAAACTACATTACCCATTATTCTGATGAGAAATATCCACCAATCAGAGAATCCCGTTTTCAAATCATTCCCAAATGAATGGGGAAATAGTTCCGAAACCAAAGATGCTACGAAACTGTTGCGCTCTGTTTTATTTAGATCCCAATTCGGGAATCAAAAACTTGGGGTATGTACCTGGTAATGTGGTGTTTGGGCTTCTGTAGATCCTGGCGGCGGCTCTGACGGCGTGTCATAAGGAGTCGAGTGCGCTCGGCGCCCCATTGCAGCTGAAGGTGTTCATCGCCGGCAGGAACAGACTGGAGAATGATGGAGCCACAGCGCTGGCGCAGGCCTTTCAGGTGCTGGAAGACACGAGAACAAAATCTCAGCTACAATATTAATCATGTTCTTGATTTTCGTATATTTGGGGTTTGTTTTAACATCTACCTTTAAGTCAGCCTGTGTCATTTGGTCCATTGCTAATGTTGTTCGATTTCCCTCATCTAGGGTGTGTTTCCCAAAAGCATCGTTAGCCGACTATAGTCGCAAGTTCTGTCGTTATTAGTAGTTCAACGAGTCTGTTTCCCAAAAGCATCGTTAGTCAACTATAGTCGCAAGTTCTGTCGTTGTTAATAGTTCAACGAGTCTGTGTTTCCCAAAAGCATCGTTAGCCAACTATAGTTGCAAGTTCTGTCGTTATTAGTAGTTCAACGAGTCTGTGTTTCCCAAAAGCATCGTTAGCCAACTATAGTCGCAAGTTCTGTCGTTATTAGTAGTTCAATGGGTTTCTTTCCCAAAAGCATCGTTAGCCAACTATAGTCGCAAGTTCTGTCGTTATCAACATAGTTCAACTAGTTTGTGTTTCCCAAAAGCATCGTTAGCCGACTATAGTCGCAAGTTCTGTCGTTATTAGTTGTTCAATGGGTTTCTTTCCCAAAAGCATCGTTAGCCGACTATAGTCGCAAGTTCTGTCGTTATTAGTAGTTCAATGGGTTTCTTTCCCAAAAGCTTCGTTAGCCAACTATAGTCGCAAGTTCTGTCGTTATTAGTAGTTCAATGGGTTTCTTTCCCAAAAGCATCGTTAGCCAACTATAGTCGCAAGTTCTGTCGTTATCAACATAGTTCAACTAGTTTGTGTTTCCCAAAAGCATCGTTAGCCGACTATAGTCGCAAGTTCTGTCGTTATTAGTAGTTCAACGAGTCTGTTTCCCAAAAGCATCGTTAGCCAACTATAGTCGCAAGTTTTGTCGTTATCAACATAGTTCAACTAGTTTGTGTTTCCCAAAAGCATCGTTAGCCGACTATAGTCGCAAGTTGTGTCGTTATTAGTAGTTCAACGAGTCTGTTTCCCAAAAGCATCGTTAGCCGACTATAGTCGCAAGTTCTGTCGTTATTAGTAGTTCAACTAGTTTGTGTTTCCCAAAAGCATCGTTAGCCGACTATAGTCGCAAGTTGTGTCGTTATTAGTAGTTCAACGAGTCTGTTTCCCAAAAGCATCGTTAGCCGACTATAGTCGCAAGTTCTGTCGTTATTAGTAGTTCAACTAGTTTGTGTTTCCCAAAAGCATCGTTAGCCGACTATAGTCGCAAGTTGTGTCGTTATTAGTAGTTCAACGAGTCTGTTTCCCAAAAGCATCGTTAGCCGACTATAGTCGCAAGTTCTGTCGTTATTAGTAGTTCAATGGGTTTCTTTCCCAAAAGCATCGTTAGCCAACTATAGTCGCAAGTTCTGTCGTTATTAGTAGTTCAACTAGTTTGTGTTTCCCAAAAGCATCGTTAGCCGACTATAGTCGCAAGTTCTGTCGTTATTAGTTGTTCAATGGGTTTCTTTCCCAAAAGCATCGTTAGCCAACTATAGTCGCAAGTTCTGTCGTTATTAGTAGTTCAATGGGTTTCTTTCCCAAAAGCATCGTTAGCCAACTATAGTCGCAAGTTCTGTCGTTATTAGTAGTTCAATGGGTTTCTTTCCCAAAAGCATCGTTAGCCAACTATAGTCGCAAGTTCTGTCGTTATCAACATAGTTCAACTAGTTTGTGTTTCCCAAAAGCATCGTTAGCCGACTATAGTCGCAAGTTCTGTCGTTATTAGTAGTTCAACGAGTCTGTTTCCCAAAAGCATCGTTAGCCAACTATAGTCGCAAGTTCTGTCGTTATTAGTAGTTCAACGAGTCTGTTTCCCAAAAGCATCGTTAGCCGACTATAGTCGCAAGTTCTGTCGTTATCAACATAGTTCAACTAGTTTGTGTTTCCCAAAAGCATCGTTAGCCGACTATAGTCGCAAGTTCTGTCGTTATTAGTTGTTCAATGGGTTTCTTTCCCAAAAGCATCGTTAGCCAACTATAGTCGCAAGTTCTGTCGTTATTAGTAGTTCAACGAGTCTGTTTCCCAAAAGCATCGTTAGCCAACTATAGTCGCAAGTTCTGTCGTTATTAGTAGTTCAATGGGTTTCTTTCCCAAAAGCATCGTTAGCCAACTATAGTCGCAAGTTCTGTCGTTATTAGTAGTTCAATGGGTTTCTTTCCCAAAAGCATCGTTAGCCAACTATAGTCGCAAGTTCTGTCGTTATCAACATAGTTCAACTAGTTTGTGTTTCCCAAAAGCATCGTTAGCCGACTATAGTCGCAAGTTCTGTCGTTATTAGTAGTTCAACGAGTCTGTTTCCCAAAAGCATCGTTAGCCGACTATAGTCGCAAGTTCTGTCGTTATCAACATAGTTCAACTAGTTTGTGTTTCCCAAAAGCATCGTTAGCCGACTATAGTCGCAAGTTGTGTCGTTATTAGTAGTTCAACGAGTCTGTTTCCCAAAAGCATCGTTAGCCTATAGTCGCATCGTTAGACTATAGTCGCAAGTTTTGTCGTTATTAGTAGTTCAACGAGTCTGTTTCCCAAAAGCATCGTTAGCCAACTATAGTCGCAAGTTCTGTCGCTATCAGTAGTTCAACGAGTTGCTGTTTCCCAAAACCATCGTTCCAAACAGCATCACAAAGTTGTGTGCAGCTCTCGAGCTGTGGTTAGAAGCAGAGTTTCTTGAATTTACGACAGTATGGTTTCGGGAAACAGTCGTGATTAGCTTGATGATTTCTTCAACGATGCATCGTACTACGGTAGTGAAGCCACGAGTTACAGCGCTGTACGGGACACACACTCCTGATTGGCGAATGCTTTATCTTCTTTTTAGTTGATTGGCAGTCTGGAGGAAGTGCACATGCCCCAGAATGGCATCAATCACCCAGGAGTCACAGCTTTAGCCACCGCTATGCAGCACAACCCACAGCTGCGAGTGCTCAACCTCAACGACAACACTTTCACCAAGAAAGGAGCCATCGCTATGGCAGAGGTAATTACTTATCGTGCTTTAGGTGAAAAATGGCATCAGCTAGTCTAAAAAAGACCTTATGCTAGCAAAATAACCCCCAAAATTTACCAGTGCATGAACAAGCATTGGTTTTCAAAGGTGTTTCTCTCTCTGTGTGTGTTTTTTAGGCTCTGAAACACCTGCGAAATGTGCAAGTGATCAATTTTGGTGACTGTCTAGTTCGGTCTAAAGGAGCCAGTGCCATAGCAGAGACTCTGAGAGAAGGACTGCCGATACTCAAGGTACTGACAGGTCATCCTGACTAATTGTAATTATATGCTATGAAGCTTTGGCTAAAGGACTTAAAAATGGTGAAAGCTAAATCAATAAAGATACTCGTCTCGTTCCCACCAGGAGCTGAATCTGTCCTTCGGTGAAATCACTCAGGAAGCGGCGCTGGATGTGGCCCGATCCGTACAACTCAAAGATCAGCTGGAAAAACTCGACCTGAATGGTACAAACACACACACAACACACTTAGACAGAAAAACATCACAGCATCATCAGGATCATTAAAGATTCACTGATTCATATAGGTGTATAGAAAGAAATGTGTGTGTGTGTGCGTGTGTGTGTGTGTGTATATATATATATATATATATATATATGTGTAATATATATGTAAATTAATGTTTTCCAAATGTAAATGGAAAATAAAAAAATACTAAAATAACTACAAATAAAGGTTAAAAAAAATTACTAAAAACTATATTGACATATTACATCAAATATAATATATATATAAAAGAATAAACAATAGTTACAAAAGCAAAACAAAATCACTAAAACTTCAAAATTAAAAACGTAAATATAAAAATAAAAAATAATAGTATCTCAGTGATGACACTGGTTTGATGACAAATGTTTGCTTAATAAAAAATTTTACACTGCGGTAATACTCATAATAAATGTTTCTGTCTTCAGGGAACAGTCTGGGTGAGGAAGGATGTGACGGTCTTAGAGAGGTGATGGAAAGCATGAACATGGCAGACAAACTGGGTTCACTGAGGTACCAAACACACACTTAACCAAGTCAATCTCAAAAAACACATTAGCCTCTCAAATTCCCTTTATCTTTATATGAAAAAATACCTTTACCTATGGAAGGTTGTTTCAGTCACTGAATAATAATAATAAAAAAGTAATTATGGCTTTTTCTCTCACAATTGCGAGATATAAAGTCGCAATTCTGAAAAATAGTCGCAATTGCGAGATATAAAGTCGCAATTCTGAAAAATAAAGTCACAATTGCGAGATATAAAGTCGCAATTCTGAAAAATAGTCGCAATTGCGAGATATAAAGTCGCAATTCTAAGAAATAAAGTCGCAATTGCGAGATATAGTCACAATTCTGAGAAATAAAGTCGCAATTTCGAGATATAAAGTCGCAATTCTGAGAAAAAAAGTCGCAATTGCGGGATATAAAGTCGCAATTCTGTGAAACAAAGTTGCAATTGCGAGATATAAAGTCGCAATTTCGAGATATAATGTCGCAATTCTGAGAAACAAAAGTCGCAATTGCGAGATATAAAGTCACAATTCTGAGAAATAAAGTCGCAATTTCGATATATAAAGTCGCAATTCTGAGAAATAAAGTCGCAATTTCGAGATATAAAGTCGCAATTCTGAGAAATAAAGTCGCAATTGCGAGATATAAAGTTGCAATTCTGAGAAAAAAGTCGCAATTGCGAGATATAAAGTCACAATTCTGAGAAATAAAGTCGCAATTTCGAGATATAAAGTCGCAATTCTGAGAAATAAAGTCGCAATTGCGAGATATAAAGTCGCAATTCTGAGAAATAAAGTCACAATTGCGAAATATAAAGTCGCAATTCTGAAAAATAGTCGCAATTGCGAGATATAAAGTCGCAATTCTAAGAAATAAAGTCGCAATTGCGAGATATAGTCACAATTCTGAGAAATAAAGTCGCAATTTCGAGATATAAAGTCGCAATTCTGAGAAATAAAGTCGCAATTTCGAGATATAAAGTCACAATTCTGAGAAATAAAGTCGCAATTGCGAGATATAAAGTTGCAATTCTGAGAAACAAAGTCGCAATTGCGAGATATAAAGTCACAATTCTGAGAAATAAAGTCGCAATTTCGAGATATAAAGTCGCAATTCTGAGAAATAAAGTCGCAATTGCGAGATATAAAGTCGCAATTCTGAGAAATAAAGTCACAATTGCGAAATATAAAGTCGCAATTCTGAAAAATAGTCGCAATTGCGAGATATAAAGTCGCAATTCAAGAAATAAAGTCGCAATTGCGAGATATAGTCACAATTCTGAGAAATAAAGTCGCAATTTCGAGATATAAAGTCGCAATTCTGAGAAAAAAAGTCGCAATTGCGGGATATAAAGTCGCAATTCTGTGAAACAAAGTTGCAATTGCGAGATATAAAGTCGCAATTTCGAGATATAATGTCGCAATTCTGAGAAACAAAAGTCGCAATTGCGAGATATAAAGTCACAATTCTGAGAAATAAAGTCGCAATTTCGATATATAAAGTCGCAATTCTGAGAAATAAAGTCGCAATTTCGAGATATAAAGTCACAATTCTGAGAAATAAAGTCGCAATTGAGAGATATAAAGTTGCAATTCTGAGAAACAAAGTCGCAATTGCGAGATATAAAGTCACAATTCTGAGAAATAAAGTCGCAATTGAGAGATATAAAGTTGCAATTCTGAGAAACAAAGTCGCAATTGCGAGATATAAAGTCACAATTCTGAGAAATAAAGTCGCAATTGAGAGATATAAAGTTGCAATTCTGAGAAACAAAGTCGCAATTGCGAGATATAAAGTCACAATTCTGAGAAATAAAGTCGCAATTTCGAGATATAAAGTCGCAATTCTGAGAAATAAAGTCGCAATTGCGAGATATAAAGTCGCAATTCTGAGAAATAAAGTCACAATTGCGAAATATAAAGTCGCAATTCTGAAAAATAGTCGCAATTGCGAGATATAAAGTCGCAATTCTAAGAAATAAAGTCGCAATTGCGAGATATAGTCACAATTCTGGGAAATAAAGTCGCAATTTCGAGATATAAAGTCGCAATTCTGAGAAATAAAGTCGCAATTTCGAGATATAAAGTCACAATTCTGAGAAATAAAGTCGCAATTGCGAGATATAAAGTTGCAATTCTGAGAAACAAAGTCGCAATTGCGAGATATAAAGTCACAATTCTGAGAAATAAAGTCGCAATTTCGAGATATAAAGTCGCAATTCTGAGAAATAAAGTCGCAATTGCGAGATATAAAGTCGCAATTCTGAGAAATAAAGTCACAATTGCGAAATATAAAGTCGCAATTCTGAAAAATAGTCGCAATTGCGAGATATAAAGTCGCAATTCTAAGAAATAAAGTCGCAATTGCGAGATATAGTCACAATTCTGAGAAATAAAGTCGCAATTTCGAGATATAAAGTCGCAATTCTGAGAAAAAAAGTCGCAATTGCGGGATATAAAGTCGCAATTCTGTGAAACAAAGTTGCAATTGCGAGATATAAAGTCGCAATTTCGAGATATAATGTCGCAATTCTGAGAAACAAAAGTCGCAATTGCGAGATATAAAGTCACAATTCTGAGAAATAAAGTCGCAATTTCGATATATAAAGTCGCAATTCTGAGAAATAAAGTCGCAATTTCGAGATATAAAGTCACAATTCTGAGAAATAAAGTCGCAATTGAGAGATATAAAGTTGCAATTCTGAGAAACAAAGTCGCAATTGCGAGATATAAAGTCACAATTCTGAGAAATAAAGTCGCAATTGAGAGATATAAAGTTGCAATTCTGAGAAACAAAGTCGCAATTGCGAGATATAAAGTCACAATTCTGAGAAATAAAGTCGCAATTGAGAGATATAAAGTTGCAATTCTGAGAAACAAAGTCGCAATTGCGAGATATAAAGTCACAATTCTGAGAAATAAAGTCGCAATTTCGAGATATAAAGTCGCAATTCTGAGAAATAAAGTCGCAATTGCGAGATATAAAGTCGCAATTCTGAGAAATAAAGTCACAATTGCGAAATATAAAGTCGCAATTCTGAAAATAGTCGCAATTGCGAGATATAAAGTCGCAATTCTAAGAAATAAAGTCGCAATTGCGAGATATAGTCACAATTCTGGAAATAAAGTCGCAATTTCGAGATATAAAGTCGCAATTCTGAGAAATAAAGTCGCAATTTCGAGATATAAAGTCACAATTCTGAGAAATAAAGTCGCAATTGCGAGATATAAAGTTGCAATTCTGAGAAACAAAGTCGCAATTGCGAGATATAAAGTCACAATTCTGAGAAATAAAGTCGCAATTTCGAGATATAAAGTCGCAATTCTGAGAAATAAAGTCGCAATTGCGAGATATAAAGTCGCAATTCTGAGAAATAAAGTCACAATTGCGAAATATAAAGTCGCAATTCTGAAAAATAGTCGCAATTGCGAGATATAAAGTCGCAATTCTAAGAAATAAAGTCGCAATTGCGAGATATAGTCACAATTCTGAGAAATAAAGTCGCAATTTCGAGATATAAAGTCGCAATTCTGAGAAAAAAAGTCGCAATTGCGGGATATAAAGTCGCAATTCTGTGAAACAAAGTTGCAATTGCGAGATATAAAGTCGCAATTTCGAGATATAATGTCGCAATTCTGAGAAACAAAAGTCGCAATTGCGAGATATAAAGTCACAATTCTGAGAAATAAAGTCGCAATTTCGATATATAAAGTCGCAATTCTGAGAAATAAAGTCGCAATTTCGAGATATAAAGTCACAATTCTGAGAAATAAAGTCGCAATTGAGAGATATAAAGTTGCAATTCTGAGAAACAAAGTCGCAATTGCGAGATATAAAGTCACAATTCTGAGAAATAAAGTCGCAATTGAGAGATATAAAGTTGCAATTCTGAGAAACAAAGTCGCAATTGCGAGATATAAAGTCACAATTCTGAGAAATAAAGTCGCAATTGAGAGATATAAAGTTGCAATTCTGAGAAACAAAGTCGCAATTGCGAGATATAAAGTCACAATTCTGAGAAATAAAGTCGCAATTTCGAGATATAAAGTCGCAATTCTGAGAAATAAAGTCGCAATTGCGAGATATAAAGTCGCAATTCTGAGAAATAAAGTCGCAATTGCGAGATATAAAGTTGCAATTCTAAGAAGTAAAGTCACAAAGTTCATTCTGTGGCGGACACCAGCTTCCATATTTACCTGATTTACATGAGCTTTCATTGGCGGTCTTCTGTGTCCATATGCATTTGAATGGAAGACAATGAAGTGTAAACACTCCGTGATTACTTTTTCACCCCACTCGCAAACACACACACAGTGATGACGAGGGAGAACCTGAGGAAGATGAAGATGAGGACGAGGACGACGATGATGATGAGGACGAGGATGATGATGATGAAGATGAGGAGGAAGAAGAAGAAGAGGAGGAAGAAGGCGAGGAAGAAAAGAGTGAATTAAATCAGGTTTGAGGACTTCTACTTCAAAGCCTTGAAGCTTTTAACAAAACCGATGAAAGCTCAAAATGAAAGAAGAGAAATAAACGTGTATCGATGTATGTCTGTGTAGTTCTCAACGCCGCCTTCAGCACCTCGCACTCCAGACGTCTCGTCTTTCCTGAGTTTTCCGTCTCCAGACAAACTACTGCGACTCGGTGAAAGGAGAAGCTCCCTCATCCAGCAGCAGGTCTCATTTACATTGAGCACTACAAATACACGTACACTTCCATATCGCAGAGACACATAACGTGTGTTTTTCAGGATTATCTTAAAAGGCCGTTCATGCAGAACATGTTTTAGCTCTAAAAACACAAGACCTAAAGCAGTGTAATTGAAAAACGCAAGGCACAAAAACATGAGATGCGAGCACGAAGGTAAAGGCGTCCATCTTGAATGTTGTTGCGAGCGCTTGCGTGTGTTTTGCAGGTGGACGTGTTTGATGTCGGTAAGACGGCTGAAGCGTTCCTGAAGATCTCCTCTGTGTATAAGGACGACGACGCGGAGGTGAAAGCAGCCGTGCTGGAGAGTATCGGTGAGAGGACGTGAACACACGGTTGATGAATGATCTGAGAGTGACGTTCGACTGACTCTTGTGTGTGTCTGTGTGTTTAAGACGCGGTGCTGAGTAAAGCCTTCTTTACACCGTCTTTCCAGGGTTTGAGTTTTGTGTCTTCGTTACTGGTGATGCTTGGACTGTTGAAGGTAAAATTCAGCGCGTTCACACTGCTAGCTAAAACTGAGCTAGTTTGCGCACAGATTCTACATGTATAGTATTTTCTAGATGAATCACGACACTAAAATAGGTTATGAATGCCATTTTATGTTGACTTTGTCATTTTAACATGGTTACCGTCATTGAAACATGCATTTCTATTAGTCCATTTACTGCTATACTTGTTCTATACTAGTTTGGGCTTTTACAATTGTACCAAACCATGTTCTAATAGAGGGGTTTCAAACTTTTCAATGCCAAGGACCCTCAAATAAGACGAACCCATTGCAAAGACACCCTTTCTCAATATAAATGCTTACATTTTCATGTAGATCCGCAGTTTGAAAACCCGTCCTATTAGAAATGCACTTGGTTTCATTGCTCACCATGACTAGAACCGTTCCAGCCGAGAGTGTTTTGATGTTCGGCTATTTCTCTTTCTCTGTAGAGCGAGGATAAGTTAAAAGCGGTCAAGGTGGTCCCAGGTCATCTACAGTGTTTGGAACATGCGGTAAAACAGAGTTATTTCCCCCGAGATCACATCACTGTCCTCAATGCTTTCATGGCCAGGTAACTCAACTAACCGATGTTTAGGATTGTGATGTTCTGCGTGATGACTGAATCTTCTCTTTGTGTGTGTGTTTGATTATTACGCAGGCAGAATAAATCTCTGGAGGTGTGCAGCAGTTCTCGAGACCGCCTCAAATTCACCCTGCAGAAACTCACAGCCGAGAGCTGAAAACACACACTAGTTTCTTAATAATAAACTAACAAATCTTGAAACATTACCTGTCGTCTTCCTGCGTTTTCTTCAATAATAGTAAAGAAATGTACTGTAACTCAAGATTTGAAGGGTAAATAAGTTCAAATAACACAAAAAAATGAGATTGTATTACAAAGAAAGTCTTTATGGTTTTTGTTTATTTTAAATCCACATCATAGTTGTGCTAGCTTAGAAGCAAGTTATCTCCTTTTTAATATATTAACATACATTTTAACACTTTTTTTGTTCCACATAACATTTATATACTTAATATCAATAAAAAGTACTTTTGACCGTTAACTTTGAACAAAATCCGTTGTGTTTGATGCATATCTGATCGAATCTGAGCTGTAGCGAAGACAAGAAGTCAGTCTTGGTTTTCTTTTGCTTTATTCATTTATTATTATTTTAGAGTGCACGTAATGAGATTTTGTTTTCAGATATAAATCCAAATCACATTTAAGTAAAAATCCATTAATTGCTTTGCTGTGTTTTGTTTGCATTAAACAACATAGTTCAGAAAGTGCAAGGATAGGCTATAACGTCTGCTAATGCTAATTCTCAATTATGGCAGACATTTTTTAAATTATTTATTTAAAAAGGTTTATACACAGGACACAACAAAACACAAACAGTTCATCAATGTTACTCAGAAGCATTAAATGAAATGAGTTTAGAAAAAAGAAAATGGAAGCTGATCGACAAAAGAAGTAAAATTGAAACTAAACTCTATTTTCTAAAATAAAGCATTCATTGAGGAAACTTACAGACAACTTACCAACATCTCCAGTTAAAGGGATACTCCACCCAAAAATGAAAATTCTGTCATCATTTACTCACCCACAATTTGTTGCAAACTTGTATGAGTTGAGTTTCTTTCAGTCACTGCACTCAACCTGTATGAATTGAGTTCAGTGATTCAGGTCAAATGATGATTGTTAAAACATAACCAACACCACCTGATCAGCTTTTCCTGTTGTTTATCTAGCAGTCATACCTCAATTACAGCAGCCTAACCAAAAACTAACCCTAGGATCAAGAGCCCAACTAAAGCAAATACTGATCACCACAATGGTGTCTTCAATCATCAACTTTTAACACTTTTGAATGTTAATTTAACACTCATTTTAACACTTTAACACAGGGGTTCTCAACTCCAGTCCTCGCGACCCACTGCTCTGCATATTGTGTATGTCTCCCTTATTTAACACACCTGATTCAGATCCTCAGCTCGTTAGGATTGACATAGAGGCTATCCTAACGAGCTGAGGATCTGAATCAGGTGTGTTAATTAAGGGAGAAATACACAATATGCAGAGCAGTGGGTCGCGAGGACTGGAATTGAGAACCCCTGCTTTAACACTCTTGAGTGGAGCCAAATTAACTCTTAGGAAAGTTCATTTAAAACCAGTTTTTGATGTGGGAGTTCCCAGATGTAGATCTACATTTTGCTTCGTTTCGCTCGGACATTTAACGGCGTGTACATATACAAGTGGATAGCTCAAAATGCGTATAGATAACATGTCACTTGACTTGAAATTGGCGTGTATGTTAAGGCAAAAGTCATGATGTCATGTTGAAGCAGAACAACAGATTTGCAAAGGGTTCAGTAGGGGATATGACAGAATAATTGGTAGATCTCTATCCACAAGTTTCCTATGCCCCAAGAGGCCTTGCGTCAAAAGTGGGCGCGTCTTCCGGTTCGAAGTAAACAAAGCGCGACTTGACATGCTTCCAAACTAGCTAACGATGTGGGAACACAACCTCAAAGAAATTCAAAAGGGTGAAATAACGTTACCTTTACCCTCCGCAGTAGTTGATTGGGAGTATTATAATAATATTATTAATAATCAATACTCATCAAGGCATGGTGACAGACAGTTGTGCGAGCTGACAAACAATTAAAATAAAAAATACACACTTAGTCATTGTGCTTTGGAGTTTATGCAAAATTATAAATGAATGTGCTACTAGAATACATTAACTGGCACATTTGGTATTCTGTCAACACAGGCTTTGATCCTGAGTTTAGCTGTAACATCAGTAGCGAACAGCCAATCACATGCTGATAGAGTTTATAAAATATTAAGAATTTAAACAAATGTACACAGGGAGATTCGTCGTCTTTTGGGAGGTGATGGAAACTACAGTCGTTGGCAGGTCAGAGACGGGCTCTGGCAGGATCACTCTGATTTTGTTTTCAGCTTATGTTCAAAACAATTACGTTTAAGCCACTGAATTAGTTTAGTCCGGTTATACGTACAACCGCGAACAGCACATGTTGTCCCTGAGCTCCGTTACGACATCTCTCATAAAGATTTGCGTCTTTAAATAGTAAAATAATTCTCCGAAAAACAGCTAGCCTCTTCGCTAACTAACACACAAAATACCATTGGAATGCTACTTCCGCCGCCGTACCGGAAGTTTCACCCACTTTATTTTTTACAGGAGCGCCCCTCGGAAACTTGTGGATATGATTTAATTAGATATGGATATATTTTATATTTTATTTAGATATTTTTTAAAGAGGTATGGTAAGATGACACAATTTCACCCTTGAGTTTCTATCTAATCCAAACACGGCATAGAGCGGCTGAGTGAATGTGGCCTGGACTCTGTGGATGAGACTCATTGTGTCCGAGACGCTGTAGAAGGACAAAACCCCTGCTCTGTGATCCACATACACTCCTATTCTACTGCTGGACACTACAGGAAGAACCGTCTCAATGTTATTGTGACAGAATGAGCAAAAAGTGGGAGTGCAGTACAAACTACACGATTGATCATAAAACCCAGCTATACTTTCAGGACCATTTCCCTTCCTGCTGATGCTCTTATACGTCACTCCTATAACCACTCCTAATTTCCCATCTCCAGCCCACTCCACCTCCCAGTAACAGCGTCCAGTCACACTCTCTTTACACATCGCCTGACACCAATAATCAAATCTGTCTGGATGATCAGGATACGGCTGACGTGTGTCAGTGACAGTGATCACTGTGTTTTCCTCAGACAGACGGAGCAAATTATTCACCGAGTTCAGATCCAGAGTCAACAGATGGGAATCTGATGGAAATAAAGAAATAATCACTCATGAGTCATGACTTTCCATCAATATTATAATACATTAGCAGGGTCTGTTAGTCTTATAACACTAAAGTTGGACTTTTTTAATAATGCGTCTCTCCAACTAATGAAATCACTCATTTCAACCAATGATGTTTTTAAACTCTTTTTAAAGTTGCACCAAACCAATGCTAAACAATGTGTGACGTAGTACAGTATGTCATCACCTATAAACATAGTAATGTGTTACTTTCATTTATTAATCCTGCAGGGTAAAAGCTACCCCATGTACAAATATCTATTCATGATAAAAATGTTTTAAAAATGTTTTGCATCAAATATGGTTAAATTTTCAGTAAATGTCTATTAATGTCCATCAACAAAATTTCTATGAAAATGAATAATTTACAGTACACTCTTAGAAGAAAAGGTTCTATATAGAACCTTAAAAGGTTCTAAAGCGCTACGTATTTGGAACCCCTAAAATCTAATGCATGAATGATCACAAAATTCAAGATATGGGGGTTAAAAAATGTAATTAATCAATATCACACAAAGAGTGCCATTTCAGTTTTTATCCTTCAAAAATCAGCATGATTAAAATGTGATATTTAGTTACTACAACAGTTTAATAAACAATAATTTAATTACAACTGCAAAATGTTGCAGAATAATGTAATATATGAATGAATAATAGCCTATAAATAACCTTTGTTTCAAAAGGGTTCTTTCTTGTCATTATCATCTTTTTTTTTTTGCATAAAAGGTAATTTGTAGTTGAGTAAAGAACCCTATGCTACATATATAGAACCCTTTTTTCTAAGAGTGTTAGTAAACATTATTCCTCTCCATCTAGATGACATACATTTTCAGTAATTTAAATAATTAATAATACAATTTTTATTATTGATTTTATAATTTGTTTGTTGTAGCCTACGCAATGTAACAAAAAGTAAAAAGGCCATTAACTAGTCATTATTAGTCTCATGTTCATTGTAACTCACATTGAAGAAACTCTTCTCTGGTCTGATATTCAGGGACACCCAAATCCTGGATGGATTTCACTATGGGGGGGAAAAAGCACATCTGCAGATTAATTCTCATTAAGAATGTATATGCATGTACAATATATATACAGTTCTTAGCATAAGTGAACACACCCATGCTACAGTTGACTAAAATAAGGTGGGCACTAATTTTAACTAAGTTCCCTTGGCCTTTGCAATTAAAATATACCGACATCATCACATACCCTTCACCATACCTAGAGACTGGCATGGTTTTATTTCAGTTAGCCTAATAGCTGGTTTGATTTTCATTAAGAGATGATCTTACGCAGGCTGCAAAGTCGACTACTGTGTTACAAATATGTTAGACCTATCAATTTTGCCACTAAAGATTTATTGATAATCTTCCTGATCAGTTTCATCATCTCAGCATCCCAGATAGGTGAGAAGAACTCGATATTGCGACAAACTTTTAACTCTCTCTTTTCTAGTACTTTAGACAGTTGCTTAGTTGCTCTTAAAGAAGATTAAAAAAAAGATAGTCCAACGCCGTGGTACAACGAGCACACTCAAGCTCTTGAGAGAGCAGCCAGAAAAATGGAGCGAAACTGGAAGAAAACAGAACTAGAAGTATTTCGCATTTCATGGAAAGAGAGTTTCATATAGAGAGGCCTTAACGGTCTGTCAACGATACTAGAAAAGGCAGTATCTTCACAACTATGACAGGATTTTCAGTCAGCTGTACAATAGTACTGAGACAGCTCTCATCAGAGTCACAAATGATTTGCTCTTATCATCCGATCTTGGTTGTATCTCTCTATTAGTGTTACTCGATCTTAGTGCATAACATTCTTTTGAATAGACTCGAAAATTATGTTGGCATTTGTGGAACTGCATTAGCATGGTTTAAATCATACTTATCTGTCCGTTATCAGTTTGTAGCAGTAAATGAAGAGATGTCTTATCGATCACAATTTCAGAATGGCGTACCACAAGGCTCAGTACTAGGACCGTTACTGTTCACTCTGTACACGCTACCATTAGGAGATATCATTAGGAAGCAAGGCATTAGTTTTCTATCTAACATAGGGGTGTCCTGACTTTTGCACCCTGTATTTTAAAGAAGAACATTTATGATAAATTATTACATTCACAGAGAAAATTTGTGTCCTTAAAGGTTGGAGTTTTCCAAAAAAAATTTAATTAAGGCATTAAGATCAATTTCCAAACGATGATTTTTTATAGTCAACTTTAGCATGGGTGTGTACACTTACTAACCACTGTATGATGTTGAACTCCTTTCAAAGAATAGACGTCTTTACCTATTCTATATGACTTTTCTATAGTCTCTGTGCAGAACTGCAGAACTTTGTCTCTGAGTTGAGAGACTGATTTCACTATGTTGTCAAAAGACAGATGAGAACTGATACTGAAGCCATCTGTGTTTCCAGAGAGACAGAGAGACGGCAAACTCTACAGACACAAAGACAAAAACTCCCTGTAATTACAAAAGCTTGTGTTTTTGAATTATCGAATTCCTCAGTGTTTGAGAAGATCTCTGTTACCTGGAGGAAATGAACATGATCGTGTGTGTGTGAAAGATCCTCCAGCTCAGTGTTAATCCTCCTTAGATCATCGATCTCCTGTATCAGTTGCTCCAGTCGTTCTTCAGCTCGACTCACTGCAGATCGTTCCTGATCTCTGATCAGCTGAGTCACCTCTGAGTGACGTCTCTCAATGGAGCGGATGAGCTCAGTGAAGATCCTCTCACTGTCGTCCACTGCCGTCTGTGCAGAGCGCTGTTACACACACACACACACACACACACACACACACACACACACACACAAGAGCTCCAGCACGGGAGGAAAGTCCAAACTGAGACTCAAGCTTCTCTTCTTCTCCAAACTCACCTTATGAGACTCCACAGCCTCCATCAGCTCCTGGAGATCTTTCTCTCTCTGCTGGATTCTCGTCTGGATGTTTCCCTGCGTTTCTTCAAAATGTCTCTGCAGAAAACAAATATGATTAAATTTACACAACCATTCAAATGTCTGGGGTGAGTGAGAGTTTGAAAGTTTAAGTTTTTGAAAGAAGACTCTTATGCTCACTACTGTAATGTAATTACTTTTCCCTTAATCACATAACAGATGACTAAAAAAGGAGGCCGCTTAAATCATAGTATGAAGCAGTACCTGTTTCTCTTTCCTCGCTGCTGCAGTTGATACAGTGTCATGATTCCTGTGTTCATCCATGAAACACAGCATACAGATACATCGCTGGTCGGTACGGCAGTAAATCTCCAGTATTTTACCATGTTGAGGGCAGATCATCTCCTGCAGTCGTCCAGTGGCGTCCATCAGATTGTGTCCTTTACTTCTGAAGAGACTCTCATGCTGTTCCAAGATGAATTTGACAAATTAGATCGTGCCGACGTTGGGGCGCGCGTGGCTGCCTGACATAAAGTGCCTCGGTAAGATGTCTTATGGAGATCGGTAGCTAATCGGCAAGACATTGGGAAGACGGTGGTTTTAGAACGATCGCCGACCGCGAGCCAACGTATACCCGACATGATCGCCGACCGTGAGCCAACGTATACCCGATATAATTATTATGACCTATTCAGCGCGATCCCACTAGAGCAGGGAAAACATTCAGACGCCTGCCTCGCTCCCTTTGACTTAATTAACTCCTAAAAATGTTGGTGAAACTTTAATCCCAATATAAACTCACCTGTGAAATCACCACGGGTTTCTGGAATTTATTCTTTGAAAGGCTGAAATGATCCGTCGAGATGTGTTTTCTGGGCGTTGATGAACATGTGAACAAATCGGACACTACTTCCCGTAGTGTCACATGATCTACACTAAATAAAGTCACAGAGGCTATGCTACGCTTTCTTTTTAACTTGCTGATATTAAAACATACATTTCATAGGCTATGTCACTGAGATTATTATTATAACTTGTCTTATATAACTAAAAAAAATCATATCTCTGGCGGAAAAGGGCTTAAAAGCATCATAACCCTCATGAACCATGTGTTGAACAATAATCATCATGATCAAAGCTGAATCTCTAATCCATAAAAAATATAATGACAGTCATTGATGGGGTCAAGTGTACCAGTCAGGGAAGACTCATTAGAATCTGACCAAATTTCATCGAGCTCTGACTGACTCTTAAACTGTGATGCAATTTCATCTTTTCTTTCAAACTCTTTCCACTTCAGATAGCCTAAACTACTACATAATATGCCAAACAAAATATACAAATAACAGAAACAGAAATAGCATAAAATGAGTGAAACAAAGAAAAATCCAAAACTCGATTTTGAAAATGTTTATTTTTTCATAGCAGTGATATTCACAAATTCTGTTTTAATTTCTTTGGAAGTTGGTTCAGAGATCATCCGAGTCAATTTTGGCAATAAGACAACATTTAAGGAGGACCATACCGTAATTAAAAAAAAAAAGGTGAGTACTGTAGTATTCTTAAAATTGTGTTATTATTATTTAGTGTCAAGGTCAAAGCATATTCAAAAGTTGTCAAAAGAATATAGATTTTAGTAGTTATACGGAGTTGGTCTTAGATCACCCAAAATTGACCATTAGTCTATATACGCCCATCTCTATCTGAGTGCCAAATTTAATAATGTTTCTACATACAATTTATAGGATTATATACAATAATCTCACATTCAGGAAGGGTTTGGTATTAAACAGTATAGTGTATATTATAGGTTGGAGTAAAAATCATGCCCTTTTATGAAGTCTTGATTTTGTTTTTGTTTTCAAAATTGATTGTTAAAATTAAAATGCAACATTTATTTTTTTCCACATATTTTACATTATTGCAGCACCCAGTCTGTCCAATCTGTATAATAAGCTAACGTTCAGAGGTGATCTGTTTGTCACCATTGCTGAGATTTATACACTAAATCTTGATGTCTGTGTGTGCCTACATAAAATAATTTTAGGGGGATTTTTTTTATTTTATTTGATGGTTTTTCATTGAAAAGGCTAAAAATGGTATGCTTCATTTTTGTTGTAGAAAATGATTAGTTATTGATAGTTAATTGATCGATGTAGCAGCTCTGGAGAAAGCAGTTCAGTTCTCATACAATGGTCAATATTTTGGATACAAGAAAAGAAACAGAAATGGCATAAAATGAGTGAAACAACATTTTTGACAAAAACAAACATTTATGTTGTTTGAAACAAAAACAAACACATTTACATCTTAAGAAGGAGGGAATATGATATCCTGGAATAACCACTAGAATCCATATAATTCTTCATAAACAGTGATCATTATTTACCCATTAAAAATAGCTCTAACAGGCTCCGATCCTCAGTACTGCCCTCAGCCTGTGTGAGAGAGAAAGAGATCAGGATGAAAATACACCAACAATAAATCACACAAACACGTCAGCAAAGCAAAAAGGAAGGTTTGACCTGAAATCCAGCAGTTATTCAATTAGAACCTTTTGAAATTTCACATATATTTAAAAGTAAATCAATGATATTACTTTTTTACCTTTCTTGTGACCGTTCTCCACCTGATCAGCTAGATTATTCTGGTTTATCTTTCTCAGGATCTCCGCCGTGATCTTCACTGCTTCTTCTTGTCCAAAATGGGCCACCATCTTATCCACTGTTTTAACCCTACCTGCATTTTCCAAATCAGATGCTGGTAGTTGTTTTAGACTTTTCAAGAACCATTGAAACTCTTTTAGTTCCTCTGTTTCCAGATTCTTTAGTGTGTTTAGAAGTAGCTCTTCAACAGACATTATGGTCCTTCACCAATTCACTGCAGGACAAAAATAAAAAGCTGAATTAGGTTCACTCTTAACATGTGAACCCAAGCACCCAAATGTTATTTGGATTACAAAATGAAGCTGTCAGGACTTGTCTCAGAGTTCAAACTTATGGAAGTAAAATAATGCCAAATGTTTTTGTAACAAAAAGCCTGTTGAATTGTACTACTTGAATTGTACTTGCTTGTATTGTAATGCATTGTATTTTTAGGGATTGCATTTTTATAGGCTGAAATTTAGCATGGTTGCATATCTAAGCTGTGAATATTTAAATTCAAAACATTTCAAACACATTTTCATTAGTAAAAATTCAATAATCCATATTCACCTTTCATATTTCACTTCCAAAATATTCAAACTGATTAAAAATACAACCTATTCAACAGGTGGATTTCGGTCTTTACACTGTGAAGATCTAAACATATTTAGATATACTGGAAATCACAATGGAAGATGATTTCGATATATCTAAATATGTTTAGATCTTCACAGTGAAAGGTAAAACTTCCGAAATCTGTGTAAACAATGAGTGACGTACACACATGAGAGACCACTTCTGGCGCTTGCGCAGACAGAAGCGCCCGTGCCTTCAGATCACTTGGGCTGTGGTTACACAAGGTAAAAACGATATAAATACTGTTCGTTTTCTCACACAAACCGCTCGTTTCGTGTCTTAGGCCATCAATGTGTACTTACATTTACAAGTCATTAAATCATGTTTGATCTGGACTTCTCTGTGCATGCTCTTTGAGGTGGACCCATAAATCTCCATTATATGACTGATAGACAACAACAGTTTGACTGAAAAAATATCAAAATTGAAACTACTGAGGAAACAAAGACACCTACATCTTGGATGCCCTTGAGGTAAACTAAAACATATCAAAAATTAATTTCAAAGTGAACTATCCCTTTAACTACTCCGCTCTGTTACCGTCGGTAGGCGTGGCTTCCTAGGGCAGCGAAGCAAGTGCATTCTGGAAGTAGTTGTCTTTCATCCACATAAGCCAAAAATAATTTTTCTGGCTTTTCTCAGTCTAGAAAGCTCCAAATTCAAAAACAATTTCACATTTCTTCTACATAAATGATAACCTGACTTCGTCATTCTTTTTGGAATGTGAGTCTGAAACTGCTCCGTAGGGCTTTGATTATGAGGCGTGTCTTAACCGAACCAGGAAAAAAAAAACCCCTCTGCACTCAATTGGATAGTCGGTAAACAACCAATCAGAGCAACGCAGTAAGTCAACTACTTTTTCATACAGTTGTCAACTACAGAACGTAGCCTAACTTTACTTATTTTAGAAGTAAAATAACGAGTGTTGCTTCTTTTACTTGGTCCTCCATGAGTGCGACCAAAGGAGAAACCACAACGACCACAGGCTTTTCATTACGTCCCATCTTCTTAGCGACCGTCAGAGCCAGCTGATAAGTTACACTTTTGTCGAAGTACGGCAAAATATCTTTCCGATCGACAAATGCCTTGATTGCAGTTTTCTGTTTGTCTATTAAAATGAATGTGCTGTCGATTTATTTTACAACAGATGCGACAGCGGAATCTATACATCTCAATTCTCCCGCTGCAGTCATCTTTGAGGGAAACCAGTTAAGCGCTATAGAGTCACAGTCCCGCCCACAGCCGGTGCCGGAAGTAAAAATTCAATACAATTTCTCCTTTGACATTTGGGATATAAGCCATAAAAATGTAACCATACATGGTAGACTTAAAACCAGCTACAGCTGTACTAAGTGATTGTATATGCTCATATAAACGGCAAAAGTTCATGGGGCACTTTTTCATTTTTAGGATAAATCCCTTTTATTCGCAATGTATTGGATAAGTACTTCATTACCCACAATCCAGAACAATCCCACAATCCCACAGTTATGCATCTGATTGGTGGAAGTCGTGTTACGTGTCTGAAAACCCGCGAAGGTACGTGAAGACTGAAGATCGCGTCATGACATAGGGCTAGGTTCATTGGTCGCACCTCAGAGACGACCCCGCGCCATTGGATGTACAGTTGCCGCAGCACAGCCTATGAGCGAGCCAGATGCTCAATGTTTTAGCATGTGCATAAACTTCAGTAAATCGAGGAAAAGGAGTTTCCCTGCACATTCACTTTATAAAATTCACTGGAGGAAAAAGTTCACGTGGCCTTCGTCAGATTTGGAAGTCACTCAAAAGGCTCTTTCACGGTGGCTTCAGTCGACTTTAGTGAGGCGCGGTGGTTTATGGGAGGAGTAGTTCCTTTGCTCGGAAATGAAAATATGTACACTGGCTTGTACCCTTGACTTTTTTTGGATTTTCTCTTCGTTTTTTCGAAATGATATGTTGTATGCTTATGAGTTCAGCCCTAGCTGATTATCCTCAGACATGCTCTAAAACTCTTTAGATATGGATTTTACAAAATGTCAATGGGAGAAATTAATGGGAAATTTACTTCGGGCTGGCATCCAGGCTACATAAATGACCAATTTTAAATACACATTCATCTTTAAAGAGGTGAAGTATCCCTTTAAGAAACAGTGACTCTGATTTTGAGAAGAACTTCCGCTAGAGGGACTTTATGCTTTGAAACTATGCAGAGCTTCGTCGTACACAAACTACACACTAAAGAAAGTTGAATGTAAAAATAAAAAAAAAATAAACATATAAGAGCCCCTGACACACAAAAGAAAGCAAACACATGTCAATAAGCTCAGAGTGAAGTAGAACTCAAAATCAAAAGTTAAATGTATTTCTATCAGTACTTTATCAAGTAGCATTCACTAACCATGAATAATGATGATGATGTAGATGTTTCTTGTTCCTGCACGGATCTTGTGTCTTGAGCAGACGTTTTGAAACTCTTTCAATATTTGCGTTTCGTAAAGGATTGTGCAGGAGGAAGCTTTCTGTGGAACCTAAACCTGCTCACCCAGATTTTCTGTGGAAAAAAGGCGTGGAGATTCAGTGTTTCATCAGTCATGTAATCCCAGTTTAATTCCATAAAGAGAGCACATTATACTATTAATAGATAAAACAGCAATCTGTTATGAATGCTTTGAGTGATGTGTGATGCACAAACGATACTCAATAATAGTGACAATAAGTAAAATTCAGATAAACAGATTAACTCTAAACATCCCCACTAAAGGCCACTAAAATCAAAACAAAGCACAAATAAAAGCAAATAAAGAAAATAGTAAAACCAATCAGCGGCATCATTTATTCATGCCACAATGCCTGCTGGGAGCAATCAATGTGTTTTGTTCTATGCTGGCACCCCTCATACATTGCGGCAAGATTTTTGTTTATTTTCACCATTGTTGAGATTCACATGCTTATTCCTGATGCCTGTGAGTCTGAATAAAGGATGTTTTGTGAATATTTGCTTTTCTATATTATATTTAATTATTATATTGTGGTAAGTGGTAACCAGGAAGCTCAAAAAACTAGAAACAGGAATTTATTATAAAGAACTCAGGGACATTAACACACGCTAGACATAAGTGAGAACGGCCAAGAAATTAGGAAAAAGACAGGGTTTAAATACACAGAGAACAGATAGCGAAAACAAGGTACAGCTGGGGCAAATTAACTAAACACAGGTGAAAGAACTGAACCCAAACGAGGGGCGGGAAAACTGGGACACCGGACTGAACCAAAAACACTAAGCAGGGGGAAACACAGGACATAACATGTAACAATACTATATACTATAACTTTACTAGATCTCATGTTGTAGAAACACAGGGCCATATATTCCAAATTTAAACATTGAATGAGATCAACAGTTATGCAAAATTCAACAGCCAGAGAAACAAGAATATAAGTCAGGTCAAGAGCTCAAATAAAGCAACACTGATCACCATAAATGTGACTTCAAACTAAACATTTTCACTAAGACAGCAGGGCTGGGCGATATATATCGCATCACATTGTAATGACCACAGCTGTAAAGAGATGACTGAGAGAAATTACAAAAGAAAAAAAAATGTCAATATCACCGAAAAAGTGTTAATTTATCATACTAAAAGTAAAAATTCCATAACTATAAAATTAAAAGTTTAATGTAAAATTCAAGCTCAGCTATGTAACGTTTTCAGAAATCTCCCAGAAAAAAAAAAACTATGCAAAGAAGTAACTAAATATGAGCTGTCATATTTAAAAAAAAAAAAAATTACCATGCTTGGATTACAAGGTGTTTCATAAATCACAATTCTACATTAAAAAAATATAAATAATTTAGGCTCTGTGACACTGCATTAAGAACTAAACGGCGATCTCCATCAACACAGAGTTCGAGAAAAGCAACTCATTGTGACTCAGACGCACACTGATTTTATGATCTATATGAGAATTTCTTTTATTCACACTTTTATTCTGACATTATTTCAGTGACACAAACAGAGTTTGAGAAAATACACACCGTTACTCATTGCGAACCACAAACACACTGATCTTATGGTCTATATGGGGATTTATCACACACATTTATTCTGACATGTTATTTCAGTGCTAGAACTTCACCTGTCAAATAGTGTAATGAGGAGAGTCTACAACAACTCACTGTTACTGATTTATTATGCAGCTCAAAGCATTATGGGTATCTTTTGTCAATTCTGATTCATCAACATTCAACACAGTTTCACTAATGTTTCAGTATAAACCCCAATCCCAGCGTAGAGCGGCTGAGTGAATGTGGCCTGGACTCTGTGGATGAGACTCATTGTGTCTGAGATGCTGTAGAAAGACAAAATCCCTGCGCTGTGATCCACATACACTCCTAATTTACTGCTGATGAAGGACTTTACAATGGGATCAGTCTTGTTATTGTGTATGAATGTGTAATTGGAGGGACAGCAGAACAAGCTCCAGGATTGATCATTATGTCCAAAAGCACACTCATCACCCGATCCCTTCCTACTGATGCTCTTATATGCCACTGATATATACACATCTCCACTCCACTCCACCTCCCAGTAACCGCGTCCACACACACTTTCTACACACAACACCTGATGAAAATAATCAAATCTATCTGGATGATCAGGATACGACTGGATGGTGTTGTTGGTGTAAGTAACTACTCTGTTGCTCTCAGATAGAAGGAGGCGTTTATTCATTGTGTTCGGATCCAGAGTCAGCTGAAGGGAATCTGATGGAGATAAAACACATCAGAATCAGGAGTTTTGAATCTGATCTTTTCATGTAGATGATCTCTTCACATTAAAGGGCTGTTTATGATACTGTTTTCAACTAAAAATTATACACTCTTTATGTGTTTGGCCATTTGTTAATACAACAAAGGCGTAATTAACGTAAAGTTTTGAAAACGGGTTTCAAAGTGCGAGTTTTTGAAAACGCAGTGTAATCAACAAAAACCCGAATCTCTGAAGACGATGATGACGAAGGAGTGGGTGATGTATCGCGTGACATTGTTATGCGCATCTCGTCAGTAAAGCCGCTTCCTTGATTAGTAGTAAATCACCTTCACTTGCTTTCAGATGGAGCGGCATTTACTACAAAGAGCCGTAGTTCACTGACAAGCTGAGCCATATCGCGTTTATTATCGCTGGCCATATGGCTTAGCTTGTCAGTGAACTGCGGTGAACTCTTATCGCCCAGCCCTAGAGGTCCCCGTGTGTTTTAAAAAAATCTATCATTATCGTTCCTAAAAAGTCCAAGGTACTTTACTTGAACAACTACCGCCCAGGTGGATCTTAGACTTTCTGACGGGTATATCTCAGGTGGTGCGGATGGGCAAGTACGCAATATATCAGGAAACATGGCCAGACATGATTTTGACCACTTCATTAAGTGGTGTTTTGTATAAAGCCTTTCTTTAAAGTTAATTTTATTTTGTATAAATTGTATCTTAATTTTAATCATTTTTTCATCAACCAATTGCCTGGATTTAATTAATAAGAAGCAAATATATACAAATACACATCTTGATTGTTGCATGCACACGTCAAGATAACAACATAACCACAACAACCATCGAATTGTCCCGGTTTGAGACTGTTATAACACAAAATATTATTTTTATATATTTTTTCGTGTTTGCGTTTATGAGGGAAAAAATGTTACGAATGTGACAGTTCTCCATTACGGACATGACCGCTGTGAAAGTGACTTAACCTCCTAAGACCCGAGTTTTGGGTGGAAAAGTCCAGGGGTCAGAAAGAAAAAGTACTGCCACATTTTTATTCCACCCACAGCAAAAACTCCAGTGTTAATAAAGAAGTAAATATAGTAGAAAATCATCATGACATGGAGGCGCCGGCGCTTGAACTGGACTCTTGTCTAATAAATGAACCAAAAATCAGCGTATAGCTTAAACAGACCTGATAAATATATAGAAACCTTGAAATGTCTACTTTTTAACTGAACAATTCAAAACGAAAGAAAACAGGCTAATCTGTATGAAATTTTCATTTCTTTCTGGCGCGTTCACTGTGAAGATCGCGAGTCAGCATCGTCACCTTTATATTAGCAGCTGACACTGACAAAGACTTGTTCATTAATAAACAATTAAAACATAAATTTTTTTTTTTCAAATGAAAAATCGTGATACGAACCGAATTGTAGGTTTGGTCAATCGTTACAGCCCTATAGCATGATGAGAAAGCAGGAGTTTAGTCGTTTATCATAAAATTTTATCATGGAATGGCTATCTGAAAATATTTTCCAAGTGCAAAACGGTTCAGAAGTAATCAATAAATTATATGGGGGGGGTCAATCATGTTTTTTTTTTCACAATCATTTTGGAGGGTCATAGAAAAAAAAGATTGCTGGCGAAGGGAGGGTCAAGTTTTTTCTGACTACAAATCTCCTCCGGTAGCCTCTTAAATAAATAACGAGCAGTCCCTTATATCTATTAATGATGCATTTGCCATGGCAATAACATTAAATCTAATAGTAACTTTTGAACTATTTAAACAAAGAACTCAGTGGGTCAGCGTCCTCATGAAGGTTAACAGGTTAAAATGATAAAATGGTCATATGACTGGGCTGCCAGGAAAAAAAAGTGTAACATTTAAGTAAAACATTCAACAAACTGAAGACTGTTATTTTACAGGAATTTCCTGAATTATCCTGATCCTGGATCAGACAGAGCAGAATTATAATTTGCATAGTCAATTATAAAACTGATCTATAGTAATTTATTACACCTTCTTCAGGAAGAACATTAAGATAGTCTATGGTGGTGGTTGAGGAGATTCCCCCCTCTATGTGAAGCGCTTTGAGTGTCCAGAAAGGCGCTATATAAATGTGATGAATTATTATTATTATTATTATTAAGATACTCCAACCCGATCTCACGGCAATTCCAACCCGATCTCACGACCAAGTCGTACGAATTCGACGAATGATTAAAAAGTGGCTAATTCGTAACAATTCATGCGACCTCACTCGTACGAATTAATACGATTTTGCTAAATCGTACATATTTTACGAATTGGCCAATTCGTATGAATTCGTACAAATGACCTACCCCTTACCCCGCCCCTAAACCTAACCATCACGTGGGTTTAGACAAATCGTACGAATTAGTACGAGTTAGACACTTTTTAATCATACGTCGAATTCATACGAATTGGTCATGAGATAGTGTTGGCAATTCATAAGAATTTTACAAGGTGGCTAATTCGTAACAATGCGTATGACCTCATTCGCATGAATTAGTGTGATTTTTGCCAAATCGTAAATATTTTACGAGTTGCCCAATTTGTATGAATTCATATGAATGACCTACCCCTGACCCCGCCCCTAAACCAACCCATCACGTGGGTTTAGGCAAATCATACAAACGCATACGAGTGAGGTCGTACAAATCCTTATGAATTATCCACCTTTTAATCACTCTTACAAATTTTTCCAAAGTGGTTGTGAGATAGCATTGGATGTTTTTCAGCTTGTTTTCAGTTACTTACATTTTAGGAAGTCATTCCTGGTATAGGGAAGAATGTTGGGGGAAGTGACTGTGGAATGCAACAGGCAGTAAATGCGTCATTATCATGTCAAGTGAAAATGATCCCAACATCCATTGATATCACAAGCAGAAATTCCCGAACACAGCATGATATTTAGAAAAAAAAGCATCTTCTGTTTACAGAGTCCTGCAGACACTATGTTCAATATTATTGCATCACCATATTTGTTTTGGCTAGTAGACATGTAGAACTGATCTTGATTTGAGATTTGAGAGGGGATCTGGCTAAATTTTTCTTACAAAGAATATATGGATTTATGAATAGGCCATTTTGCTACCTCGAAATAACAACAGTAAATATGCAGTAAAATGATCGGAAACTACCAGAGAATGATGTTAATTAATGAACACTGAAGCAGTGTTAAAGTTAATGAGATAATTAAGTGATTAATTGAGTGATGATTAAGCATTATTGAAGACACCTGATGTTAACAAGCAGAATTACTGAAGGAGAAAAACTGAATTTTTAAGTCACCATTATGGTGATCAGTGTTTGGTTTATCTGGGCTCTTGAATTTGTTTGGCTGCTGTATGTGACTTATAACAGCCAGATTAACAAATAGAAAAGGTGATCTGATGGTTTTGGTTGTGTTTTAACGTATTCATTAATTGACCTGAATCGCTGAACTCATCAAGAGCATAAATTCTCAGTTAAATTTACCTTATGGCTTTTAGCAGCACGGTCATCTTAGGACATACCATTTTTAGGCTTTTCATTGAAATCCAAACAATCAAAAAACAAACATTTTTTTACAATCATGTAGGCAATATTTTATGTAGGCACACACAGACATCTAGAATTAGCGTACTAATCTCAGCAATGGTGACAAACAGCTCTGAACATAAGATAATTATTTATTCATGCAGAAATGCATGATGGGAGTCATGAATGTGTTTTGATTGGTGGCACCCAGAATGCACTGCATCAGTCTTTATAATTGTCACCATTGTTGAGATTCACAGGCTAATTATTGATTAAAAATTTTTTGAAGTAAAGTAAAAAAATTGTGTAAGAGAAATTCTAAGAAATTATTTTGAATACATTGTATTCATTAAAAATATTATGCTGTACAAAGTCACTGCTACTATGATTAATAAAGTAAACCTAACGCAAAAATTAAGCTCTATATGAGTTCAGTGATTTAGGTAAAATGATTGTAAAATAATGATTATGTTAAAACACAACCATCACAATCAGATCACCTTTTCTATTTGTTCATCTGGCTGTTATAGCTCACATACAGCAGCCAAACAAAATCTAAAGTTAATGATTAAAGGGTCAAGAGCCCAACTAAAGCAAACACTGATCTCCATAATGGTGACTTAAAAATTCCGGTTTTCTCCTTCAGTGATTCTGCTTATTAACAACAGGTGTCTTCAATAATGCTCAATCATCACTCAACATCATTAACTTTAACACTGCTTCAGTGTTCATTTAACACTCTGCTCAGAGTTTATATAATTCACACTTCTCAGTGTTAATTTAACACTGGGGATTTTGCTGTGTTCGACCCCACCTTAAAATAACATTAAACCAAGCTAAAAACAGGCAAAATACCATAATGTTTGCTCTATTTGCAACAAAAATAATAGTTCTAACCAAAGCCACAGAAGAACTGTGTCTGTAAGCAACACACAGTTAGTTTTGGTTAGTTAATGACTCAGAGGCTTTGAAAAAATTGGGAGAGTCAATAATTCAAAGATCCATTCATAAATATAGCCACTTGATTATTGATTATTCAATGACTCACTCATTACGACAGTGACTTGGCGCCTCCTACTGGCAGGTTTAGTTTTATATTTCAAATGATAATTTGGTTTTTACAATTTCTTTATGGTATGACATTAATAATACAATTTTATGGAATTTTAAGAATATGACATAACATGACATAAATGTAATAGGGTTAAACAACGTTGCCTTTATAATGTTAAAAAAAACATGTAAATGAATTAAAGGGGGCAAATAGTGTCTCTTTATTGCAAAGGCATGACTGCGGTCTAAGTAGAAGAGAGGGGGTTCACAGAACGATGTTTAATGCCCCACTATAATGTAATATACATCTGAACATTGAAATACTTTAATCATTTACAACATTGTAGCATTCTGGAATAACCATTAGGTGTCATTTCTGTCTTACAAGTGTTGAGTTCTTACCTGGAGAGGTAGTTGGAGAAGATGTTATATTAGGGGGGGCTGCTGGAGTCGTGCCTGTTGCATTTTTTTCTGCAAATAGAGTTAAAGATGATATTCATGGTGTTTAATTACGTGAAATTATCGTTAGTGAAAAGTAATTTATTAATAACAAATAACCACATTTGCTCAGTGATGAGTTTAGAGAATCATTCTACTTCATGATGGTTTAAATGAAATCCAATGAAGAGGAAAGAAGACATTAAAACTGAAGATCTCAGCAGAGGAGGATTAAACAACTCCACAAACAGCATTACCAGCTTCACTTATTACTAACCAGACGCACAGTGAATACAATACAGTCACTGGTTAGTAATAAGTGAAGCTGGTAATGCTGTTTGTGGAGTTGTTTTGTTCCAATCACCTGCATTTGTTAAGTCAGACAGGAGATAGAACTGATTAGTGACATCATTCTTAGTTCAAGGGTGGAATAAACATATGGCAGGACTTTTACTCTTAGTTTGGCCCTGGATTACCCACCTTTGGTTATAACTCATGTACAGCAGACAAAAAAAAATCTAAATTAAATGATTTGAGGTTCAAGAGCCCAACTAAATCAAACACTGATCACCATAATGGTGACTGAGCTGTGTGTGAGAGACCATTAACAATAAAACACACAAACACATCAGCAAAGCAAAGGGGAAGGTTTGGCCTGCAATATGCTAGTAATTCACTTATGCTGTGAACTGCCACACACTGTAAACATTATTTTTGTTAGGCATCAGTTATAAAAAATAGTAGACATTTTTGATATTTCAGATATATTTAAAGATAAATCAAGTATATATATATATATATATATATATATATATATATATATATATATATAGCACATTTAACTATTTCTTTTGTACTTTAACCTGTTACCTTTCTTGTGATCGTTCTCCAACTTAATAGCTAGATTATTCTGGTTTATCTTTCTCAGGATCTGCGCCGTGTTCTTCACTGCTTCTTCTTGTCCAAAATGGGCCACCATCTTATCCACTGTTTTAATCCTATCTGCATTTTCCAATTCAGACGCTGGTACTTGTTTTTGACTTTTCAAGAACCATTGAAACTCTTTTAGTTCCTCTGTTTCCAGATTCTTTAGTGATTTTAGAAGTAGCTCTTCAGCAGACATTATGGTCCTTCACCAATTCACTGCAGGACAAAAAGAAAAAGCTGAATTAGTTTCAGTGTTCACTCTTAACATGCGAACCCAAGCACTCAAATGTTATTTGGATTACAAAATGAAGCTGTATGGCTCAGCTTGTCCGTGATCTACGGCTCTTTGTAGTAAATGCCGCTCCATCTGAAAGCAGGTGAAGGCAATTTACTTCTAATCAAGGAACCAGCTTTACTGACGAGATGTGCATAACAATGTGATGCGATATATCGTCCAGCCCTAATAATAGAGGTGCAAGTCCAGGGGTCAGAAAGTAAAAGTAGTGCCATATTTTTATTCCACCCACAGCAAAAACTCCAGTGTTACTTTCCTGGGTTTATTTGGATTCAGACTCAAAAGTGTTAAAGTTAATGAGATAATTAAGTGAATAATTGAGTGATGCTTTTCACGCAAACTGCAGCACGGTTAAGCAACCGAACTCAGACCAGGTAGTCTCGGGTTCGGTACCCCAGTCAGTGTGCACCCGGGTCCCATGACAGTGTTCACATTAGCGATTTTTCATGCAAACAGAGAATGTCTAATTGAAGAGAATTGGCACTGGCTGGTTACTTCCGGGTTCTGGACTGGCTGCAGTAACACGTCTCTGTCCATGCGGGGGCGCTCGCGGTCGAGTGCAGAATGAATGGGAGTCAATAAGGTTTCACCCCCAGAAATCCACTTTTCTCAGGATGTAATTTTTTGTCAAGTAATTTGAAAGTTGCATTCAAAGGGGAGGGCTAAGATAATATACTTAGCTGAAAATTGCATTTTTAAGTTCACTTATCTGTTCTAAAAATCCGTTCAAAACTGTGATGACGTCACACAATAGCAGAATGCTAGCGTGTTCCGGCCAACAACGGCCTAACCTGTAAGAAATCAAAAGGACATAAGTACTCGATCATTCGACTTTTGGCCTATAATCTACATTTGAACTTGCGGAATCAACAATAAAATCTATGTTGATTTAACGACAAGAAGGTGAAAGAGACACTTTTAGCTGTTTAGCCCCATAGACTCCCATTCATTCTGCTCTCGCCCGCGATCACCTCCAGTGGAATTCTACTGGAACTGCAACCAAGATGATACACAATGGGGCTAATAGGAAGTGCCAAGGCTCTCCGTTAGACGGGCTCTGATGCAAACCATGCCCCGTTCTGAACTAATTACTGCCAGTGTGAAAGCCCCCTTAAACTTTTAAAGTGGACTCATACAAACACAAATCACTGTTAAATTAATTACAAGGATTTTGTATAAGAGCCCTTTAAACAGTCAGCAATTCCCCACAAAAAAAGTCACACACAGACACGTCAACAAGCTCAAAGCATGGAAGTCAGATTTGCAAGCTGAGGTTTGACCCAAATTGATAGAGGACAAACTAAATTAATGACCTAATATACTAACACAGTCTCATCCCAAAAAGTCATATAACTGACGTCTTGGGACGTCTTTTGACCATACGTCAATATCCGCCTTTTTAGGGCCCCCTTAAAACGTCGGTAGATGGCGATCTCGGGCCATCATACAACTGACGCTTTACCTTTAACGTCAGTTAGGTGACGGGTTAGGTTTAGGGTTAAGTTTAGGTATGGGGTAGAGTTAGGATCCCATAACCTCATCTACCGACGTTTAAGGGGGCCCTAAAAAGGCGAATATTGACGTATGGTCAAAAGACGTCCCAAAACGTCAGTTATATGACATCTTGGGATGAGACCGGGTTGAATATACAATCGAAAATGATGGAGTTGAAATAAAGGTTGTGGAATGATTGTATTTATGAAGAAAGATGAGAAAGCTGATTGTTTATTTCTGCTATAATTGTTTTATTTTGTTAGCAAGCAATTAAAGCTGCAGTAGGCAACTTTAAAAAAAAATTGACTTAGCCTGAAAATTTGAACAAGCACAACTTACAGGTCCTATCATAGATATGTATATAAAGAATAGATGTGTTACTGCAGAGTTTCCATCGTCATCACCGGCGGCCATCTTGTCACAGACAGGCTTTCTGGCAGGCTCTGTGGTATCTGATGTAAGAAATACTCTTATTTCGTTGAAATCTTGACGGATTTACAAACGGTTTGGTTTCTTACTAACGTTATTAACGTGGCTATAATTCTGAGCTGCCTGTGACAGATGGCCGCCAGGTGCTGACGTCGACCTCCATTGGCCAGCAGCGCGGACGACACATCTAGCCTTTATATACATATCTATGGGTCCTACCCCCTTTGCTCTCTGCTGGGCTACATCCCTCCCTCCACAGCTCCTCCCCCACAGCAGAGCCTGCCGTGAATGCGCCGGCTAGTAAGCAGGGATAACGATGATAGCGGATAACCATATGGCACATTAGGGCTGTCCCGGTTATGGAATTTCCCTTGCTGTAATGTTGAGTGGCTCAATAGCGCGATATGCGGTATTACCGCCATTTATTTATTTAATTTATATGCATTTGTTGCTATATAAATAAGTTTACGATGTGAAAACAAGGACATTTTCAGTAACCAATGTAACCGAAACTAAACAGTGTCTACATGTATATGTGCATTAAAAGGCTGTCACTCAGCGCGTACATTGTTGTGACAATTGCGACTTTATATCTTGCAATTGCAACTTTATTTCTCAGAATTGCGACGTTATATCTCGCAATTGCGACTTTATTTCTCACAATTCTGACTTCATATCTCGCAATTGTGAGATAAAAAGTCGCAATTATTTCTTTCTTTATTTTTTTTTATTCAGTGGCGGGAACAAGCTTCCATAGTCTCATACTCTACTTTCAGGACATAATGACAATTTTAACAAATATGTAAAAAAAATTGTTTGCAAAAGTTATCTACTGCAGCTTTAAGTTAGCACTGAAAATCATAAATTAAATTCAATTAAATTCACTAACCATAAAGGAAGAAGATGCAGACGTTTCTTGTTCCTGCTCTGATCTTGTGTCTTAAGCAAATGTTACTTTTAAACTCCTTTCGATTATATATTTTTCTAAACGACTGTGGAGGAGGAAGCTTTCTATGGAACTTTAATCTGCTCAACCAGATTTTCTGTGGAAGGTGTGTTCAAACAGAACCATAGCAGAAAACTAATAAAACCTGTTTGTCTTTAAAACAAAAACTTTAGTTAAATGAACTCTGCTGAGAGTTTATTAGGCTTCACACTTAGGCATCTCAACAATGGTGACGAGCAGACTATTCAATTGGTAAAAGTAAATTACATAGACAATTCAGATCATAATTTATTCATACTGCAATGCTTGATGGGAGTCATTAATGAGTTGTGATTGGAGGCAACAAGGATTATTATTGTCACCACGGTTGAGATACACAGGCTGATTATTGATCTCTGTGTTTCTAAATAAATGCATTTAAGCAGATAAGGAACTCCTGTACACAATCGGTACTTGCACTTTTAAAATGAAGTTTATTCACACACAACGTTTCGGTCACACGACCTTCGTCAGGAGTATGATCAGGTCATGTGACCGAAACATTGTGTGTGAATAAACTTCATTTTAAAAGTGCAAGTAACGATAGTGTGCGGGAGTTCCTTATCTGCTTAAATGACTAGCTACTCTGGACTTATTATCCGACGCACCTATCACCTGCAGGTGTGCGATAGTTTGGTTACTAAATAAATGCATTTGAAATTGATTTGATCAGAACAATTTTTATTAAATGTTTTGGGTTATAAGAAAAATACGATTGCCATATGCAGTATCATCACTAAACTGTTGGTAACAAGATAAGCCAAATCATCACTGCAGTATGGATTATTATTGTCGCCATTGTTGAGATTCACAGGCTGATTATTGATGTCTGTGTTTCTAAATAAATACATTTTGAAAGTGTTATATTAGAACAATGTTTATTAAATATTTTGGATTATAAGAAAAACACTGATAAACATATACTGAAGAATCACAAAGCGGTTGCTGATAAATTAAACCAAATCATCTCCATAAATTTCATTTTTCAGCTCACAGCATGATTATGCCAAAACATAACCAATACTATCAGATCACACTTTTAGTTAATCATTTGACATTTTTAAATCAATAACAGCAGACAAACTAAATTTAAGGTGAAAGAATAAGAGTCAAGAGCACAACTAAAGCAAACACTGATCTCCATAACGGTAGCTTACAATTTGTGATTTTCTCCTTCAGTGATTCTGCTTGTTATCATCAGGTGTCTTCAATAATGCTCAATCATCACTAAATGAATCACTTAATTATCTCATTAACTTTAACGCTCTTGAGTGTTAATTTAACACTCACATCTGCATCATATCTTCCATCTGAAAGCAGTTGAAGGTGATTTACTTCTAATCAAGGAACCGGCTTTACTAATGAGATGCGCATATTCAATGTCATGTGATATATCGACCAGCCCTACTAGATACCACCGCTGGATTCGATTAAATCTGAAAGGTTTGTGAAATTAAATGTTAATTAGATATTCAGAGATTTGTTTAAACGATGTAGATGCACACTTGCTGAATGTTGAAGGTAAATGAGAAAGTATTAAAGGCTGATTGTTTGCCTTTTCTGCTACAAATAATATAAAAGCAACCGTATTACTTTTTCACATACCATTTACTTAATTTGATTACCAGTTCTGAAGCCCCCAGTTCTGTCAAACAAAGTATTAGACTGACAGAGATTGTAAATTAATGAAAACTGAGAATGTGAGTGAGCGCTTTGTGATCACTGATCAGGCGCTGCTCTTCTCAGGTGCTCAGCGCTGCCCGTCAAAAATAAATGTCTGAAGCGCCGTCAAAGTAAAAGTTGATCCGCTTCCAACGCATCGGCCAATCAGAAACCTTATCGGCCGATACTTAAAAAATGATATATTGACCACTATTTCAAATTACATGATAAATATGTCTAAACCTGTGTTAATTCTCACACAGACCTGTAAAATGTCCGACAGAAATAAAATCAGTCTGGTTAGTAAAAATTAAAGCTGGTGCTGCTGTTTGTGAAGTTGTTTAATCCTCTGCAGAGATCTTCACAGATTTTATGTCTTCTTTTCTCTTCAATGGATTTCATTAAGTCAGTTATAGTTCTTGTTGTGTCGCTGGATGAAAAATGCAGTGTATAGTTTAAATTTAAGAAATATCCTTGTTTCCATGGACTCAATTAAATTATGTTCATAAAAATCATAAGTATTGTTTTGTTATAAAATTAATTGAATTGAGGTAATCTGTGTCCTCAAATTAAACGAGTTGGCTAAACTTGTTGGGATTTGCAGTGTGTGAATGTGAAGATATGAAGAAGAGGAGATATTTAATTAATATTCAATATATATAAATATGTATTTTATTTAATCAGAAAATGAATGTCTTATTCAGAGGTTTTCAATTAAGAAAAATCAAGTGTAACAATATATTACACAACAAAAATATTTGAATTGTACATTTAGTCTTTATTTTCTAACAAAGGTTGCTTAAATCATCTTGCAAATTAAGAAAAAAAAAGTTGCACATCAAATGTAAAGCCGGAACCATTTCATTAAGTTTGTATAATAGAGAAATACACCAAAATAGTATTAAGATCATATCCCCTCAAGCAGTAAATGTCCATACAAAGCCCATCAGTGTCAGGACAGCAGGCAGCTGGAATGAGACTTTTACACCTCTTTAAACAGAATCCCGTAAGGGCGAATTGCCTCTTCCACAATCTGCTTCTCTCTAGCAGGCAGGGTTCCCTCAGGAACTTCAATCTTCCAGTACTTGTTCCCCTCACACACTTTTCTCTTGTTGGGGTTGATTCTGTTCTGCAGAAGGACTTTATAGGTCTTTCCAGTCTCTTCACATTTAACTTCATTGCTGTATTTAACAGCCTTTTCGATGTCGTAAGTTGAATAGATTCCACTGCCGAACCTTTGTTGCAAGTTTGGTTTGTAATGAGACCTAATGGTAGATTGAGCATTATCCATGCTGGTTCCATAATAAGAGACAGGCCACTCGCCTTTCACTGAGTGACTCCTCCATCCACCACTACCCAGCCAGGCATTTCCATCAGGATACTTATCCAGAACCCTAATGGCAATTCGTTTCCACCCAAGAGGGCGACTGTACAGCTCATCACCGCGCATGCACTTGGAGTTATCCTTTGTAGCCGTGAAATCATAATCAAACTCTGGGTGTAGGAATGAGCGCATGTTCACATACAGATCACTAAAAAGCGAGTCTGGTTCATCACCAGTTTTCTGTGCAAATGTAGTTGTCAAAAAATTTAAAACATGGAGTTCATTAGCAGCCGTTGTTTCTCCTGTCAAGGGCTTCACAGCAGCACCTGTGAAGGAGGAAAGTGCCTGGAGAACAGTGTTGCCGTGCACAAGAGACATGCTTCAGTTTTACCTGCAGTGATCAGGAAATATGAACAAAAAAGTCTGCTCAGACAGAATGCAAACTCTGTTATTTATACTGAAGCAAATATGATAGAATGAGGAAGATTTATTTTGTTTTTTATTCCAAGTAAGCGGATAAAGAGAAGACAAATATCTGTGCACATTCCATCATGAATGAATAGCTGATTGTTGACATAAGTAGAAGCAAATACTAACATTGACACATTCCCCACATAGCAACATTGTTTCGGCCCAGATCCAGACCACATCTGGCACGTGTGGCATGCAGATCTGGCCCACATGCAGCAATGACTGAGGGGCCCTTTGGTGGTCCACTCCCGTTTGCCAGATCTGGGCCACAAGCAGGCCATAGCAATGACACATGTCAGCCAAGAGCAAAGAAATAAAGCAGAACTGGACTTTATCTGAGCCACAAAATCGGTGTATATTAAACATGGAGTCATCTCAACCTTAATAAGTCTGTTAACAAGCAGAATCGCTGAAGGAAAGAAGAGAATGGAAAAAGAGACGAGCAGAACAACTACAACTGACTTTAGACACAGTCTTAGATGAAATCACCTGAAGAGAAAAGAAGACATTAAATCTGAAGATCTCAGCAGAGGTGGATTAAACAACTCCAATTATTACTAACCAGACTGACTTTATTTCTGTCAAACTTCTACAAAAGATTTTATTGAGAATTAACAGAGGTTTAACTCTGTGTTTCATTTGAAGTCACCATAACACCAGAAGCTCTGAAGGAGGAAATCGTAATTGGTTACCATTGTGGAGATCAGTGTTAGCTTTAGTTGGGATCTTGAGCCTAAATTTTTCTCCGTAATGTATGGTCACATGGATAGAAGTAAGAAATTATTCGTTTTATTATTAATATTATTTTTCTTTTCTACTATGGAAGTCAATGGTGCCAAACAACTGTTTGGTTCCAACCATTTTTCAAAATATCTTCCTTTGTGTTCAGCAGAAGAAAGAAACTCATACAGGTTTGCAACAACTTGAGGGTGATTAAATGATGAAAGAATTTTCATTTCTGGGTGGAGTATACCTTTAAGGGAAATGTATGTTTGGGTGTGTGTCAAATAAAATTTTTCTTAAGAACTCTCTTTACAGAACTGCATATTGTCTCTTTTTAAAGACTTGAACGCACCTGTTCAGTGTAAGTGGGGTCGTCAAAAGGAAGCTATTTTTAACACAAACTAATAAGAACTGAAAGTAATCAATCTGCTCATAGGATTCTCTGAACAAATTTTCTGACTTGTTTGGTGTAACAGATTTAGCTTGATAACATTATGGTTATTATTACTAACTAACAAGACATTCGGATTAATGATATAGTAAGCATACAAAGAGCCGTAATTTTAGTTTTATCCGTTTAGATCATGGAAGCTATATTGCTCAGCAGTCCTTCCCTGAAGTCCGCACGACACCGTCAGTTCCAATAACCAATTCAGAGGCAATTTGACTAAATATCTGAGATCTGCTGTATTCACACGTACAATCAAAGATGTAAGTCCCCTTGAATGCCTCCTTCATTCATAAATGGTATCGGATATTATCCGTCGCTAATCTGATGCGAAAGATGTGGGAATCTGATGATCTAGGAAAAAACAGTCTTTCAGAGTCATTCAGAAATAGCCCAAACGTGACAATATTGCGTTTTCCGAAGATTAAGTGTTTCTGTTTCGAAACTTTCAAGAATTAATGAGCATTGTGAATCACATTATAAACGCATTCAGCATAGTCACACACATGTTTAATTCAGTTCACACATGATACATTTGGCCTTGAATACAACATCAACAGCCTTTAGCACAGTAAAGCAATCCTGTGTTTGAATAATAAACTTACAATTAGCCTATGTGCACATATAGTAGCGAACAACTTTAAAGTGTGTTCTATGCGTGCGTTACAATGCGTGACACACAACTCCAAATTTGAAAATAGAAAATTACTGCATTATTGCTCTTTAATCCCATCTGTGTTAAAGTGGAAGCTTTCAAATGCAATATAGAGTTCGTCAAGATTAGTTTAGGTTCAGTATAGAATATTATTTAATGTGGCTATGGTGATGTATTCCATTAGCAGGGTTGCCAACTTTTGAGTTTTGCTTGGAGTGAGATTTTTTTTGGGGGGGTGGGGGTGTCATAAGATCTTGTAGGGCACAATGTTTAGGCTAACAGTTTTACTGATTAAAAAAAAAACAGTTTTGGGAATAAAGTTAATAAATTATTGTTCTTTCCCATATGATTTAGTAAAACTATGTTGAGACGAGACCTCTGTCCTATAGGGGGGTTCGGGGCATGCTCCCCCGGAAGAAAGTTTTGTACATTTTAAGGTTAAATGCATCAATTTGGTGCACTTTGAGAGCTCAAAATTAAGAGTTTTAACTGGCTTCAACCCATGAACTGTGTGACATTCAACAAAGCAAAAGCCTCGACTTGTACCTGGACATTAAAGAGGGATCAAACATCTTTTTAGTTATGATATAAAGTCTATGATATAAAGACTTTATGATATAAAGTCTCAGTCTCTTTTAGGATGCCAAACGATTATTATAATAATGTAATAATGATTTTTATAATTATTCCTATTACGTAAAATCCATATAGGCCTAGCCTATAAATGTAGGCTGCTGTATAAATGAAAATGAATATTTAAAAAAGTATATTTTACTTACACTATTGTATAGGAAAATTACAATAGTTTTGTCCTAATTTCTTCACTTGCAAGAAATAAACCCTTGAGCTTTTATTTTGGAGAAAACACCAGATGAGAAGAGAGAGTTAAAGGCAAAAGCCGGATTCGAACTCGGGTCGAATGCGTCAAAATTTGCTATCAAGCACCTCACACCCTCGCCCTACGCCACTGTAGATATTTAGTGAAGGATATCTTTTTTGCTAAAAAGACAGGCACGTAGTGCAAATGTACGCTGTCAACTCACGTTCAAGGTCGGCAGCGCAGCGTCTCTCTGTGCATCGCAAAAGCCCGTGTTGACAGTTTGTTAATATAAAGCGGGAGATTACCAGATACACAGTGTTTTGCTCGTGCCCTGTGGGTGTTGTAGCCTAGGCAACTGTATCAAGTGCCGTTTGAACTGACGCGCTACTGCGTTCTTTCACATTTAAAAGCGCCAAAACGCTCCATATCAAGAGTAAACTTCTCTGTAGTCTGTCGGTGTCAGTGTAATCTTTTTCCGCGATTTTTCTCTGCGTCCAATCAGTAGTTAAGAAGAGCTTATAGTAATACAAAAAATACAGCACAGAAGAATGTCTAATTTAGCGTGAGATTTCTATGTTGAGCGTGAGACCGTGAGATTGAGGCTGAATGCGTGAGTGTCACGCCAGATGCGTGAGAGTTGGTAACCCTGCATTAGTAGGATTTAACACCGCAAAAAGAAAAGGAGGAAAAATATCTTCTTGGGTCACTCTTCAGTACTCGATGGAATCGCGCGGCTCAATAGCTCCATTTGCAGCTGGATGATACACTGACGTATGTTTGTGTTGAGTGTCTCGATCTTTCAGAAATGCAGCAAACTCCACTGACTTGAACTGACATCCATTGTCAGATACAATGTAATGGGGATTTCCAAATCTGTTGAAAACTGATGTCAAGAAGTTGATCACATTTTTACTTGTGATTGAAGAAGTGAATGCTGGCCACTTAATATGATAGTTAATCAATGTCATAATGTACCGACAATCCCATGTAGCGGTTTCAAATGGGCCAACAATGTCAACTGCCACTTTTTCCCATGGCATAGATGGGTACAGGCTGTAAAGGTGCAGCACGAACAGTTGTAACCTTATCAGAAGCCAAGCAAACTTCACAATTCTTGATCTGTTCTTGAACCAAGCAGTCAATACCAGGCCACCAGTAAAGTTCACGAATGCACTGTTTTGTGCGCACTATTCCTTGATGTCCTTCATGAGCCAGATTCACCAAAACACGTTGCAATGCAACTGGAACCACAAGACGTGACCCTCTAAACACATAGTACTTTTCCACAGCAAGTTCATGACGTACTTGAAAATGTGGATGTAGACCAACCCCCAATGTGGCTGATGAAGATGGCCATCCACGAACTATCTGAGCACGTAATGCAGTCATTTCTGAGCATGATGCAGACGCACAAGCAAATTCTGTTGGAGACATTTCAGATGACAAAAATGCGGAAACATCCTTATCAGAAGCAGGCAAGGGTAGGCGTAAAGGATAATCAGCAACCTGGTTTTGAGAGCCAGGATAATAGATCACCTCATAATTAAAACACAGAAGTCGTTCTGCCCAACGCGCAATCCTCATCCCAGCGCGATCTGTACCTTTAGAGGAGAGAAGCACTGTCAAGGCCTGATGATCCGTAAAAAATTTCCGACGCCAGAGGTAAGTTTTAGACGGAGCCAATGATTCACTGAGTTCAGATCAAGAGTCAAAAGATGGAAATCTGATAGGGGTAAATGCACAATTTTTTATTGTTTGCATGCAAACATCAATCTGAATGAATCCAATCCACATTTTGAAAGTTTGTAAAATGAAAAAGGAGGCTTTGAGAAACTGTGCACTGTAAAAAAACAATTAGTTCAGTTTACTTAATTTTATCATGCAAACTCGTTGCCTTAATTTCATTAAGTAAGCATAACTTAATTGCATCAAGTTATTCTTAATCCATTTAAATTTTGTCAACTTAAGTCTGTCTGTGATCTTAGGAAGCGTATTCCCAAAATGGTGCTCAAACCAGTCAAGTAATGTTTACAAGGTAAGTAACGAAGGTATAGCGTGTAAACAGTACAGATTACTAAGAAATTTTAAGTAAGTTCAACAAATTATTCGACATTAAGTAAAGAACTTAGTAAGAATAATGTTAGATTTTACCCCAAGGACAAACAAAGTGGAGATTATCTAGTTAAACGAAACAATATCCAATCAGAAAGCAAGCTGAATTTAATTATCACATCTAATTACATGCATATCAGATTAAATAGTCTACACTTTAGAGTGATTAGTAATGGGAAGACCAACTTAATGATCAGTTTAAATGATTGAAAGCAATCAAAAACTATTCTGCTATTGTAACTATTGTTATTTTTTAATATGATCTTCAAGGTATATGTGTGTGGCTGTCAAGAAAACTGAAGTCAGACAGAATTGTTTTATAGTGTACTTATGTTTTACAACGTTATTTACACATTATTTATTTTTTGGTGATTTTTACAATACAAATGTTTACAAAACTGCTTTAAAAGAAATACAAAAACTGCCTTTTGTAGATTTTTCATTAAGAATTTAAGTTGTTTTCATCACCAGATAACATGAATATTTTCCATTAAAATGATAAATATATTAATTTAAACATTATTTTTAAATTCATTTATGTAGATATAATAGTGTCTGATTGACTGTTCATGTCTACCCTTAATAGTTGTAAAAAAAAAAAAAAAAAAAAATTTTTTACATTTCTTAATATTGCTGTATCCTTTATACCAATAAAACAATAGTCTATAGAAAAATAATAGTAATGGGTTAATGAGATAAAATTCACCTCAAAAGAAAATGACATTCATTTACAAAAATAAAGCATTTTAGGATCAAGGTGTGTTTCTCCAGTCAAGCATCTGGACATTTTATTTGAGACATTTTGCTTCCCATTATTTACATTGACACACTTTCCAAAATAAAAATGGAAGTTTTAAAATTAAAACGCCATATTTCAATGTATTGTATTGTTTTGTCTCACTGAGGAGTGAATGGCTAGACCAAATACAATATTATATAGTGGCATCTATCTACAATAGGGACCATTTCCATTTATAACACACAAAACATAAAAAAAACAGCAGCACAAACAAAACTATATACAGCTGGACGTCACTTTCAGATACTTATTGACACACTGTCATGGATCAGAGTTTGAAGCGGTTGACAAGATGTCTTCACAGTGCACCTTATAGAGAAAAAAAACAGCAGAAACAAAGATTATTATTTATTATCGTGAGCAGCTTATCTAAAGCGAAATCATTTTTGATCATTAATTCAATTCATCTATTAATTACAATTAATTCATATTAAATCAAATGGCAATTGGCTTACTTCATATCCGACATGTGTAAGCCAAGTCCAGGTATTTATAAGTTCCAGCACAAGGATCACCGAAAAGTGAGTTTGATGCAGGAACAACACACCTCTTTCTTCCATTGCACCTGAATCATAGACAGAAAATAAGCACTTAAGAATAGCTTTATAGACATATATTTTTTTTGTTCTTGTAAAATATATAAAATGAAATCGTGAACATTAATACATTTCATTGTTATCTGTAAATCTTACCGACGAGAAACTGTATTAGTGACTGTTACTCTGCAGCGCGTGTTTGAGGTCTGAGAATTTGGTATCCCTCTAGCACACGCTACACGATCAGTTCGTCCATAGGTGGCTTGAATAACTCTTATTGTTCCAAAGGAGCGTTCTGACACACATAAAAAAAAAGAAAATTGTAAGATTTAAGCACACACATGTTCAGAATTCTCCCCCATTCATGTCTCTCACATACTATCCTATTGAGACATAAAAGGCCAAAAATATAATTAAAAAAAAAAAATTATAATACTGAGTTACTCACCACAGCTGAGGAGAGCAGCCCTTCCTTCACAGATCACACCTGCTTCTATTCCTGCAGAGATTATATAGTAAAATCACTTGAAATAAAAAAAAAAGTATTAGTAAAGTATGAGTAAAGTATGTAGTATAATAAAGTTTATAATAAAGTTTAAACCAAATTATACATTAATTGCCATTCTTACCATGTTGACTCAGAAACAGCAGCACTAAAAGTCAAAGCCAAAGAGAAACAAACTAAAACACTGAATCGAAGAGTTAAAATCATGCCAGTTCAGACAATTTTAAATCATTACTTACAAATGATCCAGCTTAGCTTTTGCACCAGCATGTTGAATGTGGGAATCAAAGGGAAACTCTGGAAATCTCTTAAGGAGGCATATGTGTTCATGGTTTTTATAACAAACATAGACTCGTTATCATCTGTTTACTGTTGATAACCAATGCGGAAATGGAAATTTACAATCTTAGAAATTTCAAAACAAGATTATAAAAAAAAACTTATTTTCTGCTGACGACTGCATGGATTTGTGACAATTTTATTGTGGAAATATTGCGGCAAGCGCTGAATTCCATCACAACACCATTACAGATAAAAACCTTAAAGTCAAGCTTTATAAATCCAATTGTAGAAATAAAAAATAACTTCATGAGGAAATGGTGACAAATAGCGATTCATCTTTTGTTGATCGTTATCTTGGCTGATAGCAATTTTTTATGATTTTATTGAAACCTATTTTACTGCTTTGTTTTGATCACGTTCAGTCACGTTCAGTCAGAGTGCTAAAAAAAATTCCGGAAAAGTTTTTCCTGTTGTGGGATTGCATAGAAACATTACCAAAGACCAGGTAACTCTGAGTGACATTCTAATAATGTTACTGGAAATAAAACAGATTGGATATTTTAAAGTTTCAGTTTTAAAAACACTGTAGGAAAAAAAACTGCTGCAATGCATGCTGGGAGCCATGAGTTTAATGCTGTGGTGGCTCCCAGCATGCTTTGCGGCATGAAGTGTGTCATATGATTCATATGCTGATTCTTAATGCAGTTATGTCTTAAGATTTTATTTATTTATTTTTTTATCCCACAGTGTAGGCTATTTAAAAATACAAATTCACAATGTCTGGGCTGTATTCACAAAACATCTTGTAATATGTTTTTCTTTAAGGTAGGCCTATAATATGCAAGATTGTTTCGCCACCAAGGGTCGCTAACCTCTTACAATAACAAAGCCATTATTAATGACGTATATTCCGCATTAAGAGGAATTATGGATCTTGTCATCAAGCTGATGGATCTTTTATGGATGAGTGAATGCATTGATGTTTTTAACATGACTGTGTTATGAAGCAGGGCGCGATTGCTAGACGTAAACCAGCGCCACACGCAACACGAGTCCCACGGATATAAAGTAATAAGGACATTTAATTCTACCGAACTACACGCTCAATTACTCTCACACAGGTCAGTTTATTAGAGGAATTAAACTTGAGGTAACGCAAGTTGAACTATATAGCACTGATTAGTTTTATATACATTGATTTGCTCACCTGTTTGCTCAAGTAACATGCAACACTCGCGTCTCTGTCAAGTGGAAGTTAGTCGCGGGCGTGGAGCTCTCGGCATCTCCAAGATGTTGATTTTCGTTCTAATCCTCTTTTTGTCTCAAAGGCTGCTTGCCATGGTCCATAATGTTTGAACAAAACCCTGCTAGGGACGCTCACGCTGTTGAGCTCGCATAACGGGCATAACCGAGCCAGTTGTCCACATCTGTCGTCATGGTTACTATTGCCGTACGAGGTCAAACCTGGCGGAAACCGGGGGTAACGCGAATATGACGTCATTGACTGGCGACTCCTCACCCCTGCTCACACGCCCCGTTTCCTTTCCTCGCGATTTACAAATAGTTGGAAACATTTGGGATATTGTAAGTAATCAACTAAACAATATAGCATTGGCCTAGTCTAGTGGTTTTTGGATATTTTACTGCAAAAATCCTGCATATAGGCTGTTGCCTATGTGGCAATCCGATCGGCTTCTGGGGTTCTAATAAATAATTTAGAAAAATAAAGAATTGTGATAGTCGACTACGCCACCCTGACTCAAACAGGGAATACCCAATATTGCACTAAGCCACACCCCAGACAGCAAACTGACATTGAATCAACGTGGAAACGACGTCTCTCATGACATTGAAACAACGTTGATTTTGCTCATCGAATTAACGTTGAACCAACGTCAGACGCGGCATTCTTCAAAGCTAAATGAAATCGAAAATTGGTTTGCTTTCATAACGTTGAAACAACGCGTTGATTTCAAGTTGATTTTCCGTTAGTTTTGAAAGAATGACGCGTCTGACGTTGGTTCAACGTTAATTCGATGAGCAAAACAATGTCGGATCAACGTTGTTTCAATGTCATATTTCCACGTTGATTCAATGTCAGTTTGCTATCTGGGACAGGTTCGTGGGTGTCAGGAAGGTCAGAGACGCAAGAACAATCAAATTACAGAAGAAATATTTTAGTAGTGTACAAAAGTTTAAAAAACATCACTTCATTCTTTTAAAAGCAAAGGCACACATGATATCATTGAAAGAGAACAAATCTCAGGGTGCATCAATGATGGCTCCTACAACCCAATCCCCCACCCACAAGGGTGGAAGGACTTAGAAACTGGTTTTCTTACCCAAGGCAAACCCAAGAAAAAAAAAGAACAACCCAACCAGGCTGGGGCTACAGGCGGAAGGACCACTTATAGGCTTTTCCAAAAGCACGATCTTACTCACACACACACACACCACACGTCACCGTGCACGTAAATCACACACTGGCACTTCAAAAGTGTCTCCCCACAGCAGCACCACTATGCAGAGGAGGTCCTTCCGCCGAAGCACCTCAGTCCCTGGGGAGAAACAAACAGACAGCTGGGTTTAATACAACCCTAAAAATAAGCAGTAACAAAACATACAAATACTCATGATCAAGGCCACAAAAGACCAGCTGATCTTCAAATGAACCAAAAAAACCCACAAGTAAACGAAAAGAGAACCACACCAAACAAACGTAACTCTCTCACACACACGCACACACCCACATACACGAATGAAACTAAATAAATCACAACACGCACGGTGAGCCTAGGGAGAATCACAGAAGTCGAGGCTGTTATAGCACACACACACATACCCCCACACCCACGCACAGTAGTGTGCGTCCAACTATCACTCAAATTGTGATTCTCAGTCCCTCTAAAAGTAAACAGAAAGTAGACAGTAGAATCCCGGCAACGGGCGCGTCGACCCACGCCGAGTCACAGCAATAGAGAAAGCAGCACGAACACTGCAGTTCATCGAGCGGGGCTCAGACTCCTACAAAGTCCAATCACGGCGGACATGGAGAGATAGATCGTGACGGAAACCCGTCCGGATGACGAAAGAGGGGACCCCGCACTTTACAAACGCCCACAGGAGGACAATACTTCATAAACAATTCCCATAGGCTACTGTTTACCGCAACCATCAATCCCAGCAATCGGCTAACGTAGAAGAAGGAGCAGACACCCAATCCGAGCTGGTAGTAAAGCGTCGGAAAACTAGTGGACACACTGCGGCGCCAGTCGATGACGAAACAAGGAGGGACGAGTTGTGACGCTCTTTGGTTAAGACACCCCCCTGATTAAATACCCCATTCTCTTCCTCTGATAGGATGCCACAACTGTCACTCAATTACCTAATTCCATCACACCTATTACAACTTTGTTACACACCACTACAACTTTGATCAAAATATGATCATTAAATGTACAATATGTGAGGAGTCGCCAGTCAATGACGTCATATCCGCGTTACCCCCGGTTTCCGCGATGTTTGACCTCGTATTGCAATAGTAACCATCTCGACAGACGTGGACAACTGGCTCGGTTATGCCCGTTACGAGCTCAACAGCGTGAGCGTTCCTAGCAGGGTTTTGTTCAAACATTATGGACATGGCAAACAGACTTTGAGACAAAAAGAGGACTAAAATGAAGATCAACATCTTTCCAGATCCCGAGAGCTCCACATCCGCGACTAACTTCGACTTGACAGAGACGCGAGTGTTGCATGTTACTATAGCTTTAAAATATCTGATCTGTTTTATTTCCAGTAACATTATTAGAATGTCACTCAGAGTTACGGTCTTTGGTAATGTTTCCAAAATGTTATTTGCAATCCCACAACAGTAACAACTTTTCCGGAAATTTGTCAGGACTCTCCACTGGGTCATGAACGTGACTGAACGTGATCAATACAAAGCAGTAAAATAGGTTGCAATAGAATTATAAAAATAAATGCTAGTGCAATCAGCCAAGATAACGATCAACAAAAGATGAATCGGCTATTTGTCACCATTTCCTCATGAAGTTATTTTTTATTTCTACAATTGGATTTATAAAGCTTGACTTTAAGGTTTTTATCTGTAATGGTGTTGTGATGGAATTCAGCGCTTGCCGCAATATTTCCACAATAATATTGTCACAAATCCATGCAGTCAACAGCAGAAAATAAGTTTTGTTTTTTATAATCTTGTTTTGAAATGTCTAAGATTGTAAACTTCCATTTCCGCATTGGTTATCAACAGTAAACAGATGATAACGAGTCTGTGTTTGTTATAAAAACCATGAACACATATGCCTCCTTAAGAGATTTCCAGAGTTTCCCTTTGATTCCCACATTCAACATGCTGGTGCAAAAGCTAAGCTGGATCATTTGTAAGTAACGATTTAAAATTGACTGAACTGCATGATTTTAACTCTTCAATTCAGTGTTTTAGTTTGTTTCTGTTTGACTTTGACTTTCAGTGCTGCTGTTTCTGAGTCAACATGGTAAGAATGGCAATTAATGTATCATTTGGTTTAAACTTTATTATAAACTATTAAACCACTATTTTTTATTTCAAGTGATTTTACTATATATTCTCTGCAGGAATAGAAGCACTGGCGATCTGTGAAGGAGGGATTGCTGTCCTCAGCTGTGGTGAGTAACTCAGTATTTCATTTTTTTTTCAAGTTGGGTTTTGTGTCCCAATAGGATAGTATGAGAGAGACATGAATGGGGGAGAATTCTGAACATGTGTGTGATTAAATCTTACAATTTCCTTGCTTTTTATGTGTGTCAGAAGGCTCCTTTGGAAGAATAAGGGTTATTAGAGCCACCTATGGACGGACTGATCGCAGAACATGTGCTGACGGGAAACCATATTCTCAGATCTCAAACACGCGCTGCAGAGTAACAGTCACTAATACAGTTTCCCGTTGGTAAGAATTACAGATAACAATGAAATGTGTTAATGTTCACGATTTCATTTGATATATTTTACAAGAACAAGAAAAATATATTTCTAATGTCTATAAAGCTATTCTTAAGTACCTATTTTCTGTCTATGATTCAGGTGCCATGGAAGAGAGAGGTGTGTTGTTCCTGCATACAACTCACTTTTCGGCGATCCTTGTGTTGGAACTTATAAATACCTGGACTTGACTTATACATGTCGGCGATGAAGTAAGCCAATTGTTTTAAAAATAAATTTTGATTTAATATGAATTGATAATTGAATTAAATTAAGGATCAAAATTTATTTAGCTTTAGATAAGCTGCTCACCATAATAAATAATAATCTTTATTTCTGCTGTTTTTTTTTCTTTATAAGGTGCACTGTGAAGACATCTTGTCAACCGCTTCAAACTCTGATCCATGACAGTGTGTCAATAAGTATCTGAAAGTGATGTCCAGCTGTATATAACTTTGTTTGTGCTGCTGTTTTTTATGATTTGTATGAAAATGGTCCCTATAGATGTTAGATGCCACTATATAATATTGTATTTATCCATTCACTCCTCAGTGAGACAAAACAATACAATACATTGAAATATGGGGTTCAGAAAAAATAAAAAAAATAATTTTACAACTTCCATTTTTATCTTGGAAAGCTTTAATGATCATGTGTCAATGTAAATAATGGGAAGCAAAATGTCTCAAATAAAATGTACAGATGCTTGACTGGAGAAACACACCTTGATCCTAAAATGCTTTATTTTTGTAAATGAATGTCATTTTCTTTTGAGGTGAATTTTATCTCATTAATCCATCACTATTATTTTTCTATAGACTATTGTTTTATTGATATATACAAAGGATACAGAAATATTAATAAATGTAAACATTATTAACTATTAAGGGTAGACATGACCAGTCAATCAGACACTATTATATCTCCATACATGTATTTAAAAATAATGTTTAAATTAATATAATGTTTATCATATTAATGGAAAACAATCATGTTATCTGGTGAGAAAACAACTCAAATTCTTGTAGAAAAATCTACAAAAGGCAGTAGTTGTCTTTTCCATTTTTATTTCCTTTAAATCAGTTTTGTAAACATTTGTATTGTAAAAATCACCAAAAATAAATAATGTGTAAATAATGTTGTAAAACATAAGTACACTATTAAACAATTCTGTCTGACTTCAGTTTTCTTGACAGCCACACACATATACCTTGAAGATCATATTAAAAAATAACGATAGTTACAATAGCATGTCAGAACAGTTTTTGATTGCTTTCACTCATTTAAACTGATCATGAAGTTGGTCTTCCCATTACTAATCACTCTAAAGTGTAGACTATTTAATCATGTGATATGATATGTAATTAGATGTGATAATTAAATTCAGCTTGCTTTCTGATTGGATATTGTTTCGTTTAACCAGACAATCTCCACTTCGTTTGTCCTCTGGGTTCCCCCGGATTCCTCACGGCCTCCTTCCTTTCCCTTTATCTCTGTACTGATAATACGTTGTCAGGATAATTCATAATTATAATTCACGTGGCTATGATAAATAATGATAATAATACATTTTTTTCACAAATGTAATTTTACTGTGTTTATTAAAGTTTTTACTCAACATTTGTGCAGTTTTTGGAGGATTTTTTATGTCTTTTAAATTTCTATAAATAAATAATTATTTAAATAGGCTTTTTTACAAAAAAAATTAAGTTTTTTCAGTGCTGTAAAGACTAAAATATTTCTACCATATATTTTACGATAAAGTACTGGCAACAACAGCTGCCAGTTTTTTACCGTAATATTTAGATCCCTGCCATAAAACCTAAAACATTGCTACCATATTTTTTTACAGTAAATCGCTTTAATCCAGGCAGTTTTTTAGCGTAAACTTTGGTTCAATGCCGTAAAACATACATATTTGTACCGGGGTTTTTTTTTTACGGTAAACCACAGATAGCAGTTTTTAACGTAAATTTAAGTTCAGTGATGTAAAAACATAATAATTGCTACCGTATTATTTATGATAAGTTATGGTAAATGCAATGGTAATGCACAAGCAGGCCATAGCAACATGTCAGTCAAGAGCACAGAAATAAACCAGAACTGGACCTTATCTGAGCCACAAAATATGTATATTAAATATGGCGTCATCTCAGAAATGGGAGTTTACGATCGTAGAAATTTCAAAACAAGCAAGATTATATTTTAAAAAAGTTTATGTTTCTGCTGACGACTGTATGGATTTGTGACAATATTATTGTGGAAATATTGCGGCAAGCGCTGAATTCCATCACAACACAATTACAGATAAAAACCTTAAAGTCAAGCTTTATAAATCCAATTGTAGAAATAAAAAATAACTACATGAGGAAATGGTGACAAATAGCCGATTCATCAAAACAAACAAAGCAGTAAAATAGGTTGCAATAGAATTATAAAAAAATTGCTAGTGCAATCAGCCAAGATAACGATCAACAAAAGATGAATCGGCTATTTGTCACCATTTCCTCATGTAGTTATTTTTTATTTCTACAATTGGATTTATAAAGCTTGACTTTAAGGTTTTTATCTGTAATGGTGTTGTGATGGAATTCAGCGCTTGCCGCAATATTTCCACAATAATATATTTTCACAAATCCATGCAGTCGTCAGCTGAAAATAAGTTTTGTTTTTTATAATCTTGCTTGTTTTGAAATTTCTAAGATTGTAAATTTCCATTTCCGCATTGGTTATCAACAGTAAACAGATGATAATGAGTCTGTGGTTGTTATAAAAACCATGAACACATATGCCTCCTTAAGAGATTTCCAGAGTTTCCCTTTGATTCCCACATTCAACATGCTGGTGCAAAAGCTAAGCTGGATCATTTGTAAGTAACGATTTAAAATTGGCTGAACTGCATGATTTTAACTCTTCAATTCAGTGTTTTAGTTTGTTTCTGTTTGACTTTGATTTTCAGTGCTGCTGTTTCTGAGTCAACATGGTAAGAATGGCAATTAATGTATAATTTGGTTTAAACTTTATTATACATTTATTAAACTAAATTATTTTATTTAAGTGATTTTACTATAAAATTTCTGCAGGAACAGAAGCAGGTGTGATCTGTGAAGGAGGGATTGCCGTCCTCAGCTGTGGTGAGTAACTCAGTATTTTTATTTTTTTGATTATATTTTTGGCCTTTTGTGTCCCAATAGGATAGTATGAGAGAAACATGAATGGGGGAGAGTTCCAAACCTGTGTGTGCTTAAATCTTACAATTTGCTTTTTCTTTTTATGTGTGTCAGAACGCTCCTTTGGAAGAATAAGTGTTATTCAAGCCACCTATGGACGGACTGATCGCGTAGCATGTGCTAGAGGGATACCAAATTCTCAGACCTCAAACACGAGCTGCCTAGCAAACGCCACTAATAAAGTTTCTCATAGGTACGATTTACAGATAACAGTAAAATGTGTTAATGTTCACAATTTCATTTTATGTAGTTTACAAGAACAAGAAAAACATATTTCTAATGTCTATGCAACATTAAAGCTATTCTTAAGTTCCTATTTTCTGTCTATGATTCAGGTGCAATGGAAGAAAGAGGTGTGTTGTTCCTGCATCAAACTCACTTTTCGGCGATCCTTGTGTTGGAACCTTTAAATACCTGCACGTGACTTATACATGTCAGATATGAAGTAAGTCAATTGTTTTATATGTACAACTTTCATAAATAAATTTTGATTTCATATGAATTAATTGTAATTAATGGTTGAATGATCAAAAATTATTTCACTTTAGATAAGCTGCTCACGATAATAAATAATAATCTTTGTTGTTGCTACTGTTTTTTTTTTCTTTATAAGGTGCACTGTGAAGACATCTTGTCAACCGCTTCAAACTCTGATCCATGACAGTGTGTCAATAAGTATCTGAAAGTGGCGTCCGGCTGTATATAGTTTTGTTTGTGCTGCTGTTTTTTATGTTTTGTGTGTTATAAATGGAAATGGTCCCTATTATAGATGTTAGATGCCACTATATAATATTGTATTTGGTCTAGCCATTCACTCCTCAGTGAGACAAAATAATACAATACATTGAAATATGGGGTTCAATTAAAAATTAATTTTACAACTTCCATTTTTATTTTGTAAAGCTTTAATGATCATGTGTCAATGTGAATAATGGGAAGCAAAATGTCTCAAATAAAATGTCCAGATGGAGAAACACACCTTGATCCTAAATGCTTTATTTTTGTCATTTTCTTTTGAGGTGAATTTTATCTCAATCCATCACTATTATATTTTTCTATAGACGATTGTTTCATTGGTATACACAAAGGATACAGCAATATTAATAAATTTAAACATTTTTTTTTTACAACTATTAAGGGTAGACATGACCAGTCAATCAGACACTATTATATCTACATACATATATTTAAAAATAATGTTTAAATTAATATAATGTTCATCATATTAATGGAAAACAATCATGCTATCTGGTGAGAAAACAACTCAAATTCTTGTAGAAAAATCTACAAAAGGCAGTAGTTGTCTTTTCCATTTTTTATTTCCTTTAAAGGGTTAGTTCACCCAAAAATGAAAATTAAGTCATTAATTACTCACCCCCATGCTGTACCAACCCCGTAAGACCTTCGTTCGTCTTCGGAACACAAATAAAGATATTTTTGATTAAATTTGAGAGCTGTATAACTACCACATAGGCTCCTAAGGGACTGGCTCTTGACGGCCCAGAAAGTCAATGAAGAAAATGTTTAAATATCCCAAGTGACTACCGTGGCTCAACTATATGTTTATCAAGCGACGCGAATACTTTTTGTGCGAAAAAACAAACAAAAATAACGAGTTTATTCGACTATTCCTTTTCTTCCTTGTAGGCCAGAAACGAGACTTCCTTAGATTTCCACGACGCATGCGCGAGAATTGCGATCTCCTTACACTACTGATCAGTTCAGTTCTCGCGCATGCGTCGTGGAAATCTAAGGAAGGTCTTACGGGGTTGGTACAGCATGGGGGTGAGTAATTAATGACTTAATTTTCATTTTTGGGTGAACTAACCCTTTAAAGCAGTTTTGTAAACATTTGTACTGTAAAAATCACCAAAAATACGTAATGTGTAAATAATGTTATAATATAATTACACTTTACCCTTGCTGTAAAAAAGTGATAGTATCATACCATTTTCCATTATAACAGTAATATACTGCAGAAAACAATGCATTCTGGGTTATATTTGCATTTTCAAGAAAGTAGCCTACAGGAATATACTGTGAATTAACAGCGCTCAAAGTCGACACTCAGAGGCTGTTTTCACAATCACACTCTATACCCTCATTCACTATTCACTACATTAGTTCACTAATATAGTCCACTTGATTAAAAAGAAGTGAGTGAATTGAGAAACCGATGAACACCTGATAAGCAGAATCACTGAAAGACAGAAAAACAAGAACAAAAAAAACAGTAATACAAGAGCTACAACTGACTTCCAGCAACACTGAGTGTGGAAACAGTTTACAAACAAGTGCAACATTATTTCTTTCATACGTGTGCAAAAGTTTTTGTTGAGAATTAACAGAGATTTAGTTAATAATAAAGTTTGTTGTCACCATGATGGAGATCAGTATTTGCTTTAGTTCGTCTCTTGATCCTTGACTTTATAACATTAGTCTCTCTCTGGCTGTTGTAACGGTGAGTTTTTAAAACACATTTGTTATGGCAAGAAAGATTTAAGAGGAAGTTGACCAGGTGTTTTTTAGCTGTTTAGAGGATGCCTAAATCTTCCTGATCATGGACGATCCTCTGATCTCATCCTGTGTATAAGCTTTAAATGTATGGTTATTTCATTTATATGTGAATATTCAAATCAAAATCCAGCAATATTTCTGTAATCAGGCCTTCTGAAGAATATAGTAATCATATAGTGCATTAAAACATTTTGACCTGCTTGACTCAGACACACACAGACATCAACAATCAGCATATGTATCTCAACAATGGTGACAATTAAAGGTTTCATGTCGCAATGCATTCCGGGTTCTAGGATAGTATAAAACTCCCAGCATGCACACTCTTAGAAGAAAAGGTTCTATATAGAACCCTAAAAGTTTCTAAAGTGCTATGTATTTGGAACCCCTAAAATGCAATGCATGTGAATGATCACAAAATTCAAGATATGGTGGTTAAAAAATGTAATTAATCAATATCTCACGACGAGTGCCATTTCAGTTTTTATCCTCCAAAAATCTGCATGATTAAAATGTGATATTAGGTTACTACAACAGTTTAATAAACAATAATTTAATAACAATTACAAAATATTGCAGAATAATGTAATATATGAATAATAGCCTTTAAAGAACCTTTGTGCCAGAAGTGTTCTTACTTGTCATTATTGAACCTTTTTTAGCATAAAATGTCCTTTGGCATTGAGTAGAGAACTCTATGCTACATATATAAAACCCCTTGTTTTCTAAGAGTGCTGCATGAATGAATAAATAAATACAAAAAATATTTCCACCATTGTTGCGATTCAGGTGCACGTTTGATATCTCTGTGTTTTTACAAGACACCGTAGCTCTGTTTTTTTTTATGTTGTTGTTGTTTTGGTTGTGCATATGTGTTTAAAAAAAGTAATTGTATCTCAATACTGTAGTTTCACATTGATGGTAATGTAATTGACTGAAAATGAGACAATATTTTTCAGCATAATCAATATAACCACATTCATTCACAACCTGTGCCTGTGAACAAGTGTGATCTGAAGAAATACAGTTCAAACAACAAAAGAAAAACTAATATTAAAAAGTCAAGGTCAGCATCTCAACTAAAGCAAACACTGATCTCTATAATGGTAACTTCAAACCAAATATTTTCAATTAAACATCTCAACAACATCTTCTATAGATGTATGACAGATATAAAGTAAAACTGGTTAATATAATATGTGTAATAATGTGTAATGTCTGAAGTCAGTTGTAGATCATGTGTTTTTCTATTTTCTGTTAGTGTGTTCATGTTTCCTTCCGTGATTCTGCTTGTTAACAGCAGGTGTTCATCACTAATGCTCAACAATCACTTACATATTCACTTAATTATCTCACTGCAACACTGCGTCAATGTTACTTTTTAGTCTTTGTAGTGTACATTTTCCTGTGGGGTTGAAAGGTTTATCAGTGTAAGATAAAAAACACAATTTTCTTTTTTCACATTATTGGTATATTACAAATTTTAGTTGATACATTTAAATGAGAGTTGGTCAATTTAAGGCAGTCGGTCTCTGCAAGTGAAATTAGTTAACCTGAGTTTTAATTTAATGCAGTTTTACAGTAACTTACTGTGGATTACAATAAAGAACTGTACAATTAACAGTAACTCACTGACAACAGTGTTGCCAGTATTTTACTGTAATAAAAAACCTGGTAAGGTCTAACAGTGTACGCAACGTTTATGCATTAGGCCCCTGGTCTTTGGTAATGTTTCCAAAATGTTATTTGCAATCCCACAACAATAACAACTTTTCCGGAAATTTTCAGGACTCTCCATTGGGTCATGAACGTGACTGAACGTGATCAAAACAAAGCAGTAAAATAGGTGGCAATAGAATTATAAAAAAATGCTAGTGCAATCAGCCAAGATAACGATCAACAAAAGATGAATCGCTATTTGTCACCATTTCCTCATGAAGTTATTTTTTATTTCTACAATTAGATTTATAAAGCTTGACTTTAAGGTTTTTATCTGTAATGGTGTTGTGATGGAATTCAGCGCTTGCCGCAATATTTCCACAATAATATTGTCACAAATCCATGCAGTCTTTAGCAGAAAAAATAAGTTTTGTTTTTTATAATCTTGCTTGTTTTGAAATTTCTAAGATTGTAAACTCCCATTTCCGCATTGGTTATCAACAGTAAACAGATGATAATGAGTCTGTGTTTGTTATAAAAACCATGAACACATATGCCTCCTTAAGAGATTTCCAGAGTTTCCCTTTGATTCCCACATTCAACATGCTGGTGCAAAAGCTAAGCTGGATCATTTGTAAGTAACGATTTAAAATGGACTCAACTGGCATGATTTTAACTCTTCGATTCAGTGTTTTAGTTTGTTTCTGTTTGACTTTGATTTTCAGTGCTGCTGTTTCTGAGTCAACATGGTAAGAATGGCAATTGACTAATGTATAATGTATCATTTGGTTAAAACTTTATTATAAACTATTAAACTACTATTTTTTATTTCAAGTGATTTTACTATATAATCTCTGCAGGAATAGAAGCAGGTGTGACATGTGAAGGAAGGATTGCCGTCCTTAGCTGTGGTGAGTAACTCAGTATTTTATTTTTTTTAAAGTTATATATTTTTGGCCTTTTGTGTCCCAATAGGATAGTATGTGAGAGACATGAATGGGGGAGAATTCTGAACATGTGTGTGCTTAAATCTTACAATTTTCTTTCTTTTTGTGTGTCAGAAGGCGCCTTTGGAATAATAAGTGTTAATAGAGCCACCTATGGACGGACGGATCACAGAACATGTGCTAGAGGGAGACCATATTCTCAGATCTCAAACACGCGCTGCAGTGTAACAGTCACTAATATAGTTTCCCATCGGTAAGATTTACAGATAACAGTGAAATGTGTTAATGTTCACGATTTCATTTTATGTAGTTTACAAGAACAAGAAAAATATTTTTCTATAAAGCTATTCTTTCTATTTTCTGTCTATGATTCAGGTGCAATGGAAGAAAGAGGTGTGTTGTTCCTGCATCAAACTCACTTTTAGGCGATCCTTGTGTTGGAACTTATAAATACCTGCACGTGACTTATAGATGTCGGATATGAAGTAAGCCAATTGTTTTAAAAATAAATTTTGATTTAATATGAATTAATAGTTTAATTAAATTAATGATCAAAAATAATTTAGCTTTAGATAACTGCTCACGATAATAAATAATAATCTTTGTTTCTGCTGTTTTTTTTCTTTATAAGGTGCACTGTGAAGACATCTTGTCAACCGCTTCAAACTCTGATCCATGACAGTGTGTCAATAAGTATCTGAAAGTGACGTCCAGCTGTATATAATTTTGTTTGTGCTGCTGTTTTTTTATGTTTTGTGTGTTATAAATGGAAATGGTCCCTATTATAGATGTTAGATGCCACTATATAATAATATTGTATTTGGTCTATCCATTCATTCCTCAGTGAGACAAAACAATACA